TTTGCTTAGTTATATAGGGGGAAAATCGGGACCGGAGACTCACTTCGAGCGATCAAGAACTTCGAGAGATCGAAGTTCGAGCCATCAAGAGTTACCTGTACCTTCCTTTGGACACCAACCACTATGACCTTTTGACCTTAACCTTGGAGTTTGACTTACTTTTGAAAAACTTTAACCTTGGCCATAATTTTTGAATGGTTGGTGCCAGGGCTTTCATTCTTCACATATGTAATCCTTGTGACAAGACCTTCCCTTGGATACCAACCACTTTGACCCTTTGACCTTGACATAGGAGTTTGACCTACTTTCAAAAAACTTTAACCTTGGCCATAACTTTTGAATGGTTGGTGCTAGGGCTTTCATACTTTACATATGTAATCCTTGTGACAAGACCTTCCTTTGAATACCAACAACTTTGACCTTGACCTTGATGTTTTACTTACTTTTAAAAAACTTTAACCTTCGCCATAACTTTTGAATGGTTGGAGCTAGGGCTTTCAAATTTAACATTTTTTATCTTTTGGCCTGGATTTTGACTTCCATTTGAGAAACTTTAACCTTCGCCATAAGCTGCCATACGGGGGCATCAGTGTTTCACAAACACATCTTGTTCCTATATATTTCAATGTAAAATTTGGATTCCCTATTGTGGCCCCGCCCTACCCCCGGGGGTTATGATTTGAACAATTTAGAATCTACACTATCCCAGGATGCTTCCACATAAGTTTTAGCTTTTTTGGCCCAGTGGTTCTTGAGAAGAAGATTTTTTAATGACTCCACCCTATTTTTGTCTTTTCTTGATTATCTCCCCTTTTAAGGGGACTTGGCCCTTTATTTTAACAATTTTAACTCCACTTTACCCAAGGATACTTTGTACCAAATTTGGTTAAAATTGGCCCAGTGGTTCTTGAGAAGAAGTTGAAAATGTGAAAAGTTTACAGACGGACGACGGACAATGGGTGATCAGAAAAGCTCACTTGAGCTTTCAGCTCAGGTGAGCTAAAAATACCTGATTTGTATTGTGATTTTTGACAACATCAGCCGCTTTTTGAGAAAATAAATGAGCCGAATACTGTCCGGAATAGTTGGCTGGGTTTGTATTATCGTGTAAATCTGTTCCACACATCTTCCCAAAACATCGCTCATGTGTAAAGTAGTCCTCCGCTCCAGTCAGGTACCCTATAAAAGTAAAGAACATCAGATTTCCTGACAGATCTTAAAACACAGTTAAACAAAGATTTCAAAGGTCACCTCAACTATAAGTATTGAAGGCAAAGTCGCATAACAAACAAATGTTCTGGTAGTGTACATCCCAAATGCAAATTTCGTCTGGCTAACATTTTAGTTATTTAATTGGGACTTGATTTTCTTCAAAAACCTTTTCTGCTCAATCAACCAGGAAATGTAATATTCAGCATCCAAAGTATGTTTGGTAGTGTGCATTCCAAGATGCATCTTTTATTAAGTTTGGTCAGCAAAGGGCTTTTAGTAACCTGGGAATGAACCTCTTCAAAAAACTTTAACATAGTCCAGAAAATATAGGCCAGATCCCGAATCCGAGGCATTTCTTGTATGTTTCATCCCTAGTTCCATGCAAGTTTAGTCCTAGTAGGGCATATGGCTACTTGAGAATAGAACTGCTCCAGAAACAATTTTCACGCATCGTTGTGCATATCCCTTGATGCATCATGCATGTTTGGTCCAGGTAGGTCTTATACTTACGTGGAAATGAGACCTTCTCTGACATTTAGCCTGCTCCAAAAGCCAGTCTCCCCTAACATTATAAAATGGTTATTGACTAAAAATACAGCATCTGAAACCTGACTGGTACGATGAAACGTAGTACATGCATCGTCCATGCATCTCTGATCAATATAGGGCATAAAATACTTTGAAATATATCTGCTCCAAAAATTTCAAGCTGGGAAGCAGGTTTTAATAAATTCATAGTCAACACAGTGATTTTTACACCTTTACTCACTTAAGAATCAATACTTTTGTAGGCTTACTACGGAAGCCGGTTGGTGCCAGGTAGAAAAAATATTTTATCTGGCGGCCGCCAGAAAGTTATCTGGCGGCCGCCAAATAACTTTCTGGCGGCCGCCAGAAAATTATATGGCGGCCGCCAGATCTTTTTATCTGGCGGCCGCCAGTTATTTATCTGGCGGACGCCAGAAAGTTATCTGGCGGCCGCCAGATAAAATATTTTTCTACCTGGCACCTACCGGTTTCCGTAGCTTACACCTTGCTCTGAAAAGTCACTTACTTACTTGTATCATTCTAACTCACCAAAGTAAGAGTCGAACCCTCTGTTTGTTGGGAGATATTCCTTTTTATAAAATCCCAGATGCCATTTCCCTACCGCGTGCGTTGAATATCCCGCTTCCTTGAGCTTTTCTGGTAGTATTGGGCTGTCTAGAGGTAAGCCGTTGGGTTGGGGAGGACGGATTACTCCATGTTGAAGGCCTGTATGTATCTTCAATATAAAAATTAACTTATTAGGACATTATCATATATCATGAAAACATATAAATGTACATAATTTCTTTGCACTCAGTGTTAATTTCTCTACAGTTCTGAAAGAAGGAGTCTAAAGAAATAATTTTTTTAAACTTCTGTCTTTATAACTCGCGGATAATACCACCTTATAGTAACATCACTGAAAATTATAACTAAGACAGTAGTAGACCGTCATCTACCTCAATGTTACTGTGAGTCAATAACCTTTTGACTGAACCACTTTGACGGCAACCAAAAGTGTTTTCTCATTTAATAAAATTACGACCCATTGCCTTCAAAGTTTAAAAACACTTGCACAATTAATATACACACCTTGACTCTTGATTTAAAATTTTTGATTTATATGAGTTTCAAACATGTTTGTATTATGAAGGACATCAAATACCTGATAGCGTCCGGACATCAGTTGACTTCTGGTAGGAGTACATATTGGCTGCACGTAATAATTCTCCAATTTGATTCCCTCTCCGGCAAGTTTATCCAAGTTCGGTGTTTTTATCTCAGAGCCATGATACCCGATGTCGTTGTAACCAAAATCATCTGCTATCACAAGTAAAATATGCGGTTTCGTATTTTGACCTTTTATAAAGCACGCTACTGCTAGAAGGACGACCGTGCAGAGTAATGTTTTCATATTCCTATTTATCTGTATTAGTGTTTGTTCAATCAATATCTGATGATAGGTATCAATAAGAACACAATCTTATACATGTAGGATGTTATCATTGAGTTTCAATGTATCATATGACTGTCGTGTGATTTGTCTAGATTAACGTAAGTACTTGAAAGGATATAATTTTTTTGAGCATAACAAAACTCAACGCCATATCCTTTCAACTTTTCGGAGATAAAAAACACTCAATTATATACAACAATTAAAAGTAAGAAAGTGTTATTCTTTATAAACTCACAATTTCCCTTTGTATGTGAAAAGAAAAAAAAATTAAAAAATTTGAATGAATTATTTCTTTAAAAGTTATAATTTCTTTTCAGAGGGAAATATTGTCCTGATGTGACTGGAAGATGAGTGCATATGTATTTTCCTTTAAACAGTTGAATATTCTTAAAATTGCCATATCAGTTATGCATTTATGGGGAAAATATCATGTGCTTCCTTATTTCTAGATGTCCAGAAATAATGTAGTGAAAGAGAAAACATATGAAACCGTAGAACGAAATCAATTGACATGCAAAACTGGGGAAAAAAATCATACCACAAAGGTCTTGTCTGCTTAAAGACAATAATTTTGGGGTTGAATTTATTGCAGAATAATTCTGTTTCCTTGTATCATATATTCAAATCGATAAAATGATAACACTAAAACGCTGTTGGTCTTCTCCACATCTAAACGAACTATAAAACTATTTCAAAATAGTTCAGCTTTTTTTGGTTTACTAGTTATTTTGTCAATCTCTAGTTTTTATCGAGTGTGTATAAGTTTATTAAAAATTTTATATAATATGTCTAATATTTTGAAAAATGCTTACAAATGCAGGTGAGGATCAAGAAGGAGTGGGGGTCCACATCAACTCTTAACAAATGTCAGACTTAGAATTTTTTGCCAAGAAAAAAAAGGACAATAGCAATTCGCCCGAACCTGTAAAACCAAGGGGGTAATGTAGACTTCCTTAGTCAATTTTCTTCAGATACATAACTCTCCACTCTATTTTAAGAGAGATCCGTGTGTCCTAATGGGGTCAAATATCAACTTTTTCGTTATTTTTTTCATAGAAATTTAATAACTCTTAAATTCTAGGGGGGGGGGTCCGGACCCCCCTCCCCTTTTTTTATAGATTCATGCATAAAAGCCTTAAATGAGACATAAATGTATCAATTTCTATAAATGAGAGAAACCTTTGGCTTTATGTAGTCTGATTGCTAGTCTCTTACCGTTCTCCCGCAGCACCCAGTGATTGCAGATATTTAAACAATAAAATGCTTCCTTTATTTGTAAAGGGAATTAATTAACGTCGCAACAGTTACAGAAAAAAATATATAACCCGTGTAAACAATAATAAGGAAGGCATTTTATTGGTTACTACTATATATATGTTTGTATGAATAATTATATAAGGTAGTATGAAGTATGTTAAATATTGTATTATTGATAAATACGTCATTGAAAAGCACACTGCATATAAGAGATCTATACAGGTGGTTTGAAAAGTTTAGTGGTGTTTACCGATTGATGAAAGTAGTTTTCATAAGAAATAAAGGAGAAAATCTTCAATGGATGTACAAGTAAATATTTTTGATATTATGTGTAAGAGTTCGTCTGTTGCAGACTCTGTAGTAACTATTTCACGTTATTTTTTTCACATTAGATAGATTGAAAAAATACTAAAACAATTAACATGATTTCTTAAATTAAAATTATATCTTCTTTCCTTATTGCCTCTTTTGGGAATAATGTATTATTTCCAGAGAAAAAGTATGCAGGTGCTATAACCTTACATTTGCTGATTTATTGAGAGTACTTGTATACATACTGTGAAATCACTAATTTTCGTTGTTTTCGACGTATAAAAAGACACAGGAATCAATGTCCACCACGAAATGCAAAATGCCATATACATAATTATTCAACAATTCTTCATCTACGAAATCAAATCCCCATGAACCCATACTTTTCCCTCAAACAACGAAAATTTGACCGTAAGAAAATATGTGATTTTATAGGTATATGTAAATACATGTAAAGGAACATTAAAATCAATTTCCACATTTATCTTCTATCACATCCAAGGACCCCAGTATCCCCCATGGTACTTAGGGTCAGACTTTGGATCCGGTTTTGGAAACCTGCAGGGTACGGCTGTTTTGTTATACTGAGCAAGCAGGTCCAGCATCTCCATCACCACAGTAGGCATAGAGTCGGATAAATCGTTATGTTCGTTGGGATCAGCAGTAATGTTGAAGAGCCACAGATTCTTTACAGCGGAATTGCTGTCTGTTTGGGTTAATGCTGATTTCATGTGGGGTGGAGGAACCCAACTACCATTTCCTGACAGGTGCAATAAAATTTAATATGAAAATGTCAATACATTATTGATTACAAAAAACAGTGAAATTATAAAATGTGTTTGATAAGCAAACTACCCTGAAGTGTTTTTTTTATGTTTTGGTCTTCCATCGTTTGAATTGGACCATGACCTTTAAACTGACCAATCATGAAATCTCTTTCAGATAATGAGAAAATTTTAGGATTACTTTTTAACTTTTGGACAAAAACACATACCAAAAACATTATTCCCATTCTCAGTTTTATATCTAAGGCTATGATTATTTTCGTTTTATGTATTTCGTTACACATGTGACTACATCTTCGCTTGCCAAGGGTTTCCGATCCGAAATCTACTCTGCCAAGGGTTTCCGATCCGAAATCTACTCTACAAGAGTAGATTTCGGATCGGAAATCCTTGGTAAGCAAAGATGATGTGACCATGGAATTGATTTTTTTTTCTTTGATATAAACATTTGTGACTATAAAATACATTTATCAGGTTGCCACATGTACCTACTGACAAAATGCTCACCGGGAAAACCTGTTATCAATTTCCAATCCCCCTTCCTAACTGCTGCTCGTATTCTGTTATCAAATGGACTGTTGGGCACCCGGTCTCCAACAGGATTGTACAGCGGGTCTATGTTATGCAATATAACCTCTCTTTGGCTGTTTGGTATACCCTCACTGTAAAATAAAAAATAAATACAAAAATTACTTAATTTGATTAACGATCTGAAAATATGACATTTGTCATTGTTGTGTACTTCGTTAATTGACTTATAACAATTTCAGCCTATTTTGGTTTATGAAATATTCATTTTTCAGTCGATTCAAGACATTTACACACATTGCATTTTTGAATCCATGCTGCATTCATGGACATCTATGATTCTTGGCCTATGTAAGGAACCGTATCCAGCGCCACTAAGCTGTTTGGTTATTGTACCTTATAGTTTTCCACTGATCCACTCCATCCAATGGTTTTGTTCCATTTAGATTACCACCAACCACCGACACAAGTGTGGGGAACCAGTCTGAGACATGAATTAGGTCTCTTGAGACGACCCCTTTCCTTTTCAACATCTGACCATGTACAAATCCTACTCCATGCATTCCTCCCTCCCAGAGAGAGTCTTTCCATCCTCTAAGAGGATAGTTGTTTCCTCCAGCATGGATTTGTCCCCCGTTATCTAGAATTGTAGTCGATACACGTTTGCTGTTTGTTTGTTATATATTCTTTTGTTTTGTTTTGTTCTATTTTTGTCTGTGGTTCTATTAAAATTATCTGAGTCGGTTATGAAAACAGCAGCTTACCTGTAGAAAACACCATCAGAGTGTTTTCCCACATCCCCTTCTGCTTCAAAACCTCCGTAAGGTTCCCTATAGCCTCATCCATAGCAGACACCATACCTAAGATGACCATACATTTTCAAAACACTTAAATTTCTCTCTAAATGTCTTAAATCTTAATTCAAATGTTATTAAGTCTAACATCTGCATGTTTCTGGAAAAATGTTCTGGAATATTGCCGCTACCTCTTCACCTTTTTTCATGGATAGCAATATCTTTCTTCTTGTGTGTTATTGGTTATGACAGGTGAAAGGGCAATTAAATTTTATAAGTTTCAATTTCGGATTAAGTGGTGTAATTTAAGTCCATTTCAAGACCTAAGTTCCAAAGTGATTACATCAAAGTAAATATACGCTAATAATGAATTGTTTAAGGTCCGACAACAACGAAGCGTTCCTCAATAATATACAGATTTTCCAAGGAATTTGTGATTGTAGTGCTACTTCAGATAGTTAAAAATTAAGGTGTACAGTACCATGCATTACAGAGGATGTTATTTCCTTTATAGTCGTATTGTAAATCACTAGAAAAGCTTAAATCACAATTTTTCCTTTATGTACCAAGTACACAGTACATTTTAAATACATGTCGAAAACAGTTTAGAAATCAGAAGATAATAACAATTATTGTTTTGGTATACTACATAGAGATACAAAAACAGGTATTCGAGGAAAGTGCCGTCGGACCTTAGTAATGTCTCCAACACAGTCAAGAAGCAGAGTGCAATTATGAGTTACTGTCAACGCTCCTAGTAGCATCAAGTTGTAAGCTACAATTAAACTGTACACTTCTGACAATGCCAAGAACTTAATGTGAAAGCATGTTTTTTTTTAGATCTTTAATTGTCAAAATACATGTCAGACCCGTAAGAAGCATACATTTTCAGTTGGGGGGGGGGGATTCCTTTACTAGCAAAATCAGCCCCCCCCCCCCCCCCCGGTTCCTACTGCATTGCATGTTACATACAAAAAAATGAGTAATTTCTAAAGTTCTGATTCTTATTCTGATGTAATGAATTATCAAAATATTCACTTTTTTATTAGCTTAAAATGACCAAAACCTTGTTAGGTATTACCTGCATAAGTCCTTCTGTCTTTGTCTTGGATGTGCATATATGGCTTTATGTACTTCTCGGGTACCTCAAGGGGTGAATGTACGGATTGGAAAGGTAGGTAGAGGAATAGAGGCTGTTTTATCAAATTAAGATTTTGCTTATTCATTTTTGTTTTCAGAATAAACAGAACGGATTAGCAAACAAAGTAAAAGTATAGTTCCCGTTAGTAAAAATATACATTAAATATACTTATATTTTCAAAGCATACTGAAAATGTATAATATTAAGATACAGACTGGTCTTTTTAAATCTAGATTTATAGGATACTGTACTTGGTCTGTATTGTGATTTTTGACAACGTCAGTTGCTTTCTGGGCAAATAAATGAGCTGAATATTGTCCAGAATAGTTGGCGGGTGCTGTATTGTCACGCAAATCTGTGCCACACATGTGCACACTTCTGGGACCACCACATGTTATATGTGTAAAATAGTCCTCAGCCCCTGATAGATAACCTGAAACAGTGACAAAATTTCTAATATGTACAGTATTAATTATTTTATTTTATTTATTTATTTACTTATTGTAACATAAGTGATTATTTACATAATTTCAATGCGATGGATGTTGGCATAGACAACCAAGTATGGCTTTCGTAATTATATGGTATTTATTATACCTCTACTGATTTTTTCCCTACATAACATTAGATTGTTAGATGTGACTAATTCCCTAGAAATCGTTATGAATGGACTTATCCCCGTGCGTTAGTCAAGTGAGCTAATATGGTATTTATCCTGCATATGATGCACATAAACAGGCAATTCTCACCAAAATATGAATCAAATCCCCTGTTTGTTGGTAAAAATTCTTTTTTGTAAAATCCTAAGTGCCACTTTCCAACAGCATGTGTTGCATATCCCACTTCCTTCAGCTTTTGAGGAAGTATTGTTTCATCAAGGGGCAATCCGTTAGGTTGTGAAGACATAATAACTCCGTGCTGAAGACCAGTGTGAATCTTTAATAAAATATGTTTAAGGTAAACCCCAATTATTTTACTGATTGGAGAAAATGATTTATTTCAAATACAAAAAATACAATAAGTATAATTCTAGATCACATCTCAATGTAAGACAAGCCGTTTATATAACTATTCTGAAAACAAGACTTCCCTTTAATTTCGGGAGATATTTTTTTACGTTTAGAAGATAACCCTATAGAAAGAAATATTTCTAAGTCTGAAAGAAATATTTCTATCATAAAAAGAGATTTTTTTTTTTATAATAGATAGATATGTTTATATGCTTAAGAGATATTTTTCTAATACAAAGTGGAGACTCTGTTACTAAAAGAGATATCTCCGTCCAAAATAGATATACGCAAAAAGTAAAAGTAAGAGATTTTTCTGCGAAAGCTATATCTCTTATAATCAAAAAGAGATACATGTACTTCCTTCTGCAAAAAGAGATGTCTCTTAGATCAAAAGAGCTATCTCTCTGAATGTCTTCAGAATAAAACATACATGTGACCAAAAATAATTTTCAATTTTACCTTGGAATTTCCAGTTCTTTTTTATATCCAAAAGCAAAACCAAGAATATGTTAGAATAGAGAGTTGAATTTAAAAAAAAAGAATAAAGGAATAACGATTATATATATATATATATATATATATATATATATATATATATATATATATATATATATATATATATATATATATAATTTCAATTGTTTGCCGAAGCATTCTATAAATTGACGTTAATCTGTCATTTCCATAGGCACTTGTAGAGTTCATCATGACCTGGAATTTCACTATGCTCCTGTCTATGTATGAGATCTTTAAAAAAACTTTAAGACGGATTGATTAAGCGTCCAAAAAGAGGAAGATCAATCAAAAGAGATACCCCGGCATCTCATTTCGAAACAAAGGCATTTCTTATAGAAATAGCCAATCTAGAATGCATGAAGAAATATCGATATCTTTTGAAAGGAATATCAGGGTTTATAAGATGAATTTCTTTTTTAAAATATATTTATACTGAAAGTGATATATAACATCTAAGGAAAATAGATATCTCTTATGGGGAAAGGGATATCTCTGTTTCCAAGAGATACTATTTTTTTGAAAACGATTTATCTTTATTCAAAACATGTATCTTTTTCCATTAGAGATATTTCTCAGATATAATGAGCTATCTCTTTCTGTTTGAGAGGTACCACTCAAGGAAAAGAGATACAGAGAGATATCTTGTTTTACTAATAAATAGCAAACCGGTCTGCCAATGACATCTATGTAAAGAAACTCCGTCAAACTGTAGAGGGGAGTTCGTACAAATACCCTCTACAAAGTATTGAAATAAATACAATCAAAATAAGTAAATCTGTATTGACTTTATAAAGATATATATATATATATATATATATATATATATATATATATATATATATATATATATATATATATATATATATATATATATATATATATATATATATATATTGGGGATCTAAATATTCCAGTAAGGCTTCTCCTTTTATCACAACACAGCAGTACTTCATGAGCAGGAAATTTACCTGATAGCGTCCAGACATCAGTTGACTTCTGGTAGGAGTACATATTGGCTGCACGTAATAATTCTCCAATTTGATTCCCTCTCCGGCAAGTTTATCCAAGTTCGGTGTTTTTATCTCAGAGCCATGATACCCGATGTCGTTGTAACCAAAATCATCTGCTATCACGAGTAAAATGTGTGGTTTTGTACTCTGGCTTTTCACAAAGCAGGTAATTGATAGAAAAACCAGAGTATTGCACACATTTAATGTTTTCATGATATTGTGTTATGACAAGTGACACAGCTAACAAAGTGCATGAATCTCTGTACAAAAAGTTACTTTTTTACAAGATTCACATGACTATCACATGATATCTACAGATAACTGTCTAAGATGCACATTTGTATATCAAAATAAATGTTATCTTTTGAGACGTAACTCTACAAAGATGTGTATATAATTATTGAACTTTTTATCAAATTTTATCTTTAAGTTATACAACACAATATGCATCACAAGATCATATCAAGAGATTTAATATAAGATTATTAAACTATGCTGCTTTCTAGATTATGTTGTGGGCAATGTCACTACGATGTTTTAAGTAGGCACTGCAGCATCTAACACACTGTCCAGGCAAAAAATATGACGAGGGAAGGGGGTCCTTGCGCGTAGAATAGCATTTTGAGTCTTTCTAAAGCAAATCAATTTAGGAACAAGACTAGAGAAGGTATGCCTCTGAATATTCTCTATAAACATTAAATATTGAGATAACGAACAGCAAAAGTTCATTAAAGACAGACTGAAATCTCTTTTGGGCGACTGCTAGAAACATATTTATAAAATGATAAATAATTATTCCTAATAATTTCAATTTAATCATTCTTATGAGGGTTGGGAATTTTCTTTCATTGTCAGATTCTATCGCAGTCTTATACTATCCATGAATGTTTTTTTCGCATGAACTGTAATGATAGCTGACCACTCATATTTATTTAAAGAAGCTACAAAGCAGGCGACACATGCGCTCCTTGAAACACTCTAGTTTAAAAATATATGAGGAAATGGAGCGTTTATCCAAGTTTTATTATGAATTTCATTAGACATCAATATCATCAGAGTCGATTTTCTGTGTGATATTAATTTCACGGTGTTCTGTTTTCATTTTATGTAAGGATACAAGACGAAGATGGTCTAATATGTCAGATACGGGACTGGGACCGAGTCTCAGTTCCGTATCTGACATACTAGTAACAGACCATCTGAGTTTTGTATCTTTGGAATATGAAACTGTAGGAACAAAATAATGGTGTTACAAAAATGTTTTAATTACACTTTAGTTTGATGTGGCTGGATTTGAAATGCCACTCTTGCTACATTTTTGTATTCAACAAAACTTAGTAAATATTTCCAGAAAAATATGACTCGAGAAATTCAATACAAGTGTATTTCAAAACTGTTACATGTATTTATTAAAAAAAAAAAAACAAACATGTCAAAAATACTTCATTTTTTCTTATTTCTTTACAAATAATACACAGTACATAAAAAGAATATGGAAAAATCTGAAAGACTATGGAAGCTTTTGACCAACGAGGTCCATCCCCACTGCATGATTTTTGACATTTAAAAAAAAATCAATGATAAACATTTCCCTAACTTCTAACAACACCATGTAAAAAGATTCATGTTAAGTTTCCTGTATCTTTCATTTCTATCTAAAAGGTGACAACAGTCTATTGATAAATCATTTTGATTCCATGAAATAAATCTGTTCCTTATCAGTGATGAATAAAGTTGAAGGAACAATAAGGTTCCAAAGCATGTGAAATGGGAAAAGTCATAATCTTCTTTAAAAGCAAGAAAATGTACAGAAATTAATTAAAGTGTTCATTAAGATAAACTTCTGAAAAATTAAGTAAGGTGTCAGAGATTCCTTGTTTTTCTTCAGTACAAGTTATACTTGTGTAATTAATGTAATTTTTGAACAAGTTAGAAAAACACTTATATACATGTATCTATTGAAAAAATGCACCTTGTATATACATATAAAAAAATTACTGTGTGTCATATTGCTTCTTGCCCTTTGACCTAGTAGTAGGAGGGCTGTTTGGAAATCATTGAGACTATAACTCCGTAGAAGAAAGTGATCGATTCATTAAAAACAATACCAAAATTTCACCAAGGACATATAATAGAAATATACAAAATTTCTAGATTATACCATCATTAGAGAAGTCCCTGTGAAATTAAAAACTTGCATATGTCCATTAATTTGAAGTACTCCGAAGAGATTAAAAATTTAAACATTACCTCGGTGTTATTTTTGTTTTCTCACATGGAAACGATCGGGAAGCGTTAACACTTCTTTTTCTGTCACCACTTTAACATTTGAGGATACGAACTCTCTTCATTTTTTATCCCCCCATTATATTCAAGTTGTGTATTGTTGCTATCAATGTCAAACTGCCATGAAAAATCTTTTACAATATAGTTAATGCGTATCATTTTGTACAGGCTTAGCACTGCTGAGGTTTGTTTATAGACAGACAGACAATGGGCACTTTACTAATAATGCATAAGCTTTTTATGGTCTCTGACCACTAAAGCTTAAAATGACATACATTTATATGACTGAAATATAATTCCTTATTTACTCTGGGTCCAATGGGACTAAGTACATACAGAGTAGATACAAATTTTCTGCATCTGAATCACTGACTGGGCCAGTATGTCTACCATCGATACATTTATATAACATTTAAAATTTTTAAAAAATGAAGTTATTTCTGAAATAGATCTTGCTATTATTTATCGCCAGAGTTTGTTAAACTTATATACCAATTTTCACCAAAAGATGTAGATTAGAAAGAAGAATAAACGGAGTGTCTCAATAACTTCTGAGCAGCCCTCATATATGTAAGTAGAAGTTTTATACATTACAAGTGCTGCAATACTTCACCCTATAATACATAATACATATAATACAAACAAGAGGCCCAAGGGCCTTAACGGTCACCTGAGTACAATACAACGATTTAGAGGATCCATAAACTGATAAATGAAGCTTTGTTGCCCAAAAGCAAGAAAAATAGTCTGATTAGCATCAACAAAATAATTGGTCTAGTATCTATCTGCCATGCAGACTATTAACAAAATGTCTATTATTTAACCCCATATTATTACTTCTCACAATGGCCTCTCTTGGCCTTTGAAGAACATTTAAAAAGATAAGTTAGTTTTGTCTCATTTTTATTCATCTATTATTTCCAAGTCATTAAAACTATGAAAGTACTTTTTTTTAATATACAATAAATTGTCTTGCATAATTCTCTTATTCTATTAAGCTTTCAAATACATTATTTACATTGATTAATTATCAAAGGTGAATGGCAAAGGGGAATAACTTTGCTCAGCAGAATACAAGTTACTGGTAATAGAGCCCTGGCCAGGACCAGAACACTTGACTAAATGGTCCAGGTGTTCAAAATACTGGTAAAAATACCCTTGCATATTTAAAGTTTTACTCTGTTTGCCTTGAACATCCCCAGAAGCATAAAAGATTTTCAAAGAAATGCATTTTCACCATATTATTAAAAATAAATAAAGCCCCATCCTTACACCAGAACATCTGAACCATTGGCCACGAACTCACAATTCTGGAAGAAGCACCCTTTCTCATCATAACTATACACTTGTTTCTTTACTTTATAACCAGTAGTAGAAAAAAATATTTGGAAAGAAATTATGCATTTTCACTATATAATCAATAGAGCTCCCCCCCCCCCCCCACCAGAACCCCTGACCCAGGGGCCATGAATTTCACAATTTTGGAAGAGGCATTCTTCCTTATCATAACCATGCACTTCCTTTGTTTGAAAAATACCCAGGAACAGAGAAGATGATTTTGAAAGAATTCATGCCTTTTCCCTATATAATCAATATAGCCCCACCCTAACACCAGAACCCCTGACCCAGGGGCCATGAAATTCATAATTTCTGAGGAGGCAGTCATGCTCATCATAACTATGTACTTAGTTTATTTAATATCCAGGAGCAGAGAAGATTTTCAAAGAATTAATGCAATTTTACTATATAATCAATAGAGCCCCACCCTAACACCAGAACCCCTGACCCAAGGGCCATATAATTCACAATTTCTGAAAAGGCAGCCATGCTCACTATAACTATGTTCTTAGTTAGTTTATTTAATACCCAGGAGCAGAGAAAAAGATTTTCAAAAAAATTAATGCAATTCTACTATATAATCAATAGAGCCCTGCCCTAACACCAGAACCCCTGACCCAGGGGCCATGAAATTCACAATTTTGGAAGAGGCACTCTTGCTCATCATAACTATGTACTAAGTTAGTTTATTTAATACCCAGGAGCAGTGAAGAAGATTTTCAAAGAATTAATGCATCTTCACTATATAATCAATAGAGCCCCACCCTAACACCAGAACCCCTGACCCTGGGGCCATGAAATTCACAATTTTGGAAGAGGCACTCTTGCTCATAATAACTATGTACTTAGTTAGTTTATTTAATACCCAGGAGCAGAGATGAAGACTTTCAAAGAATTAATGCATTTTCAATATAATAATCAATAGAGCCCCGTCCTAACACTAGAACCCCTGATCCTGGGGCCATGAATTTCATAATTTTGGAAGAGGCACTCTTGCTCTTCATAACTATGTACTTAGTTAGTTTATTTAATACCCAGGAGCAGAGAAGAAGATTTTCAAAGAAATAATGCACTTTCACTATATGATCTATATAACCCCACCCTAGCACCAGAACCCCTGACCCTGGGGCCATGAATTTCACAATTTTGGTAGAGGGCTCAATGCTTATTACAATCATGCCAACAGTTTGACTGCTTGATGTCCTGGAGTAAAGAAGAAGATTTTTAAAGATTGCATTATTTTTGGTGGTTTTAGCCCCACCCCTCAGGCCCCAGGGGGACATGGACCATGAAATTCAAAATTTTTGTTCCCCTTCACCCATAGATGCTATATGCCAAATTTGGTTGAAATTGGTTAAGCGATTTCAGAGAAGAAGCTAAAAATGTTCAAATGTTAACACACGACGCACACCGCACGACGCACGCAGACGGACGAGAATGGATAGCAATAGGTCACCTGAGTGACTCAGGTAACCTAACAAAAAATGTGTTCTTAAATCTGTAGAATATTCCCACATTGACCAAAACTGAATTTTTTTTGGAATAATTACAGTAAACCATGGTTCAAGCGAATACACTTATAATGAATTCTTGCTTACAGCAAAGTTATTTTCATTCCCAATGGATTTAAAACACATTGTGAATTTAACGGATATAATAAATTATATCTACATGTATATATAATGAATAAAAATTGTTCGTCCCTGGCACTTTGCTATAAACATGTTTTACTGTAATTGTCTTTGCATAGTAAAGCATGGTTTACATTCTACTGAGAGCAAAAGTTTTGCATTACAATTACATGTACTTGTAATTGAAAGATGGATCCATTACACATTACATCCCATTACTTTGAAAAAATGTAATGATTACAGCATTACCATTACACATTACCATTACCCCATACCTGAGCAAAACCACTGGAAAAATATCCATGTACTAAGGAAAATGGTCCCTTGAGATGTTTTATCACTACTGAGTTAGCCAAACTGAACTTTTATTTCAAGTTGAGTGCGGGGATCACTTCTCACAGCCATGGTCCCCAGTATCCTCCGTGGTATTTTGGATCAGCTTTGGGATCCATTTTTGGATACCTGCAGGGTACAGCTGTCTTGTTGTACTGTGCCAGAAGACTTAGCATCTGCATCACCACATGTGGCATGGTGTCTGAGACGTCTTTGTGTTCATATGGGTCTGCTGTTATGTTAAACAGCCAAATATTCTTATTTGAAGTAGAATTTTCCATATCCAAACGTCCAGAGTTCATGTGAGGTGGTGGAATCCAGCTTCCATTCCCTGAAAAGAAAAAAATACTGAAATAATTTAGCTTAATCTCACAAAACTAATATTCATTTCATTATTTATTTTTAACAAGAGGCCTGTGAACCTTGATGGTTATGTGTGAGTAACACATGTACATGTATCTCAACAGTCATCACTCAAAAATCTAAATGTAAAAGATTTATCGGGTGTTTTATTGAATATCATGTATATAAACCATACCACAACCACCACCCTCTTTCAAACAGCAAGGATCTCTGCCTCTTTTCTAAGAAACATGAATGCATGGTCATAGGTGTTCAGTCAGAACCAAAAGGTTGCTGATTCAAATCCAATAGTGTGCACCTGATGTGTGTTGTGTTTAACAAAGTATTTTCTATGCATTGTTTAAGTCAACCCTGCAGAAATGATTACAAGCTTACACTGGAAGTTAAACTGCAGTGGATTGCAAATGGAGACAATGACTCTCATCCACTTAGTGCCATAGAAACCCATTAGTTGTCCAGTAGGAAAAAGCATTTAAATCTATGCATTTTCAATATAGTAGAGTACTTAGCCACATCCTGTCCTTGAGCTCTAAACCCATGAATTTCACTGCAGGGTAAATTTTTGAAAATGTATTCTTAAGAGAAACAAGTCAAGTTATATTATGAACTTCTGGCAAAATTTTGAAGAAGAAAACAATTTTGGTTCCTGGTTACCTTTCAGAGGAAGACAAACTTGAGTCTTGGGCATGAAAACACTTACAGGTAGTTTGAATTTAGTCCAATCTAATAATATTTATTCTAATTCTTGCAGTCTAATTATTTTATGTTTCTAAAATAAAGCTCAGACATAATTTCAATGTGTCATTGACTTGTGACCTTAACCCTGGGATTTGAATTTGAATAAAATAAACAAAGCACATTCCACAGTACATAAAGCCTGGACACCACTTCAGATCTCTCTTTGCCCACTTACTTTCCTTGTCTTAAAAAATATGACTTTCATTCAAGAAAATTAAACACCCTGGATTAAGTTAACAACAACATACTCAATCAGGAGACCAAAAGTTTAAGAGTTATAGCCCAGACATTATTTTATGACAGACAGATTTGGCACAAACAATGGGTCTCCACTACATGTACATTGGAGAGAGACATAATAAATACTACATTCAATAATCCAATAGAGTTTTTGGTTCTTAATCAGTGATATAATATTAAATAGTTATGGTTTGTTTAGTAGAGAGGCATCACACATTATTGGAGTTGAGTAAGGTTGTCACCCAAGGGCACATGACACCAAGAGTGACATCCCTACTCAGAACCTGATAATTTGTGATGACTCCCTACTTAACAGTCTGTAATAGTTTTATCCTGAAGAATCTAAATTTAATAAACTAGAGTATAGAGTATATAGGATAATAGCAAATCTCTTGTGTTCTCTTACCCACTCCTTCAAAATATGTCAACAGACAACTTTGACTTCATCGTTAGAATTTATTGTTTACCGATCCTCCATATATAATTATCAGTTTTATCAGTTATCTTGCTTAATTTTATCTAAAGGGAGACAACACAGTTTTTACCTTGCATGCTTGCTTTCCCTATTTGATTTAAATTTTCATTTGAAGGGATAAATCACAGTTGTCACCCTGCACTTGTAGGAGACATCAAGAATTGTCTCCCTGCACATGACAAGCTCTAGACCAATCATATTGACTGTATTTTTCTGATGGATAATAAGATATTATTTCACATTACCTGGATTGCCCGTTACAAGTTTCCAGTCACCCATTCGTAGAGCTGCCCTTATTCTGTTGTCAAATGGGCTATTTGGCCATATCTGTCCCTTTGGTTTAGATAGCGGATCAATGTTGTGTAGAATGGCTTTCCTCTGATTTTCAGTTGATCCTTCACTAACAACATTTTTTTTTTGACAATCATGTTGTCCAAATAAAATACCACTCAATCATATGATATAGAACATCCTTTATAAAAAATTTTAAACACATATATTCCCAAGCAAAATATTATTTTGAACAAAATCCATTAACTATAGGCTAAAACTAAGTATTACATGATGTGATTTTACGAGGGAAAATAAAATTCTATAAGTACCTTAAAGTTTTCCACTGGTTCACACCATCTAATGGTTTTGTTCCATTCAAATTACCACCAGCCAAAGATACAAGAGTAGGGTACCAGTCTGTGACGTGTATTAAATCATTTGATACAACCCCTCTTCTCTTCAACATCTGGCCATGAACGAAGCCTACTCCACGCATTCCTCCTTCCCAAAGAGAACCTTTCCAGCCTTTCAGTGGATAGTTGTTTCCACCTTCAAGAATTTGGCCACCATTATCTAAAAGTAAACATGAGAAATCAAGAAATATATGCTACCATTACACAAAGTAAGATATGTTGGTCTTTCTCTCCTTTTGTTTTTGACAAAATACATCTGTCAAAAAATGTTTTGATGTTATGTGAGAACACTAACAAACAATTCATTGCCAGAGTTGGCATTGGACATTGCTGGAAAAGTTTGACCTTTTTTTCTTTCATTGATTTATTTATCCTCAAATTAGTATACAGGCTAAATGTATCTATGTATGTCTTCAATGAATAGCATATGGGAAAGATTGTCCTCTGGTTGTCGTTTTAACATCTTTCATCAACAACACTGAAAACTACTTCTTTTAACAAGTGTAACACATCTTTTTAAAACATGTTAATGTATTTGGAAATGTGTCTCCCTATGAAAGAAATATAGAGGGTTTTTTTGTTGCTATCTTTGACCCCTATTACTCTGTTACAAGCATTCCTTTATATATCAGATATATTACATTACTGTCACTTGCTGTTGTTCTTTCTCCTGTTCATTGCTATAATGAGTATTACTGTTGATTGTAAGGTACATAACAATAGCAATTCCCATATTTACCTGTCTAAAACACCATCAGTGTGTTGTTCCACACCTTCACTGCAAGCATTTCTATATACCAAAATAGATGATCTACAATACTGTCATTGTTCTGTTGTTGTTATCTCACGTATTATAATTATTGTTGTTGATTGGAATGTATATGCCAACAGTAATTTGAATTATTACCTGTTGAGAACACCATCAGTGTGTTGTTCCACATCCCTTTCTGTTTGAAAACTTCAGTAAGATTCCCAATGGCCTCATCCATAGCAGACACCATTGCTATAAAATATGGAGAACAAAATTTTTCATTCTGTGGAAATTATACCTGATATATTGTTAACAACTGCCTTTGATATAAAATACTATGTAATTTAAAAAATAAATATATATAAGAAGAATCAATTAGTTTCAGTCCTACCAGCATAAACTCTCCTGTGTTTATCTTTGATATGCAAATATGGCGTTATGTATTTCTCTGGTACTTGAAGTGGGGCATGAACTGATTGGAATGGAAGATACAGGAATAGAGGCTGTAAGAATTTTTTAAATGATAGAACATACATTGAAAGTGTTATATTTTAAAATATTTTTATATGTCCTATTTACCAGAACCTAAAACAAGAGGCCCATGGGCCACAACGCTCACCTGAGTCAATATGGCCCTGCTGTTCTTCGTCAGCAGATTTCCTCTCCTATATTTCTCCTATATATTCATATATAAAGCTTTGATCGCCTGTACTAGGCATACCCTACCCCAAGGTGCCATGTTTTGAATGAAATTGAATATAAACCTTCTGAGGATGCTTCTTTCTTCATATAACTAATCATGATTTTGCTGTTCTTTAAAACAGAATTTTAAATATGTCTAACACCCTCCCCCGGGGGGGGGGGGGGGGGGGGGGGGTTCATGATTTGAACAAACTTGAACGTACACTACCTGAGGATGCTTCCATATCAATATGACTGATCATGGCTTTGTTGTTCTTGAGAATGAAGAAGATTTTTAAAGATATTTCCTGTATATGTTCTTTTGTAAAACTTTGATCCCCCATTATGGCCCCACCCTACTACTGGAGAATGCCTTGAACAAGCTTGATTCTACAATATTTGGGGATGATTCCATATCAATATGACTAATTGTGGCTTTGTTGTTCTTGAGAAGAAGATTTTTAAAGAATTTTCCTATATATTAATATGTAAAAATTTGATCCCCCATTGTAGCCCCACCCTACCCCCAGGGGTCATGATTTGAACAACCTTGAATCTACACTACCTGAGGATGATTCCAAATCAATATGACTAATTGTGGCTTTGTTGTTCTTGAGAAGAAGTTTTTAAAGATTTTCCGCATATATTCCTATGTAAAAGTTTGATCCCCCATTGTGGCCCCACCCTACCCCTGAGGTAATGATTTGAACAAACTTGAATCTACACAACCTGAGGATGATTCCATATCAATATGACTAATTGTGACTCTGTTGTTCTTGAGAAGAAGATTTTTTTTATATATATTCCTATATAAAACTTTGATTCCTCATTGTGGCCCCACCCTACCCCCAGGGGTCATGATTTGAACAAATTTGAATCTACACTACCTGAGGATGATTCCATATCAATATGACTAATTGTGGCTTTGTTGTTCTTGAGAAGAAGATTTTTAAAGAATTTCCTATATATTCCTATGTAAAAAATTGATCCCCCATTGTAGCCCCACCCTAATCCCCAGGTGGTCATGATTTGAACAAATTTGAATCTACACTACCTGAGGATGATTCCATATCAGTATGACTAATTGTGGCTTTGTTGTTCTTGAGAAGAAGATTTTTAAAGATTTTCCATATATTCATATGTAAAAGTTCGATCCTCCACTGTGGCCCCACCCTACCCCCAGGGGTCATGATTTGAACAAATTTGAATCTACACTACCTGAGGATGATTCCACATCAATATGACTAATTGTGGCTTTGTTGTTCTTGAGATGAAGATTTTTAAAGAATTTTCCTATATATTCCTATGTAAAAATTTGATCCCCCATTGTAGCCCCACCCTAATCCCCGGGGGTCAAGATTTGAACAAATTTGAATCTACACTACCTGAGGATGATTCCATATCAGTATGACTAATTGTGGCTTTGTTGTTCTTGAGAAGAAGATTTTTAAAGATTTTCCCTATATATTCCTATGTAAAACTTTGATCCCCCATTGTGGCCCCACCCTACCCCCGGGGGTCATGATTTGAACAAACTTGAATCTACACTATGTAATGAAGGTTTCAGATAAGTATAAACTTTTCTGGCTCAATGGTTCTGGAGAAGATGATTTTTAAAAGATGACACCAAATTTTCACAAATTCTTAATTATCTCCCCTTGGAAGAGGGCTTGGCCCTTCATTTGAACAAACTTGAACCCCCTTCACTCAAGGATGCTTTGTGGCAAGTTTGGTTGAAATTGGCCAAGTGGTTCTGGAGAAGAAGTCGAAAATGTGAAAAGTTTACAGACGGACGGACAGACAGATAGACGGACTACAGACAAAATGTGATCAGAAAAGCTCACTTGAGCTTTCAGCTCAGGTGAGCTAAAAAGACAGCAGATCTTTTGTTTAAAGAACAACAATTAAAGACAAAATCAAGACATAATTTTATTAATGACCGAAATTCCTCTTTATTACCTATATCTCTCTTTTACATCTATTGAAACACTGCATACAGACCTGATCAGTATTGTGTTTTTTAACAATGTCAGCTGCTTTCTGTGAAAACAGGTATGTGGAATATTTGCCAGAACAATTGGCAGGATAAGTATTATCTCTGAGATCTGTGCCACACATTTTGCCATCGCATCGATAATGAGTGTAATAATCTTCACTGCCAGTCAGATATCCTGGAAACATTCAACAGCAAGAAAATTATATCTACATGCATAGGACTTTTGTGGTTCAATTTACATTTATAAGGGTCCAGGGACCACAATGCTCTCCTGAGTAACTATGGGCCTTCTGTTCTTCATCAGAAGATTCTTTTCCGACATATTCTCAGATAAAACTTTAATCACTTTTTATGGCCTGAACCTACACGAGGGGTCATGATTTGAACAAACTTGAATCTACACTACCCGAGGATGCTTCCATATAAGTATGATAATCGTGGCTTTGCTGTTCCTGGGGAAAAGATTTCTAAAGACTTCTATATATTCCTATGTTAAACTTTGATCCCCCATTTCTGCCCCGACCTACACCCAGGGGTCATGATTTGAACAAACTTCAATCTACACTACCTGAGGATGATGTTTCCTTATAAATATTAGATTGTGGCTTTAATGTTCTTCAGAATATTTTTTTAAAGATTTTCCCTATATATTCCTATGTACAATTTTGATCCCTGTTGTGGCCCTACTCTCTTACAATTTTCACCTTTTCTTGCCCAGTGGTTCCTGGGAAGATTTTTTCAAAGTTGCCATCAAATTTTCAAAATTTTTGATTATCTCCCCTTGGCTGTGAACAAACTTAAATTTCCTTCACCCAAGGATGCTTTGTGGCAAGTTTGGTTGAAATTAGCCATGTGGTTCTTGAGAAGAAGACGATTGTGAAATGTTTACAGATGACAGATGACACAAGACAGACGACGCCAGATATTCTTTGATCAGAAAAGCTCAGTTGAGCCTTTGGCTTAGGTGAGCTAAAAAATTAACACCTACTCTGCCTGTGAGAAAAATTACTGTTAAAAACATTCATTTATTCCCCTTTAATGATTCCCCAAACTTCTATGTCTTCAAAAATATCATTACTTATACACATAGGAACAACTAAAAAAAAGTACATGTATTCTAGGTGCAAAGTTAACATGAATGACTAAAGACTGGATTCACTAATGACTGGGATAGACAATTGTTTGATGTACATGTATATAGTTTTATGTACAACGTACTCAAAACTTTAAACTTCATTTGTAAAATAAATGGAACTATCCTTCACACTTATACTCCTTGCTGGACACCCTCAAAATGGGGCATTTTCCATAACATGAGTATGGCAATTTTGGCATCAAGTCAAATTTGTTGAAAAAAATTGTGATAATCTACACTGAAAAAAGTACCCTTAGCTGTAAATTCATTCCTTCAGAGTTACATGGATGCACAGACTGCAGGGGGGTCGGCAAAGGGGTGGCGACCACCGCTCCAATAATTTTGCAAAAAAAAAGAAAAAAAAAATGAAAGAAAAAATGAATTATAAATAAGAAATACAGAATTACAACATTTGTGGTCAATGGAGCGTCAAGAATAATGGCAATCTGTGGTCAATAGAGCAGCAAAGTGTGAAAGCTATTGTTTACACAGGTGCAAATTGGGATGTACCCCCCTTTTCCATCCAATTCGCCTCCCCAATGTCAAATACTTGCCGACGCCCCTGGACTGTTGATGTTTAGCATTCCAACTGTTACTTTTTTAAATTAATAATAATTGTTTAATATTTAAGTGGCATTTGAAACCCAAGATAATTGTCAAAATGTACCAAAGTAAGAATCAAATCCCCTGCTTGTGGGTAAAAACTCCTTCTTATAGAAGCCAACGTGCCACTTCCCAACAGCATGAGTTGAATATCCAACTTCCTTTAGTTTCTGTGGTAGTATTGGACTGTCCAATGGTAATGCATTTGGTTGTTGAGGCCAAATTATTCCATGCTGGAGACCTGTGTGTATCTAATGTGAAAATTTAATAATGTCAACAACATTGATAAAATACTTATTACAATAAATTTCTGAATAACCATACCAACAACATATATAACCTGGTATCTATACATACATCCCTGATATGACCATGCACTGCATATATTGATCTAGCTGCACTGGACTGCATGTAGCTCTCCGAAAAAAAATGCCAGACTGGAGAGCTTCAGTGACACCCATCAAAAAACTGCATATTTGTTGCACAAAAAAGTTGCTATTGGTTCTGGATTTATTTACCCAAAATCTTACTTCAACTGCACAAATGCTTGATTTCAAAAAACTTCCTGAGAACCCTATCAAATACTCTTGTAGTTGACATCTGTACAAAGCGCCAAATTGTCTTGCCACCCAAAATCATTAAATGGCAGTATAAATAGGAGAAATTTTGAAAGGTCTCAATGTCAGGCCCAGGAGGGCTATTAACAACAGATATAGGAAATGTTTAGATGTGGAAATAGTAAAAGGATATGTTACAAACACAGTTAGTAATATTTTGAGATGGCAGTTTAATTATATGGATAAATAAATCAAGAAACAGCGTACTTTTTGTGTGCAATTTATATACACTTTTTTTCACTGGGTGACACCGTAGCTCTATGGTTGTCCATCCAAATTTTTTTCAGACCAGCAAGTTACAGACCTGCAGCTAACATTAATTATTACCAGTACCTGGTATCTTCCCGATAGTAGTTGACTCCTAGTGGGTGTACATATTGGCTGCACATAATAATTCTCTAACTTTATTCCTTCTGCAGCAAGTTTATCTAGGTTTGGTGTCATTATTTCGGAATTATGATATCCAATGTCGTTGAAACCAAAATCGTCTGCTAATATAAACAAAATGTGTGGTTGTGTGCTTTTTCCTTGCACTAAATATGTCATTATTAATAACGAGACGAAAGAACCATGGCGAATTTTTAATGACATCGTATTTGACCCTCACTCTTAGCCTTGTAAAAAATATAAACTCTGACAAAGTTTAGATGCTGAAGTCTGAGTCTGAAGTCACAAGAATACATCGATGTAAATATTAAGTTTGCGGTTAGCCCTTTTCTAACTTGTTCTTGCAAACGCAAAAAGGATAATGACTTTGGCAAAACTAGTTTCTGAATATACATGTCATTTTCCGGAATGTGAAGCTGAAGATTCTGTGGCGGATCCAGGATTTTCTGAAGGGCCTGAAGTCTGGGGACGCCTTAAAGCCATCGAAAGTTCCCAAGTTTAAGACAATAACCCCTCCCCCCCCCCCCCCCCCCATTTTTTTTAGTTTAAATTAAAGGTAATTTCACCATACAATTTTATGGGTTCAAAGTAGAAAAAGTGTCTAAATTAATTAATAATCACAGAAAATGTACAGATTGCCATATTTTTAAGATGTCAGACATAAATAAACAGAGGCATAAAAAAAATTAGACATTTTTAGTATGTACATTATTATTAAAACTATTTAAAAACTGGTTCAAATACATAATTCTGATACTGAAAGTTCCAAAATAATTGTTACTTTATAAATATGCATGAATTGGGAATATCAGGAAAGAAACCATTTGACCTAAGAAGTATAATAAAGAAAATGCCTGAATGGAAGATACATGGTGAGTAATTGCCCTTAGCATAATTTTTTTTAAAAATAATTAATAATTGAAAATATTTAATTCTAAAATTCTTTTACTAAGCAATATTTTTCATTACACCTATTGAAAAACATTCTTCCAAAAGATTTATTTCTATTGGGTATGAATTTAAAGCTATATATGGCATATCTGAGCTTGAAAACTAATAATACGAGATTGAGTGTAAATATACATGATATATGTTATTATCTAAATGTGGAGTGGGTAAATAAATCGGTTATCGTTTTAAATTTTTAGTATCTTTGAAACGTGGTTGATTTAAATTATGTAATTTACAGGAAAGTCCTATCTTTACATAAAGTTATAAAACAAATAGAAAGATCTTTTTTAATTTTGGTTACTGATTCAGAACTTATCAAAAAATATGCCATATATGACTTCAAATTAACAACAGATTTTGCAAAAACCTATGACACTACAGGAGGATGGAAATACCTTACTTTGCAGTAGTTCTCATAAATTTTTTATCACAAAAATCCATTTTGAAATTCATAATATACTACAAATAGCTCCACCCTGGGTTCTGATTCAGTACATGTATTTTGTTATTAGCACCCCTTGCACAGAGTTCATATGTTGCAAGAACCTGCTTGTTTGTTATTGATATAGACATAACTTATCGTCTTGATTCTGGCTAGTTAAATCCTGAAGATTTTAGAAATGAAATGCATTTTTACTACTAACAGTTTAACCCCAAGACTTTAACCCTTTGAGTAGGCCAGGAAGTTCACAATTTATGCAAGAGATGTCCTTGATTATTTTTGCTATGCATTCAGCTAGTGACAGCAATAGGGGGTGACCTATTAATACATGTAAATGGAGAGACTTAGAGGCATAGATCCTCAATAAAGTAGAAATTTATTGGCTAATGAAAAAGCATTAGCATTTCTCAACACAGGTAGCCTGCTTACCATTGGACAATCTCATACAGTAGCCAGTAGATCAAATTTCCTCATTGACAAGTTTTTTTCTTTGTTCTACATGTATACTTTGGTAAAAAAAAAAAAAATAAACAAAATAAAAACCAAACGATCTCATGAATCTATTTATATATTTATTTCATTATATAAAGTAAAAGGTTTATTTAAAAAAAATCATGATGTAAATACAAGTAAATCCATGTACAAATTATACACATGTACATAAAAGGAATGTGTATTAATATAAATGGACAAAACAGCATCCTGTATAAAAATATCCTCCCATATATGGAATAGGTATGTTACAGATTATCAACCTAAAACTATATGAAATATTGATTATATACAATGAAAAATGTAACTGTCTTCAAATTATGTGCTCATGAGGAGTTATATATAAAATTAGGACACAATTTATATAAATCAATACACCTGTAAAATTAATTTTTGAAATGGATGACATTACAAAAAGCTATTACAACTGACGAGAAATTTATATGCTTTGACCAGCTCAACAAAGTAAGATACATATAAATGTATCACGTAACTACTCCCTCTGATTTACCATGTTTTCAAAACACAAACAGCTTCATTGTTGCCTTAATAATCATTTGTTTTAAAAATGTTGTTTTGTAGAATGAGTTTGAAACAAAAACTTATACCCACCTCCTGTTACAATGCATCTTTGGAATGTATAAATCATGGGTATTAACAACACATACTGCCTTAATAGTTACATATTGTTTAGAGACCAATTATAGGGTTATAATTGTTATAAGTGGTTTGTAAGTTAAAGTCAAGATGGACATGAATCCAACTAACCAGTTAAAACTTAGTAACCTGTCACTAGATGATTATGTAAAACGTTTCCAAAATGATAATCAATATATTCATGAAGCTAAAACATAGATGAAAAAAAGACATTAGATAGACCAAAAATTTATCACAATTAGTTTAGAAAGTGTAGACAGTATTGTAATAAGGCATTCACCTTTTTGCATCAGAACATAATCTATGACAGCCACTGACTGGGGTGAAGAAAAGAGTGCATAATCGGTGTAGAGGTAGTGGTGACTGTATGGTATACACATTCTTCAAATGACACTAAATGACCAATCACAATTAGTACTAATTCACTACATTCTAGCTAGATATGGTAAAATACTTTGTTCTTCCCCTACATGCCCCAAGACAAAATTCGGACTATTTTTTAAATGCCTGGCTTACTGCAATGCCAATTACATGTTTCTTAAATTTTAATTAGTAGTAAGTACACTGGTACAATTCTTTTTCAATTTCAAATCTCTATCAATTTACAATGATCTTAGCAAAGTGGAGCTGAAATAGAATTATAACAAATATTCAAAACTGACCTACCAAATATTAATAAACAACAGTAATGTGTTAAACATCTGATGAGAAATGCTATGAATATATTCACTCAATCATACATTTGAAGAGAACTTACATTTACCAAAGTAAAAAATTCTGATATGAAAATTGCAACAACAAAAAAAAAAGCTTCTGAGTGAACATGAAATAAAACATTTGTTTACTAGTATTCCATATAATAAATTCAATCTATATCAACAGTCACATAGCAATGCTGCTAAATCTTATTTCAGCTTTACTAATATAGAAATGAAATGCCTCAGTCCTGAATTTTAAGAAATCAAGATACTATCAGTCAATCAAGTAAAGTTTATAGGTCTGAAAAATCACAACCATGTACAAATTTTCACAACCCTAAAAATATCAAATTTCAAACATATACCTGTGTTTTTGGTTATAACAGTACGAAATGGCACAAACATGTCAGAAGTGTATGTAAAATTTATGATGTCAGACATGAAAATTGAAGTTTTTGACAAACATATTATATTTGATCAAGCCCAATTGCTATATGATATTAAATAACTTCTGTACATAAATTGCATAATCCAGAATAACATTCAGGTTTTTTTCATACATTTCTAAAATTTATGCAAAAGACACACTGAGAGTAACATCATGATAGTAATCATGCTGACAGTTAGCATTCCAGCACTGTTTATTTGGCCAGTAGAGTCTGGAGTTGGAACAGTAGATGACTGAAGCTCTATCTGAGTACTTCCACTTCCTTCTGAATTTGATCCACCACACTGGTAATAACCGAAATCAGCATTGCTTACTCTTTTTATTGTTAGTTTGATTCGAACTTTGTCAGAAGCTCCTTCAATATAGGATGTTTCATAATTTCCACCTTCAGCAATGGCATTCCCATTCTTGGACCATCTAACCTGTTCTTTAGTAGGAATAGGATAACCTTCAAATTCACACATCAAGTCTTTTCTGTATCCAACCATCTGCTGTACTGGATTTTCCACTGCCCTTGCAATTGGTTTGAATTGGACCACCACTGACACAATTCGAGAAGCTTTTCCTTTTTCATTTTGGGCTGTACATTTATATGATCCACGGTGTTCTGGTTTGGCTTTACCAAGATCAAGAACATAATCTCGATGCTCTCGTCCTCCAGTTGGCAAAAGTCCTCCTGCAAGCTTCTCCCATCTAACAATTGGAAAGGGTCTACCAGTTGCATTGCATTTCAAGGATACAGGATCTCCAACTTTAACAGTCATATCACTGTCGGTTTCAAGGTCGGCGATTTGTGGTGCTGTCACAACTCTTAAAGTCCTTACATCTTTAGCATACTTTTGAACGCCAATTGAAACCTGACAGTAGTACTTCATTTCATCAGACACTTGCACGTTCTGGATTTTCAATCTCCACTGCAAGGAAGAGGGGACATCTATTTGGTATTTGAAGGGATCTTTGGAATCTGGACCGGTAGAAATAGAAATCAGGGGTGCCCCAGGTTGCATCGGTATACCCACCCACTCGACATCTTTGTCTGGAGGTTTATTTTCTACTTTACAGGTAAGATAAGCGTCGCTGTTTTTCGTCACCGTCATTATTTTCTCAAAAGGTGTAAATTTTGTAGCTGGACTGGTTTCATCTATTGTGACGTCTGGATCGTTTGCAACGACACATTTAAAGAAACATAACAGGACTATTAGTCTCTTCATAATTACCTCCGTTAATCAAAAGATCGCAAATTCAAAACAAGGCCATTTTATTTCCGATGAGTAATTTCGCTTCCGGATTCTTCAAATGCGCATGCGCCTTTGAAGAACATTTTATTACCTCGAACCTAATAAATTCGTTATAGGGGGGGGGGGGGTTTATATAAAAACCTACTAGGATCAATCAATGGAGAGAAAATTTTTTAAAGGCGTTATAGCGCAATATAAAAAGATGTAATAATGCGAAAAAGGCGTTATTACGCAAAATAACGCCTTTGAAAAAAGCGTTATCGGTTATTACGCCTATCAAGATTATTGCATTTAAAAAAAGTTGTACCGAAAAGTTAGAAAAAGACCCCCTCACCCCTACTCCAACACCAGAAAGAGGATTTTCGAGTTAAGGCAGTTTAGCTTTGTTTTGTGTGGTTGTTGTTGTTGTTAGTTTTGTTTTGTATTTTTTTTTTTTGAGGGGGTGTATGTTTTGTTTTTGTTTGTTTGTTGTCGTTGTTTTTTTTTTTTGCTTGTCAAATTTTTGGTAGGCTGGTCCCCTCAGTTTCAAAATTGTCGTTATATAACGCCTTTTGACTTCGCGTTATTAAATTACGACTGACTTTTTTTCGCTTTAAGACGCCTTTAGAAAAGGCGTTGTTACGCCTTTTACTAAGTAATTTTTTTCCTACCCAAAGATTGATCTTAATAGGCTTAATATACATATTTGAACAAGGCATAATACACAGACCTCTGGAAATTCTAGGTAGGATCAGATGCCTAGGAGGAGTAAACATCCCCTGTCGAACGGTTATACCCGCCGTGAGATCTATGTATTTGATCAGGTAGACGGAAAAATCGTAGTCAATTTTAGTATGAAAACAAAGGCTTAACAATTGGTTTGAAAAATGTCGGTCAAATACGACCCAGTGATAGGTTGTATTTGCTCAGGGGACGAACATTTGAATCGGGGGGGGGGGGCAGATTTGAAATAAATAATTTGGCCTTGAAAGTGTTGAAAATTAGTAATCTGACCTCAACTGGCAAGAAAATAAATGTTTGACCTTGAATGCTGGCACCCCCCCCCCCCAACACACACACAGACATTCGCGCGCACACAAAATAAAGGATTGGTGTTTGGACATTTGTTTTCCCTTGTCAATCCTTTTTTGCTTTGAAGAAGAAAATAAATAATCTGTTCTCGATTCTTGACAAAAAAATAATCTGTCCTGAAAATCTTTGTCATTATAACGTCGGACCATAGAATTTATGAAATGCTGACTTTTGACGAGGTTGTTGAAATCCCTGTAACATCAACTTAGTCAGTATCTTACCTCGGTTAAAAAAAACGATCGTACTCAGAGCATGCTTTTGAGCATCCAATAAGATGGGAGACATAAACACCATATATAGGTGATAGTGGAATATTAATACATAAATAAGGAATCGAAATATGACGACGGAAAAGCTGAAGTCATCTCGTTTGTCATAGAGTTCAGTTTTTAAATAAATTTAGTTGGCCTTTATCGTCTTCAGTAAGTAAAACATCCAAAAATGAAGCAGGTGTGACAGACTCTGTGGTGCCTTTTATTTCGAGTTCACTGGGATATATCTAGTCGACATATGAATGGAATTAACTATTGTTACTTGATAAAACGTCGTCGATATATCTGAATGTCTAGTTGAAGGCCAAGTATGTTCTTGAATAAATTCTGCTTCATAGGAATATCAAAACAGGTCTGCCAATAAAGGAGCACAATTAGTGCCCAACGAGAAAGAAAACGTTAACTCCTTTCCCAAACGTGAAAAATTATTATATTATATGCCGAATCCGTCCAACATAGCGAAATCTTCAAGTGAAACTTTTTTAGTAAATTCTTCGCAAAAATGCCAAAGTGCAGAGCCAGAAAAAATGTTGCTACATGTATCACAAACATGATTTTCAAGGATTGTCTACCTCTTATTGTTGTAAATAGAGAGGGTTCTCAAGAATGATTTGGTACTGTAAATCCAAATAAGTTTAAACCTGCAATTCTTTAAGATCTCGCGTAATGCAACTATTCATGAAGAATAATTGAACAGCTGTTACATACCAGGTAATTGTAAATGCATTTAAATCGGGGGACAGTTGTGAACGTAATTAAATGTTTTTTTCCTGATATCAATAACATGCAGTAATTTCAAGATTGTATTGATTGTTTGTACAAAATCTCAAAATTAAAATTTATCGCAAGCTTTCTGTTCCTTATAAGAGGTACGCTTTAATAACTGTTTACCAGTCACTGGGCAATGACAAGACAGTCACACATTCAACAGTTGAAATGGCTTCAATTAACGAATACATGTACTAGCGTTATGAAAAGACAGGACAAATGCGAGCGTTTGATATCCTGCATTTAGATAAAATGTGCAGTAAATATTATATTTGAAATCAAATACCTTGGATACATATATTCATTACAGTACTGCATGTACGTAAATGTTTACGATTCAGAAATTCGTTGTATAATCACCGATAATGGCAATAGGGTAGATAAAATATTATACAAGCAGTCTGTTAAAGACAAATAGTGAAAATGACATGAAAATTTATTTTAATTACAACGAGTAGTCGACCATCGTTCGACTAAAGCCTCTGACTATTCGACTAAGCTGTCCGAATAAAATTGACATCCCTATTTCTATGTACATGGAATATATTATGTTAGTATATACATGTAGGTCCTTACTAAAACAGATTACTCTCCTTTCCTGATTTGTAGAACATATAACAGTAAAGGAAAGTATCTTTCATTTCCTTTTATTGAAATACATACTGCATTTCTTTATCAATTTAAATTAAAAAAAATGCACAAACCACATTGTACCATGTCTCTGTCAAGAGTACAGGATTAGCTGTTGCATTTATTTAGTGAATGGAACAAATATCAGACTGAATGATTTTACTATATTTTTTTCAAAGTTTATATTGCAATGATCACACTATTTTATCTTGTGTTCAGTTGACCTGGAGTAGCAAACAGCCCCCCTCCTTGTTTACTTGCTGCTCTGGACGGGGCCAGTCCTAGGATCTTCTGGACATTCTGCACATATAAGAAATTTAAATAAAAGAAGTTCAGAGTTTTGATTATTCACACTTTAAAGAAAATATAAGGTAGGATCTTAATTTTTTTTTCATAAATACTGAAAATTGTAGAATGATGCTTCTTATGATTTTCTGTACACAATCTTTAGCACCCTGTAATTCAATCTGATTAAAATCATATCTTTGTTATGCCACCAAATGTTGATAGTCGCTGTAGGGTGAATTAAAAAAAAATGACCAAACAAATATTTTTCAACCTGCACTAAAAATACAGGAAATGGGAATAAATTTCTATGTCTCAGCATTTGTCCTTAGATAGTGTCTAAATATCTGCTAAATACCTCATTGATATCTCAATTCATGAAAAATGATGCTTAAAATGTCAGGAGTGCAACACCTTTTAGTGACATTTTGTGAAATTCAATATGTTTTGAAGGTCTGTGAAATGCATAACAATGGTTTATATTGAAAATAAAGATTTTCCTGTTAATATTCAAAGCATTGAGCTTTAAATGTAGACTGTAGCAACTTTTGTTTGACCAAGTTGTGGTCATGGCTGATGCTGAAAAAAAATGTTCTACCATGTCAGGAGTGCAACAGAAAAAAATGTAGTGTTGCCAAAATATCGATTTTAGAAATCAGAAAGATACGTGTAATTAAATCAAAATAGAATTTTCAAAGTGTAAAACAATAATTGATGTATAATTTAAAACTTAAAAATGTTATATAAATCACATGCAGCATTAATGAGAGTCTAGTATCTGTGCATACCCAATAATGTCAGGAGTGCAACATTTTCCTCCCTTTTAAAAAAAAAAACCAAACTTTTATCAGTATATGATTCTCTGGTTTTAATTTTGGAAAATAAAGACACAAAGAGCATTTTTTTCCAAATAGATTTATCAATTACTTTTGGAATTCATCCTGTACAAAAAGATCCTTGTACAGCGACTATCAGAATTTCGGAGCATGACAAAGATCTGATTTTAATCAGATTACACGTACCTGTAACTAAAAAAAAAGAAGTTTCCTCCTTTTGCAAAAAAAAAACAAAAAAAAACAACAAACAAATAAATAAATAAAATAAAATAACATTTGCAAGACCTACCTGTCTGATTGACATGGTGCACAAGATGTAGAGAAATATGAATGAACACTCTGAGTAATCGTCTCCTCCTAGGTTTCTATGGGAGATTCCTTGCAGTAGACTGATGGGAACAAAAGGCATCTTGGCTACAACCCGGCCATCAAATCTGTAGGAAAATCAGAAATATCAACATATTTCAAGATCTTGGGTATAACATTAAAATCCTCTTTTCTCTATGTTTAATATAAATATTAGAATCAAATGCTTTTAGTAATGCACGTTTTACATGAATGCCTCTATCTAAGTATGGAAAAGAATCATTGAAATACATTGTTGCTTTTTTTATGCAACAAGTTACTTGCTTTAATTGTCAATCAGAGAAAAATTGAATTTTTTCTCCTAATTCTGAGTTTGAATTATCTTATTTTACATTGAGTTAAACATGCTGAGTAGTGCTGTGAATGCAAATCCTATGGCAAACATCGACTTCATCTTAACCTGTAAAAAAAAAATAATAATGAACATTCATTTCTACATCCTGGTACAGAGATTCTAATAATAAATATATTACCAAACCCAAAATCTATATGAAAATGAAGACTTACAAAGGACAAGTCTCTGTTGTGATTTTTCAGTCTTTCTTCCTGGCGTTCTGAAACATCAACAGTAAGTAATTAATACAGTTGAACTTTGGTATCTAGAACACTGATATCTCGAACACCATGGATATGTTGAAGTGATTTGGAAGTCCCAACCCCATATTCTTTAAGTATATTACCCTGGATATCTTGAATCCTTGGATATCTCAAAGTTTTTTCTCGGTCCCATTGAGTTGAGATAACGAGGTTTGACTGTATTTTAAAACTTATTAAGCAGAGTCAGGGATTATTTCATTTGATTTAAAAATCTATAATTCCTTTAAAAATTCAATGTAAAACAAAATTAAAAGTGATTCAGTATTCTGTGTTTATTTGACAAACAACAAGTTGCCATTGCAAGTGTATATTGTAATAAAAATTCTTTGAAGGAAGCAAAGTAATCATGTGTCATGATTAAAGATTAAAAGTAGCACAAAGGCATACAAGAACATCACATTTTCTTAAATATGCAGTTTTGTAGTGTATCTATAAAATGCATGTATTTGGACTTTGACTTTGGTTGCATTTCACTAACTGGGATTTATTTCAGAGATTTTCATTCTAATTGTCAAAGAAGAATATTCATTTTATTAAGTGATATTCATACCTAGAATTTTACAGGTTTATAGATGTTGTTACCTAGCTTTCATGCCTAGACTTTTACAGGTTTATAGTTGTTGTTACTTAGCTTTCATTCCTGTCTAGAATTTTACAGGTTTATAGATGTTGTTACCTAGCTTTCATTCCTGCCTAAAATTTTACAGGTTTATAGATGTTGTTACCTAGCTTTCATTCCTGCCTAAAATTTTACAGGTTTAAAGATCTTGTTACCTAGCTTTCATTCCAGCCTAGAATTTTACAGATTTATAGATGTTGTTACCTAGCTTTCATTCCTGCCTAGAATTTTACAGGTTTATAGATGTTGTTACCTAGCTTTCATTCCTGCCTAAAATTTTACAGGTTTATAGATTTTGTTACCTAGCTTTCATTCCTGCCTAAAATTTTATAGGTTTATAGATGTTGTTTAATACCTAGCTTTGTATTCATTCTTGTCTAGAATTTTATACGTTTATAGATGTTGTTACCTAGCTTTCATTCCTGCCTAGAATTTTACAGGTTTATAGATGTTATTACCTAGCTTTCATTCCTGCATAGAATTTTACAGGTTTATAGATGTTGTTACCTAGTTTCTTCTTCTGACTTCTATCAGAGGATTCTCCACCTTCTTTTTTCTTTTCCACTAAAAAATCAATAAAGTTTGATAAGAACAACAGATACATGTATGTGCGCTCAGTGATAATGTACAGAATGTGTGCCAAAAGTGAAGATAATTTTATTTTTTCTCTATATATTTCATTGAAAACAACATTTTGTAAAATCACTGGAATGACAACATTTCTTGACAGATTTTACCACAAATTTCTTGATAATCCAAGAAGTTGTTTAAATTTTGATAAAAACAATAGTTTTTATCTGATAGCATTGATATTTAAAAAATATTGTAATTTTAGTGTGACATGAAAATTTAAGTCATATACACACAATGAATTATAAAGTCAACATTGATCTTGAATTTTTGAACTGATGTAAACGATGAACTATCTTTTTCTAAAAACTAAATATGGAATGATCTTTTAGAAAAAGATAACTACACATTTTCTGGTTTAAGTACTGAAATAAATAATGAAATTGGACAAAAATTGACCATTTGCCAGCGATTTAACTATATGTGGTTTTCAATAAAATATATAGAGAAAAAAATGAAATTATCTTCACTTTTGGCACAGATCTGTATGTTTTTTTTTTAAATTAAATAGGTCCCTGATTAAATGGACAAGATAAATATAATGTGTTATATTAGAACTCACATTTTTTGCTCTGTTTTTCAACTTCTGCCTTCAATTTTTTGTACTTTTCTGTGCGGTAAACTAGGAGCCATGTCAATCCTAAGAAGGAAAATAATATTTACTTGGTTTGAAATGCATTACTATAGCCTCAACAATGCAACTTGCCAGTATCTCACCCCCTTATTTATTTACTTATTTATTTTTTTTTTACAGTTCTATCCTCCATTCCACATGATTTAATTATATACTAGCTTGAATCAGCGGTATACCAGGAGATATCAGTCTTTTCACAGTGAGTTACCTTTACAATAATCACACGAATTTCTATTATATCATCTGAATCTTTACATGCTTTAACAAAAAGACGAGGAATTCGAACCTTCATCTCTAACATATATTTTCAACTTACCCTCTCCAAGAAGAGCTGTACATATTGAAATGAATACAATCAACAAACAATCAGACAACATCCCTGTTCGGCTGCCGGGACCACGTTAGTCTGCTCAAAGAGACTCAATTTCGATTTCCGAATTTTCTCTGGTAGGGATAAACATAAAAACCAAATCGACTTGGTCTTTTATTTTCCGGACTTTCATTCGTCGGGCTCGGTGTACCCTGTTTGTTTATGATAGGAAATGTAAACAAGAGAAGCCGACAATTTTTTTTAAAAATAGTTTATTTCACGAAAAAATGAGATGCAGAGCATGTAATAATGAGCAAAGATGTGGAATTACAACACTTAATTAAAGTGAAAGTGATTACAGTTGATGGAAAGGAAGTTCAGGTATGATCCGAGGCAAATACGCAATATTTTTATATCTACGTTTGTTCGTTTGTTTGTTTATTGTTTAACGTCCCTCTCGAAAAATTTTCACTCATTATGGAGACGCCGCCACTTGTCGGTGGAGAGCTGCAAATTTTGACCTTTACTCGGCACTTAGGGTCATTGAGCAATGAGGGATCTTTTACGTGCCAGCACCTACTGCGACACGGGACCTCGGTTTATACGGTCTCATCCGAAAGAAAGGTCTCCACATCCCACAGTGAGATTCGAACCCGCTACGTAAGGATCAACTCCTTACTCCGCGACCACAGGTACTTGTGGACAGGACTCCCCCCCCCCCCCCCCAGCAATTCAACCCCGAGGTTTGTTGGACATTTTTTCCACAAATTATATTTATTACACTTATTCATCATGTGTACCATACGAAAAAATCGTAAAAACCCCAAAATAATCGTTCCACACAAGAATACCCCACTATATTATTACGTCAGGCCAAAACTCTCTCGGACGTTATCGTAATAAGTGATACATTCTTGGTGTACTTCCGTTGCGTTTACCTAAGGAATTTTCAACGCGCTGACTACAATGCTGTTTAAGGATTAATTGTGGGATTCTTACGAGATGCAGAGTCAATCCGATAACATGAACTAAGTCAGAAATATATGTAGAGACAGTGTTAACCGACATTTTAGGTTAAAATAAAATAAATACATGTTTTTAAACCCAGAAAGACTAGTGGGGGTATAACGTAAACAAACCGGAGTGGCATACAAGTGTCCAACAAACCTCGGGGTTGAATTGCTGGGGGAGGGGGGGGGGGGGGTCCTGTCCACAAGTACCTGTGTCCGCGACTTTAGAGCGAACGCTCTAACCACTGCGCCACGCGGGCTTCATATCTACGTAAAACGTAATATTTATTATTTACCAATGTATTTTAAAATTGTTCATATTTTCAGACTGTAACGTTAAATTATTTTAGCAAAGTAAAATGGATATATTTGTTTATTGATTTACGGAGCTTGTAGAAAATTTTCACGTACTTCAAAAATATACACGAAGGGGGACATTTTCCACCTTTATAGGCCCTATAAACTTTAAACAGGTGCTCTTATATATATATATTTCTGAGTTATTTGGCCTTGACAAACATATATACATATACATGTATATCAAATTTTGTGCCGTTAGAAGACTTCCTTATTATACTTTACTTCTTTACTATACTTGTGATATTATATTGATATCCATCAATGAAAATGAGAAAGAAAAAGAAAGGTTTACACATCCTTGGCGTGTATTTTTATAGGTTTTAAAAGTGCTAGTTGTATTTCTATAGGTTACAGTGCCAGTTGTGGGAGAAAATGAGATGTCTGTGACTGACATTCACACCAAAGTCTGTCTCTCTTTGGGTAACGCTTTTAAACTAGCTAATTTATCGACACGATCAATCATTTAAATCCAATAGCATGCACATTGTGGTTTGTATCGAATCATACCCTAATCTTTATTAACCTTTGTTTGATTTCTTTGAGTAAATGGATTAAAATTTCATATTAGGTAAACAGAGAGTGTACATACTTTTCACAGCTAGACCGCTCTTACGATACTGATACTGTTACAATACGATACTTACGATATACTGTTTTATATTTTACTCTAAATTTATAGATAATTTGGTTAGAACAAACAGTTTGGTATTTTAATACTTAAGGACATACGCAACGTACCTTACCTACTGATAATTTTTCAAGATATTTTCAATTTAAGATTATAGTGCCATCAGATGTTCATCGACAAAAAATCAGCATGCATTACCAGGGGTTTTGAAAAGATATCAGTTGATGAAAATTCTTGTATAATTCAAAGAAAAATACACAAAAATTACTAAACACATATTCTAGATGTTTTGTTTATCCAAATTGTTTTAGAAGAAGTGTACAACAATATATATAGACATACAAATGTAGCACACAATTCCTTTAAGTATTAGAACTCTTCAACTTCAGGGAAAAAAGGCAATAAAGTTCAAACTACGTTGCGTATGTCCTTAATAATAAAAAATGTCTGCAAACATACTAACTTCAAAAATATGACGTTTGGTTTAAGAAGGGGCTTGGGAGAGAAAAAGTCTTAACCCGTATGGTTTATACATCGGATTTCTCCTGCGCTTTGACAGGTTTTGTTTTTCATTATCAGCAACTATTAATGGTTATAACTAGTAATTAATTGTTCTATACCCTTCTTGAAAAATGGGGGGGGGGTTAAATTGCTAAATATTTTGCAAGATGACCTATATTTGTCTTCATAGATTTAACTGATATAATGATTTTTTTTATTCTCCCTGTTATCAATAGATTTTGAAAAAAAAAAATCTTTTTAATTGTTTTACACAATAGCAAAATTCTTATCACTCCTATTAGTTTGTTGCAGATTTGATGAGTTTGAGTCGAAAGTTTTTATCATCTAGTCCTGAAAATGATACTTAGTTAACTGTCTTGTGAAAATTGTTATAAAGCCATAATACATTGAATACACAGGCACTTGACATATTTTATGTATTACGATACATATTTTTCTTATTGAAAAAAAATATATACATGTAGATATAATCCCAAACCTAAAAAAACACAGTGATTTAATTATTATGTATGGCCGGGCTTATATTTTTTTTAATAAGAAAAATATATAACGTCAAGTGCCTGTGATTGAATACCCTAACCTGACATTACTTCTATATCAGACTTGTTACGATCGCTATCTAATCAGCATTTCAGGTAGATCTACGTCATGACAGAATATGTAAAATATATTCCATTGGTTAATATATATATATATATATATATATATATATATATATATATATATATATATATATATATATATATATATATATATATATATATATATTTTTTTTTAAAAAAGTGAAAAACATTAAGAATTGCATAACAATTTCAATTTGTATACGTTACATATTTATGTAGAAATTAAGAACATTAATAAACTGTAAGTAACGCACCTGGTGTAGCTTTATAATTTACAGGTTTACAGAAGACGAGTTTGATTTGGTTTTCCTTATTTTGTGGAAAGAACGCACCTATCAAAAGATTAAAACCAGAGTCCCGCATATCGTCAACAACAACTGGTAATGTTGAATCAGATACATATTATCGTTTTTGAAAGCGAAAGGGGGTGGGGGGTGGGGGAGGGAAAAATGACAATTGAAAAATCTTTGACAAGCCCAAAAAGGGTAAATTGTCCAAAAGTCGAAAATCCTATTGTGGTGGTGGTGGTGGGGGTGGGGGGTTACCGTAGGTTTAAAACAAAGCTTTTCCACAAACACATTTAATGAATACATTACCATGGGCCACGGGACGATTTGACTGTACTGGAACAAAAGGGGGGGGGGTCGTCTTTTCAGTGAAAAAGGCTATGTTGAAAAAAAGGGGACAAGCCCTCTACGCCCCAATATTACGTTCCTTTTAAACACCAAACCAGTGCCGCTACCGAGTACCGATATATTGTTCAAAATGAGACACATATAGAGGACTAATTCATATTTTTTTATCAATCTGCTTTCCTAAGTCCTCAAAATCACTCAAGGGGGGGGGGGGTGTCTCCCCGAAATTACCAGAAATCGGAAAGGGAAGTGTCTATGTTTTGTTAAATAAATTAATATGAAACATCCTATAGAACTGAGTTTGTTTAGGAGTCCAAAATTTCATCTATGTTGTAGAGAAACTTTGATAAAATCACATTCTTTATTAAAAATCGTAAACTATTAACCAAATTATTCCAAATACTCAGTAATACGCCATCATTCTGATGCAAATCATTGGATGAAGACAGCGTCTTAATAGGTTTTTGGTGTTTTACTTTGGGGGTTTTTGAAGGGGAAATCTTTTAAAATCAAGAAAACAAGTTTATAATATTGTATTCAATCGAGGTTCATATGTATTCAGCTCTGTATGTTGTAAAGACGGGGACAACGAAACAACTTTCTTTTTTTTTTTTAAAGCGAATTGATTAGCATTGATCGTTGTTGATTTTTTATTAAGATTTTAACAGATGACATAAGACTTGGTAATATAATCACTTAAAACATTGATTTAAAAAAAAATAAACAGATTTCCACTTTTTCACAGAACTTTGCCTCAGAAAATGGTGCTTTAATAAAGAGATAGAAACTCAGCTGATTAAAGATGACCCAGTTGCATGTCATTTGGTGTACTTAGAAGCAAAATCGGCAATTTCTAGTGGTAAGTACATGTGTATTGTTGAAATTAATAATCTGAAATGATGAGAAGTAAAATCAATAAACATGCATTTTTAAAAGAATAATTACCCGGAAGAATGTATTGATATATACGAAAATTATATCGATACATTGAAAACCTAGAATACAAGAATTAAGACGGTACTACAGGGTAAAAAAAAACTTAATGTGAACATTATTTTGAATATGTCCTTTCCATTAAAGGATTGTTTTTCAAACATGGTGTCTTTAATTGTATCTTTTACACCAATATAGGAGAAATGACAGTAAGCCAGGAACAGCTGGAAAAATTAGAAGGTAATATTTCAGATACTTTCTACAAAAGGCCAATTTTACAACTTTGTAGATTAGACTGCATATTTTAAAAGGTTCTTAAATCTTAACCAACAAGATATGATATGAACCTAATGAAATGAGGCCTATTTGTAAAGAAGATGGGCGAAAAAGGCGTGCAAAATGCCTATAGCTTCAAATGTATAAAAATCAATTGAATTTGTAAACTAAGTATTTAGAGCAAAGTTTTATTAATTGAAAGACATTAAAATTATGACAAACTTTGCTGCAGAAAATTTTTTCGGCAAAAATTATTGTAAGGTATATTTTGTTCTGTTTTTGTTTTTTTTTTTTTTTAACCCAAGCGATAAAATCACCCGGATCCACTAAACTGCACTGCACAGCTCATTACAGGTAGACGAATAATTTTGACACTTGTGAGATCGTGTGAAATTTTGGAGATTTACATAAATTATAAATTAATGTGAAGTGAAATACTGAAGAAAATTCTGTTATATTTGAGATTTAATTTTTCACTTTCTTATTTGTCGAACAATAGGGTTTTTATCGCCCGCATGGCGCAGTGGTTAGAGCGTTTGCTCTAAAGTCGCGGAGTAAGGTGTTGATCCTTACGCCGCGGGTTCTTATCACACTGCAGGACGTGGAGATTGTATAAACCGAGATGCTGTGTCGCAGTACGTGCTGGCACGAAAAAGATTCCTCACTGCTCAATGGCCCCGAGTGCCGAGTATAGGTCCAAAATTTGCAGCCCTCCACCGGCAAGTGGTGGCGTCTCAATATGAGTAAAAAATTCTCGAAACAGACGTTAAACAAACAATGAACAAGAGGCATTTTTCTTGGCTTGTTCGTCCAGCTTCTTATTCTTTCAATGCTAACACCTACTCTAAGAAATGTATACTGCATGCGTCACTGGTTGACTGTTCGAAGTGACACGATTGTAGGCCTACTAAAAGTTCCATTAAACCCATTAAAGAAAATGTAAATCGATATCATAGATATATTCTTACATGCATGCTAAATATCATTTCTTTGCTCTAATTCTTCTCAACAATTTATTTTTTCTTTATCATAAGAAACATGAAGCAAACTCACGAGAAAAATATCCACAAATTTTGAAGAAGATACCCTGAAATAAGTGTTTTATACAACAAGGGTAAAACCACAAAAACCACAAAAGGAGGCAAAGTTTCAAATAAAAAATTGTTTTAGCTCACCTCGACTAGGTCGAAATGAGCTTATACGCTTATGCTATTCCCCCGGCGTTGGTTTCGGCGTCTAAAGTTACATGCAGTAATGGTTAAGGTTAGTAATGTTTAAGTGCAAACGTTTAAAATAAACAGCAGTTTATTTTTATGCTTTCCTATGCTGAATTCTTAATGATTTAAGACTTTTATTGTTTTAATCTTTAACTCCATTAAGACCCTCATCTCACTGGTCAAACGTTTAAACTTTCCCAGGATACCATTAACTCTGCTATTTTGTGAGTTTTTTTCAGTTTTAGAACAAGTCTATTCCCAATTATATGTAATTATTAATCCTATGGAGACCAAACTTGCATGGATGATGCATGTAGGGATACACGTATCAGATATGCTTCGGATGCTGGATTTCACCTACACTTTCCATATGATTGAACAGGTTAAAGTTTAAGGAGTTAGTCCATTCCCAAGCAACTATAAGCCTTATGTTTACAATACTTGCATGGATGATGCAGTTAGGGATGCTCACTAACAGGCTTAATTGCTTTGGATCTTACAAAGCAATTGTTCTTACAAAGTCAAATTTATAATTCAAGATATTGACTTGCAAGTATGGCAGGGGTATACATTATAATGAAGGATTAATGGTTTACATACATATAGGGAACATTCCTTTGTTAATTTCATTTCAAATGTCTTTTGGTCAAGCGCTCGACACTTTGCAGTGAAGGTTGCAGATCTTTCAGATGAGACCTTAAAAAACTAAGGCCCCCTTGTCACGGCAGGCGTTGGCACGATAAAGATCCCTCACTGCTAAATGACCCTGAATGCCAAGTAAAATCTAAAGAAGCCTTTCTACGGTATATGATGACGTTTCTATATAAGTGAAAAATTCTCGAATGGGACTTAAAACAACATATAATCAATCATATGTCTATTGTGTTGTTTACTCAGAGGGAGGCTATAAACTGACGAATATCAGTTCCTAGCATTCGTGGTGTGTCATGGTTCTTGGGGCTCAGCTATGCCACAATGACGGTGTAGTTACTCTATTGCTCAAGGCTTATGAATCCTTTGGTTATTATATGATACGCCTTGACACATGTCTATTTCTAACTTGGATGAAACCTTACGTGGTTAAATGTATTTGCCATCTGACTCCTTTTTGTAAAATTCAAATGAAGAGTTGACATGTCTGAAAAATACTTATAGGCATTTTATTTTTGCTAAAGATGGAATGTGTACACGCAAGAATTTTTTTAATAATAAGAGACTGAGTAGCAGTTTTCTTTTTACCAGTTGTGTTGAAACCAGAAAATTCGCTTCGCTTTTCAGAGTATGAAGATCCCGGTTTTACATTAAAAGAAAAATATGTCCTTCTTGCTCACACTTTGGAAGACTACTTTTCTGTTTTAATTAGAGATTGTAAGATAACAGATAACGAAAAGAACGGAAATTCTCCTCAGGTAATATACTTGTATATAATAATATTTGAAATAAATCAATTTTAAACACTAACTTGCATTCTTTAAATAAAATTGGCAGGACAATTTTATTTTCAATAATACATGTACATCCAATATTTCTGAAAATTGATAAAAATACTGCATTGTAAATTGACCATAACTGTCTTTGAAGTTGTTCCCAATACCATGATGTCTCCACAATGTATAGAAGTACCCAACTCCTTAAAAACTGTTTTCACGATCTCTATATTTTTTACACAGGTCTTCAATAAAGGTGCCATTAGAGTTTCACTGGATGGTATAAGAATACACAAAGGTAGCATGAATGAAAGTGGAAGAAGTCTTTGTATGAGAGTGTGAAGTAGAATAGAACGTCCCAGGGTCCTGTTTTACAAATGAAATTAAGACGAAGACCAAAAAAACTGTAGCTTAATTTAAAATCTTGCAAAAATAATAATTCTGTTCAGAATTACGTGCATAAAAATATCTTTTAAACTCTTGTGAAAAATGATAAATGACATTTTTAAATTAATGTAAGAAGAAAGTAAATTGCAAAAAATTAAAATTTTGGTCTTAGTCTTAAGTTCTTTTGTAAAACACAGGGCCCTGGTCAGTGAATGACAGGAACTCATAATCTTCCTGACTTACTGTACCGGAATATATATTCCTGCTAAACTCATCTTATCCAGACACCCAAGTCATTTTTGGGATGAATGGTCAAAAATGGGGATCAGCTTAAGTTGAACAGAATTGTGAAAAGGAACTGTTCAAGTCTTGAAATGAAACATCTAAATATTTGTTCTTTTCAGATAAATGCCAAGCAGTGCTGGAATGGAAACGTCTGAAAAAATGGTTAATCCATAATAAACTGTCCAGAATTATTCTACTATATTTAAATCCAAATGAAGAACTGGAAACTACTGTTATAGAAACATGTCAGTGTGAATATTTACTGGCAGCTATCAATCAGATTGTTAGAGAATTACAGGTATTAAGTATTTGATATTGTTTAAAACCGAAATTTGATGTAAATAAACCACATTTTAGAAATTCGGGTTTTAGCAATATTGTCATTTTTTTCCCCTAAAAAATATAATATTGAAGGATAAAGTTATATTGTTATATTTTTCAAATAGAAATTAACGTTTTAGTAATGTTGTCACTTTTTTTATTATTTAAAACTATAAATCAAAATTTTAATAACTCTTTTTCTCATACATTTTTTAATCTGAATTCAGGTTTTAGCAGTATTTTCTTTTATTATAAATTGAGCTGTTAGTAACGTCATATTTTTGTGTACTATTAAGGTTTTAATAATACTGTTTTTTTTCCTTTACTATAGCAAAGTTTTAGTAATACAGGGTATCAATGCCCATTTTTTAATCTTTAAAAATAGATGAAGTATCAAAAGCAACTTTACATCACGAATACTTGTTGTTTTCTTATTGTGATGCTTCGTGTTTGCTTTATTTTGACAGGTGTCCAGTCCGAATGATTCCTTCTTTTACTCGTCTATGATCTCAACAAACGAGGATGGATCAATATCTTACGAAAATGCCCTGTTCAAATGAATGATACTCAAAAGAACATAAGCATCATTTTCCTCAGGAATGCAATAAGAAATAGAATGCAATGTAATGTAGAATGTATTTAATGTGATATACATGTAATATCACAAAACAGCCATATAAAATTTCAAAATTCTAAATATTTTTAGTACATGCTCTTTGAGAATGTCGAAAACCTATAGCCAATTAAATGTTTATAAGCATTCCTGCAATTCTTTACTTTCAACATATATTAAACTGAAAGACATGCTCTTACTTAAGAATAGTCGAGCATGATTTGATGTCAAAGTAACTTTTTACTGGATTGTGTACTAGCTACAGTGTTGTTTTTTTTAAATTCAATTTCATGAAAAATCATACCTTTATAATTTTATATACTACATCAAAACACACCGTACAATAATTCATATCACCTGGTTTTTAAGATGTAAAATTGTAAATTAATATATACATGTATAAATTATAAAAGTTTAGTAATTTAGTTGTAGTGCTAGTTTTTGTACTTGCTGTTTTTCCATTTCCTTGTTTTTTTAATGACTTTGTAATCTTTTCATTGCTCTATATATATATATATATATATATATATATATATATATATATATATATATATATATATATATATATATATATATATAAACAATCCTCAAGTTCATTGATTTTAGGAAGTGGGGGGGGGGGGGGGCAATGGGTGCGCCCCCTAAGATTGAATCATGGTTCCTTCTTTGAAAAGAAATGATTTAATATCAGGTAAAGGATTGTAAATGAAAGGTTTCCTTTCTATTTTCTTGAGAGGTGGAACTTCTGGGGCTTTGTTTTCACTTTTCAGAGACCTCAAGGAAGAATGCTACACCAAAATTTTATTTAATAAATCTTTAAGACATATCTTTTTGTAATTTGGTTTCAACACGGAAAGATTGATATTAGCATTTCATAATTTTTTATGATTTTTTGTATTTTTTAAAAAATGTTTAACTGTATAACTGTAAAAAACTATTTACAAATAACGTGTTTTATAAATAAATAAATATTTTTTTATTTAAATTTAAAAAAAAAATGCCTATCTGACTTTCCTTGATTTTCAACAGCAGTTTTGAACTCAAAAGCATTTTATTTGTAAATAAAACAATTTTTACATATTCTTTGAAGAAATATAAAAAAAAGTTTATTAAATTAGTAATAGCAAATATCAATCTTTCCGTGCTGAAACCATATTGGTTTAGCATCCCACCTTGAAATAAGCGTAATTTTATTAATTTTCACCAGTATAAGCATGACGACAAGAAATAAATGCAGTGAAGATGTCCTCTTACAACACTTCATTTTTGCACTGCAAAATCTGCCCCCTCTAACTTTGATTCCTGGATATGTCCCTGAAGTTGTCATTTTAACGATAATATGTCCTTTTGACGGCCGGAGATTGTAAAGAATGTTCATCTGAAGGGGGGGGGGGTACTGAAAAAAAATGTAAAGAAATAGAAATCAGTGTATCAATAAATACTCTGCATTAAGAAAAGGGACGTTTAATGTGCTACAAATAAAGCTGCAGACTGATAATTAGAGCAGTAAAGCCATACTGAAATTTCTTTCTAGTTTCTAATCTGAGGGATTGTTGAATTAATCAAGTACATGTCATGTATGAAGAAAAATGCAGAAGTATTTCTTATTATTCATTTAACCTTTAATTGAGAATTAAAGAATCATATTTCTATTTGATTTTCACACTTTATATGATAAATGATATTCTTTAGCAGTCTTAATTTTTCTAGTTCTAGTGTTAGGGTGGGACTGTGTTGAATCTATATTGAAAATGCATTCTTCTCTGCTCCAGAGCATTCAGGAGCAAACAGAGTACGAAGTTGTAATAATTACGGATATTTTTAAATTTTTATCAGATTTTTGAAATTCTGGACCACTTGACAAGTGATTCGGTGCTGGGCAGGACTCTATTAATTTGTATTCTAATGAGAGAGGTCTTTCTCCTTTTCTATTCGCTTGGTATGATAATTAATCACTGTAAGTAATGTAATTGAAAGGTCAATTGAATAAGAGAGTTACACATGTACATGAATTTTTATGCCCCCAGATCGAAAGATCCCAGGGGTATATTGTTTTTGTCCTGTCTGTCTGTTTGTCTGTTTATCTGTTTGTCCGTTTGTCTGTCTGTCTGTTGTCAACTTTAACCTTGCCCATAACTTTTGATTGGTTGGAGCTATGACTTCCATATTTCACATGAGTATTCCTTGTGGCATGACCTTTCTTTGGGTACTATCATATTTGACCTTGACCTTGGAGTTTGACCCACTTTTGCAAAATTTTATTAAACTTTAACCTTGGCCATAACTTCTGAACAGTTGGTGCTTGGGGTTTCAAACTTCACATGTGTATTCTTTGTGACAAGGCCTTCCTTTGGATACCAACAACTTTGACCTTTTGACCATGACCTTGGCGTTTGACCTACTTTTGAAAAACTTTAACCTTGGCCATAACTTCTGAACAGTTGGTGTTTGGGGTTTCAAACTTCACATGTGTATTCCTTGTGACAAGACCTTCCTTTGGATACCAACAACTTTGACCTTTTGACCTTGACCTTGGCGTTTGACCTACTTTTGAAAAACTTTAAGCTTGGCCATAACTTTTGAACAGTTGGTGCTTAGGGTTTCAAGCTTCACATGTGTATTCCTTGTGACAAGACCTTCCTCTGGATATCAATTACTTTGACCCTTTGACCTTGACTTAGGAGTTTGACCTACTTTTGAAAAACTTTAACCTTGGCCATAACTTTTGAATGGTTGGAGCTAGGGCTTTCATACTTCACATATGTAATCCTTGTGACAAGACCTTCCTTTGGATACCAACCACCACTTTGACCCTTTGACCTTGACCTAGGAGTTTGACCTACTTTTGAAAAACTTTAACCTTGGCCATAACTTTTGAATGGTTGATGCTAGGGCTTCCATACTTCACATGTGTAATCCTTGTGACAAGACCTTCTTTGCATACCAACCACTTTGACCCTTTGACCTTGACGTAGGAGTTTGAACTACTTTTGAAAAACTTTAACCTTGGCCATAATTTTTGAATGGTTGGTGCTAGGGCTTTCATACTTCACATAAGTAATCCTTGTGACAAGATCTTCCTTTGGATATCGACCACTTTGACCTTGACCTTGACGTTTGACTTTTATTTAAAAAACTTTAACCTTGGCCATAACTTTTGAACACTTGTATCTAGGTCTTTCAAATTTCACAGGTGTATTCCTCGAGACAAGACCTTTCTTTGGGTATCAACATTTTTTATCTTTTGACCTGGATTTTGACTTGCATTTGAAGAAACTTTAACCTTCGCCATAAGCTGCCATACGGGGGCATCAGTGTTTCACAAACACATCTTGTTACGGTATATAATACTGTGATAGTAACAAATTGGAGCAAGCACAGACAAGTAAATAGATCTATTTTAAGATTTCTTATTGAGTGTTAGAATAATTGTTACATTAAAAGTTTGAATCTAAAGTTTAAACTTATCTAGTTTAAACTTTAGATTTAAACTTTTAATGTAACAATTATTTTGTTGATCCCTAATCATCGCATTTCTCTTGCTTTTGGGTATTATAGCTTCATCTATCTGTTTGTTTTGATTTATTTATTTATTTATTTATTTTTACTTCTATGGATCCTTTACAGTACATGTATTATACTCAGGTGACCGTTAAGACCCTTGGGCCTCTTGTTACTATGTTAATAAGAAAAGAATTTAAAAAAAAAAAAAAAGAAATTATGTTGCTTTGATAGGAACCGAACTTACGACATATTAACTGTTGAAAAAAACGATCAACTTATGAAAAATATGTATAAAAAAAAAAAAAAAAAAAAAAAAAAAAAAAATGCAAATAAAAATTGGCTGGATGGCGTCAGTGGTACATAGTGGTTCTGGAAGTTTACATCGGTCTGTAATAGTGCTCTAAGAAGAACAGGTAAGTATGACATTTTGTAATATCGAAGTAACCACTTGACTGAGCCAGCTCTACGTAAACGTATGCAGATATTTAAACTTTATATATCTACAAGCCATGTAGTGGTGCAATACTACAATGTTATGTGAGCATGCTCTGTCATTGATTATGTGGCCTATTTAATCGATGAACATGTTGACATTTTTATGGCAGATTGGGGAGGGGGGGTTAGCCTTAATAAAATTAACCAAGGAATGAGGCTTCGCTTCCATGTAAAAGCTGGAATAGGCTTTTCATGCTAGCTCAAATTGATGGCAGAGTCATATTTTTTTGGCTGCAATATCAATATTATGTGAAATTAACCATTATGGTGTGATATATTTTACATTCAAGTTTTAAAATATATATATACAATTATATATATATATATATATATATATATATATATATATATATATATATATATATATATATATATATATATATATATATATATATATATATATATATTGTATGTATTTCTGAAAATATAAAACGTGACGAAAAATTTTGCTAAGCTTAAATTATGACAATGATTTAATAATGATTGAGTTAATAATTCCAACCATAAATATGTGGTAAAAAAAAAATCCAGATCAAAAGTTCTTTTTTTTTTTTTGCAATTTAGCAAATGGAAGGGTCATATGCCAACCGCATTCATCAATATGGGTGGGAATGGGAGTGCATGAGGTGTAGATTTTTTAAGGTAATATGTAACAAAATAATACTGCAGCATTAATAAACAACTACTAAGGCCAGGTCTGTCATTATTTTTGTTATATATGTAATTCGTTGTACATCAAGGTCATTTTAATTCAGTGCAGACAAGTACATGTAGGTCCCACAGTTTAAGGATAGCAGCATGTATAATTTTTTTTTCTTTATGAACCTTCTGTATCCTAAACCCTTGGTTTTATTTACAAAAACAATTCCAGTATTTCAAGACTCGCGTGGTCACCTATAGATAGTGCCCCCCCCCCAACTGAAAAATGTATGGTTGAGCCCCCCCCCCCCCGTGAAATTGCTTCCTACGAGCCTGCACCCAGTCTAGAGTTTTCTAGTAGCAGTATCCACAGCTGTCTGTACAATCTGTCCTTAGTCATCCCACGATTTTTATTTCTAAATAAAATTTGGTGTTATAATAAATTAATTTCATACAGCTAGCCTACATGCATTATTCTAAAATATTTTAAGGACAACAGTGCAGTAGGCCTGACATGAATAAAATAACCACATGACTGGATCAACTTTACGCTGATATGTATAATATTAAATTAATCTGCATATCTATGGGTCATAGATTGGTCAACACATATCTTATCTTGCCTTTAATTGCGCATACCTGTTTTGTAAACATGTTGATCGTTTGACCACCACATTTCACAAAGGGCCAAATAAGAAATGGGGGGGGGGGGGGCAAATCTCGAGCTCTGTGGTACATAATATATAACTTCGCACAAAAACCCTTGATATTTAAAACGACCTAAAGGTCATCTAAATATGTTAGCATGACATCTTACAAACAATGTCAACACCAAATTTTCAGTGACCTGATGTGACGGATATTTTCTTAACAAACAAAGTATAATTGTACACTCCTTGTTTGTAAGTTCTAGTATATATACGTGTAGGTAAATGGCATTTAACTATATGTGTAAACTGTAAAGTACTTAGACTAATCAAATATTGGAGGACACCCAATTCGTGTTAAGTAAGTAGGTCACCTCACTCACCTATATATACATTGATGCTTTCGTTTTTGTTCCAGTTTTAAATGCCCGACATTACATCAGTAAGGACAGATCTAGAGGAGCACCTAACAAGTAAGCGTCAGTATTAACTTTATCATTTATGATATATTTTTCTTCAAATAATGCATTTCCTTCACTTGTCATTGTTTACATTCTGCATTTTCTCTGTTATATGCCACTGCATGTTTACATTCTTATTATGAAACCGAGAAGTAAATGAAGGCAATTATATAAGTTGTAATTTTAGGCATTCATCAACACCGCATTGCCAATTTTTTATACCCACATTTTTTTGTTCGTATCTTTTGTAGCTCCCAGGAGATCGATAGAGTTCCGACAGGCATTTATTAAATGAGAGCTATACTTTTTTATATCGTCAAGGTGACCCACCGCCAGAGTTTCAAGTATACTTAGAAGAGCATGGAATTTTTAAACTTCATACCAGTTCTGCAGTATTGTGTAGAAGAAATAGTCACACAAAAGTCCAAATTATGTGACTCAGCAAGAGTTACAACCGCGGACATCATTAATAGAGCTGCACTTTTACACGATGCCATTGATAAAGTCAAAGAAAACCTTCTTGTAAAAACAAAAAGGATTTTGGACAGTGAGTTAAAAAAGATGGAATTCCATGAAGAGGAACTAAAGACTTGGATCTCTTGGTTGTCCTCGCAAAACGATATATCAAATCAGAATGTACCCGAAGTAAAAGATGAAAGCATTTGTAAATTCCAGAACGGGAATAGGAAAGAATGGTTAGCAAGATTACAGCAGCTCTCTGAAATTCAACACATTAGCTTGTACTTTAAAAGTGGAGAAGTTATCAATGAAGCATTTGTGAATTCTTTGTTTGGATCGGTGCAGAATTTCAGCATCACACCCCCGTCGCCTATTAGGAAGAATAGACGTGACACTTTTCCAACAATCGGTGTGGAAAGAAGGGCTAAATTTAAATCCAAGGGTACCGCTGGAAATATCCATGCAATTGCTCCAATATCGGGAAACGAAGCGTGGATCTGTTGTGGATGGGGAAACAAGGAGATGGTTCTCTACAATATGGATGGAGATGCATTAGTATCGGTGACACTGGATGTTGCAATCGATCACATAGTGTCAACCCGAAATGGAAATGTTTTAGTCTCTAGTTACAATGGCAACTCAATATGGCGTCTTGACGAGCAGCTAAATGCTACAAAATTTGCCACTTTGTCCTTTGTTCCACGTGGCATGGCTGTAGCTGAAAGCAATGAAATATATGTCTGTGGTGTGGAAAGAAACAGGCGACATTTGATTGCCAAATTCGCTGCAGACGGCACACTGATTTCCGACATCACTATTTCCCCCCACGATCCTCATCGACTAGGATTAATAAGCGAAGACAAATTATGTTTTTCAGACTACAGCAAAAACAATAAACGACAGCTTGTTATTATGGACAATACATGCAAAGTACAGTGTACGTACAATGGAAAAAATGAACGGAACATCGAATTGGAAAACCCTTTCTATCCCCTCGGTACCCAAGTTGATCAGTACGGCAATATTATTGTGGCGGACTGGAATAATGACCGTGTCCATTTGCTGGACACTAATGGACAATTTTCTCAGTTCTTAGTTGACACTGATTGCGGTATAGAACGACCGTGTTCGTTAGGGTTAGATCGTGATGGCAAACTCTGGGTTGGAAACGCAACAGGACACGTGCACGTTTTCAGTTACTGCAACTGGTTGACCTGATTCCTTAAGACACCAGCCACAAAAGAAAGTTCGAAGCACTTATTTAATTTTAGTACCGTAGATGAAAATCCTTTACAGTTTAATATAAAATGATTGGGACTCTATTTACTTTAGGTTTTCATTTTTTTTTGGTAGATTTTGATTTGGTAAATTATTTTGGGTAGGGCTTCCACAACTTCAAAAAATGTGCATTTATAGCACAGGCAACATTACCTCAAATCACTTGTTGCAACATTACCTCAAATCACTTGTTAAATCTTCTAAGTAAATAATTACAAGTTTGTGTGTATATCTTATCAGAAAGTCGGTGAATTATTCTGTTGATTTAACAACGATATAGTTCTGTAAACCCAGAGGAATGTCTGATGGTGAATGACCCTATATATATGATATTTTACATACAATATGCCAGTCAGTTGTAGCAATTTTCTTCTGAAAAAATATATAATTTTTAAATTTCTCAATTTTTTACGTGATTTGTGTCCAGTGTCTTATAAGAATGTATGTGGTTAAATACAGATATTACTTAAATAAATAAGAGTACATGTAAATTAACTGCATATTTGCTGTACTATAGCCCATATGTGTACTATATACATATGATATGTAATTCATCGCACATAAGAGATAATGTAGTATATTTGTTACATTAAAAGTTTAAAGTTTTATTCTTATCTATAGATAGTTATAGGTAAGTTTAAACTTTAGATTTAAACTTTTAATGTATCAAATGTACAGATCACAGAAGTACATTTAATTTATCAGTCATAGATTTAGTATTATAAGAGGTAAGGAATGTCTAGAAAGCATCACATGAGTAAACAAATATAACGTTAAATATTTATATAGATTGCAATAATTGAAAAGATTACTGCAACACCTAATACTTCAAAGCAGAAAAATATAGCATATACTAATGCAGTGGTTCAGCTGGAGAGAAAAAAAAAGCGGGGGGAGAAGGTATACATGTGAAATGCTTAAACTAATCTAATATCGGTCACATAACCACATAAAAGTAGGTTTGAAAACTTGTACATTGCAATATAAGGTCACAGACACCACGGGGAAATACGACCCGAGGTGGTTGAACTCGACCAATACTAGGCAACAGTTTGAAAGTCGGTTAATGTTGTAGATGGGGATCAGTTAAAGTTCAGCATCTTGTTTCTTCCCTGGTTATTCTTGAATGGACGGCTCTAAATGTCTCTAGTGTTTCATCTTTCTAACATCTTTGACACGAATTCCCCAACAAAAGAATGTAAGTGGGTTTTAGACCTTAATTCTTACGTTCTTCTAGAATTTTCAAGAACATAAAATAATACATTTATTAATGTACAAAACTGTTAAGTGTTAAAAAAAATCAACTAATTAAATGTAATGGTCAATAATAACAAAAGTCCGGTGGTTCAAATACATGTATATAACCTTTATATGGTCCCTATATTTTTTTCTAATTTATGTACTAAGGCCGTAGGAACCGGGGGGGGGGGGGGGGACCAATAATTTTGTCGATATATAGAATATTATAGAAAACATAGCTACTATATGCTTTTGCGCCCCCAATAATAATGAAACTCTGAAAATGTATGGATGTTCCCCTCAGACTGAAATTGCTTCCTACGGGCCTGCTATTTCCGACAAATTCCCTTTAATCGGGTGCACGACATTTCCACAAAAATGACCTTGCTGGTGAGATTAAATGCACCTTTACCTGAATATACATGTACCTACTACGTGCAGTAGTTAGCTCTCGATTATTTGATAGTCTGTCAAACTTAACGATAACTATTCAAAGTCACGTTTAGGTACATTACAAAGAAAATTTCAAACTCTAAATAGACCACTGAATCAGCTTTTTTTTTAAGCTCACCTGAGCTGAAATACCAGGGAGTTTTTGATAGGCGTCCGCCAGTCTGTAAACTTTTTATATATTCGACTTCTTTTCCTGAACCACTAGACCAATTTCACAAAACATTCTTGGGTGAAGAGGATTTAAGTTTTTCAGTTTGAATGCTATCTTCAAGTGGAGATTCATTTTTATGCCACCGTAAGATTCGGGGGTATATAGATTTTGCCATGTCCGTACGTCTGATTGTCCGCAAAAACTTTAACATTGCTAATAACTTTTGATTGGTTGGAGCTATAGCTTTCATATTTGACATGTGTATTCCTTGTTACAAGACTTTCTTTGGGTACCATCATATTTGACCTTGACCTTGGAGTTTGACCCAGTTTTAGAAAATTTTACCCAACTTTAACCTTGGCCATAACTTTTTAACAGTTGGTGCTAGGGCTTTCATACTTCACATGTGTAATCCTTGTGATAAGACCTTTCTTTGGATACCAACAACTTTGACCCTTTGTCCTTGACCTTGGAGTTTGACCTACTTTGAAAAACTTTAACCTTAGCCATATCTTTAGAACGGTTGGTACAAGGGCTTTCATATTTTACATGTGTATTTGTTGTTAGAAAGCCTTTCCTTGGGCACCATTAATTTTGACCATTTGACCTTGATTGACTTACTTTTGAAAAAACTTTTACCTTTTCCATATCTTTTCAATGGTTGCTGCTAGGACTTTCATATTTCACAGGTATATTCCTCGGGATAAGACCTTACTTTGGGTACCAACATATTTGATTTGCATCTGAGAAAGTTTAACCTTCACTATAGGTTGCTATATGGGGGCATCAGTGTTTCACAAACACATCTTGTTTTTTCTCAAACCATGGCATTCATCCGACAAACTGAAGGATCCCCAGAGGTAGGGTGGGGCTATAAAATTTCACAGATTTTAACAGGTGTGTATTTAGGAACAAATCTTTTCAAAAGAAGCTGAGCCAAATCAGATTGTCATGTGTACATTCTTAAGTTGTATGGATTCATTTTTTTTCTTTTAAATAATGGACTTTTAAATAAGATGGGCTTAAAATTGGAGAAAATGTTCATAATGCACGTGTACAGGAAAATTTCTTTAAAAAAAAAATTTCTCCAGAATAGCAATGATAATCATATTGATATTGATTTTAAAATATCCTAATTTCGTGTCGATTGAAGTTCAGTTAAATCATAAACCCTTTGGGGCCACAATATGGGGTCTGGTCAACATTCTACATTAGAATAATGAGTAGGAAAAACTTTTGAAGAAACAGCAAGACCAGGGTGGGTCAGGTGAGAATTGTGACCCATGGGCCTCTTGTTTTCATTACCTAAAGTTCCATGCTGCTCACTCATGCCCCTTCTTCCTTTCCATACAATGCAAGCCCATAGGTAGCATTTTCAGTTGAAGAGGGGGGGGGGGACAAAACAAGAGGCCACAATGCTCACCTGAATCACTTTGACCCTGCTGTTCTTCAGCAGATTTTTCCCTCTATAATATTGTCATCCTCTCAACATCAGGGGCCCTGAGTTACTGAGTCAACTAGTTGCCATGGGACCCCTGAAAAACTTCATTCTTTTCTTGAGGGGGGGCTTCCTTCTTTCATTGAGAAACACCAATCCAATTGAAGCTTTCATAAGTAGACAGATACTGTAAACAGATAGGAATAAGTAGATACCTCAAATGCACATGTTACACTGTTTATCACTGAAGGTTTAACTTAATAGGCTGAGTGATAAAAAGAACAATCAAGATTTGTAATTTTTTGAAGGTTAGGCTTGAAGTTACAACCTGCTCCAAACACTTTAACCTGGTCACTCATTCAGGAAATGTAGGTCAAACCCAGCATCCGAAGTCTAATAGTGTGCATCACTATATGCAAAATCCATGCAAGTTTGGTGAACATCACACTTCAGTTACACTGGAATGAGCCATCTTTAAACTGGTCACTCACCAGAAAATGTAGGTCAGCACCTGAAGCAAGTCCAATAGTGTACATTCCATGCAAGTCTGGTCCAAATATGCCTGATAGTTTCTTGGTAAAAGACCTGCTTCCAAAACTTGGTCATTCACCACTCATCAGGAAAATATAGGGGTCAGATCCAGCATCCAAAGTAAGTCCAGTAGTGCATCAATAAATGTATCATCAATGCAAGGTTGGTCAGCAAAGGGCTTATAGTTATTTTGGAATGAAATCTGCTCCAAAAACTTTAACCTGGTCGCTCATCTAGAAAATGTAGGGTTTTTTTTGTATATTTGTTTCTTATTATGTTACACGTCTCTCTCGAGAATTTTTCACTCATATGGAGGCGCTTCCACTTGTTAGTGGAGGGCTGAAAATTTAGATCTATACTTCGCACTTGGGGCCATTGAGCAGTGAGGGATCTTTTTCATGCCAGCACCTACTGCCACATGGAACCTCATCCAAGGACTGGTCTCGGACACGTCCTGCAGTGGATTTGAACCGACAACATAAGGATCAACTCCTTACACTGCTACTCTAAAGCAAACACTCTAACCACTACACCATGTGGGCAACAGAAAATGTAGGTCAAATCCAGCATCTAAAGCAAGCCTGGTAGTGTGCATCCTTAGACGTATCATCCAAGTAAATCTGGTCAACAAAGGGTTTATGGTTACTGTAATATCACATACTTTCATGGGGTCAAATTTTCCTGGTTTAAGGAAAAATGTTAGTTTGTGGGGATTTGATTGCATGTTTGAAGACAGGTTGGGTAATTATATGTATGAAATTTCACATTTCATGTTGGACATGAATTTGTGGCTCTCTTCATACCTTGAAAATAATTAAAATTTATGATTTCACTGTTCTTCAGAATAAACCTGCTCCAAAAACTTTGACCTGATCAATCATCCTGAAAATTTAGGTAAGATCCAGCTTACAAAGCAAGCCTGGTAGTTTGCATCCTCGGATGTATCATCCTGTATTTTTGGTCACATTTCCTTATTTATGTAGTAATATTCCATTATCACCTACATATGGTGTTTATGTCTCCCAACAACTACTGACAAATAAGTTGATGTTACAGAGATTTCAACATCTTTGGCTGAAAATGCAGCATCTGAAACCTGATTGGTACAATGAAATATACAAGAAGCACTGTCCATGCTTCCCTGATCAATATAAGGCATAGAAGTACTTGAAAAGAAATTTAATCCAAAAACTTTAACCTGGGATGCTGATACTATGGATATTACATAAGCTCTAAAAACTTTGTTGAGGTGACCTAAATGATTAATCCTAAATATTTATTATGTTATAATGCAAAATTTTAAAAATACACATACCAGTCCCTTTCTGGCCATGGGCCATGACTTGATCAAACTTGAATCTGCACTAAAGATTTTTCCCTATATATTCCAAGTTAATATTTGACCCCCTACTGTCAGTCTACCTAGTGTCATGGTTTATGGCCCCACATTAACCCTCCAGCCATGATTTGTAGAAATTTGAATCTGATCAATAAGACTAATCATGGTCCTGCTGAATTTTGAGATTTCAAGATTGTTTCCTGTATATTCCAACAAAACCACTGTGAACAAATTTGAATCTGCACTACCTGAGAATGCTTGCATATTAATGTGACTAAACATAGACAATTTGTTTTTGTGAAGAAGATTTTTATAGATGAAAAAACATACTGAACATAAAAGACAAATGATAGTAAATGTTTGATCAGAAAGGTCCCTTAAGACTTAAAGCCAGTAAGAATGTTTTCTATGCTTAATTTATTAATTTCAAACACATCATACATGTACACAAAATACTTCTTATATCTTTTTTGGGGGGCACGTTACTATATACATGTATAATATGTATACATGTAATTATTAAAAATGTACATACAAATACCATATGTCTTCTTATTGTATTATAAAGTATTCTTTTAAAATGCTATTTCTGACAATAACTGATTTTTCCTTCTTAAAGCACAGTAACTAATAACTTTAGTGAGTGTTTAAGTATTTTTGTTTCAATAAAATTAACACTTTCCCTCCAATTTTGAATGGAAATAACTGTGGATCTCTTTCAATGGCCATACCTTTGAAGAAAGAAAAAGATATATTTAAAATCTGATGAAATTAAAGAAGAATGTCTTTATACTTGTACATAAAACAGAAGTGAAAGTGCTCTTCAAAGATCTCTCCTTTATAAAGAAATACAAAAAGTATACAAAATCAACTCCTGAATATTCTTTCCATCTGTAACTATCTGTATATGTATAATCCAAAAATATACAAAATAAAATTCATTCATAATAACAGAATGCTATCAGATATCCTAAAAAAAAAAAAAAAAAGAAGGGAAAAATGTGCCCTTGAAATTTTTACTTCATGTATCTACACTGCATCTCAAAGTCTATGGATTTCTTTTGTTTCAAACCTTTATAATCATGATTAGTTTTGGGAAAATCTTAAAGTAATTGTGATTTGATCAGGACCCAAAAATTAGCTGTCCGGCCTTTAACCAACCAAAAAGGTTGCGTTATGAAATCATAATGAAGTGACACAGGCAAGGATGAGTATTTTAAATTTTTGAGACAAATCTGCTCAAAAATGGTAAGATTTTGTAGAATATTATTGACTTTTATGTATCAGCAGGATCATTTAGTCAAGAAAAACAATATACACTGAGCCTGCAGGGAATCTATATGATTCTTGACCAAACAAGTCAATGTTATACGAAAACCATGACAAAATTATTCAACAACTCTTCATTAAACTTATCACTGATTAGTGTTTACGTCTTTCTTCTAAGCCAAGTGAATGTTGGGTCTTCTCATACAGTGCACTTAATTGTAACTATCTCCTGAAAATAATGTTTTTTCATGATTAGAATAAACATTGTGTATACATGTACTTACTTCTGGAATTCCCATTCTCTGTTATCCAAGGGGCACACTTGTCGAGTTTTTAACCATCGAGATATACAGTGAAAATGGAATGCATGCTACAGAATTAAAAAAAAGTAAAATTCAGGATCTTGACAGTATGACAGTAAAATTTCAGATAAAATATTATCTGACAGAATTGTAGAAAGAAAAGAAGGACTGAATAAAGAAAATACAAGGGTTGTTCAGAAATTATTGAGACATTGTGTATATTCTTCTTTCTAATGAACGCCTTTCGATGAAAATTTGCATCTACTTGTGACAAACACTAAGAATTAATAAAAGCAAGAAATATTTTACAAATATTTTATTTCCTCTTTTCAATGGTTTATGAATGTGTCAATGGTAGGGGTACCCATTGCAGTCACGAAATCAGATATTGAAAATATGTAACACCAACATTAAAACTCCTGGTGAACCCATAGTGAGAGCAAAAATAATTCAAATTATGTATATAATTTTTTATTAAATTTGACTTCATTTTGTGCAGGTTTGTTAGAATTTCTATCAGAAATACAGAGATCATTAAAAATATTTAAGAGTGGTATAAAAAATAATTATGATTTTTGGATTATATTTAAGAGTGGTATAATCTACAAAATGGATTTTGATGTCAAGGCTGTGCAGCGAGCATACCTAAAATTTTGTGTAGCGCTATGGAGAACTCTTGTCAGTGATTTTTCTACATTTTTAAAAAGGTGCCTGGGTTGTTGTCAGTTGTCATTGACATGACCCAGTGTTTTTCTGGGTCTTGTAAATGCACAAAAAAAATCTGCTGTTCCTTACTATTATAGAAGAGTCTGAATGACCGAGAACAATAGCGTTCCATTTTAGATAAGTCCTACGTAAAAAATTCAATATAACAAAAACAACAACAGTTTTGTTTTGTTTTGGGAAAAAAGCAACAGAAATTGGGAATAAATCGGTAATTTTTGAGAGGGGAAAGAGTCGATGTTCGGACCAAAATTGGGTGTAGAAAAACCACTGCTTGTCCAGACTAAATGACCGGCTTAAACAATAATAATGTGATAAAACATGTCTAAGGATTTTTTTTTCATTGGTATATATTTTTTCCTTACAAATAATTCAACAAGAGAAAAACAAAAAGCTCTGGATGACCATCAATTTTTACGGACTAAATAAGGTTGACCCATGTTGCATTAATCGGTACTGCATGATGCTATGTCAACCTGTACATGTATATGACACTTCAAGTATATATTACACTGGGGTAGCAACAGCAAATGTTTCATTTATTTATTTTTTATAAAAAATCATTTAAGAAAAGAGACACTTTGATTTTGGGAATGTATACGTGATAACAGAAAAGGAAGAGTAAACGGTTCCTGATTGTTTTACATGAGAAAACATGAGAAAACATCTCCAGCTGACGTGACATTAAAATGACAAAGCGATGCTGTTCCAGGTCAGACATATGCATGTTTTTAATTTCATTGGAACTTATTTAATTATCCTGTAAATTAGAAATTTTGCACATTTGTTTTATTTCTTCTTTATTAAATGTTGACGATTTTTTTATGAATTTATCTCTCTCTTTTGTGGAGTAAAAGTAAATGTCTCAATAATTTCAGAACAATCCTCGTATATGGCTGGACCGGGAATCGAACCTTGGACCCCTGTGTTAATTGTAAGATCACATTCCCATGCTTGGGCATGTACCATACATGAAGATTAAGGTTTATCTTTAAATTCTGCTGCAACTGACTGAAGAAATACTGTAGTCAGGTGCTCAAACCACTGAGCTACCAAGACTGATATCCACCGTCCATATAGCCAAAACTACTACTGTACTACAGAATTAAAGTATAACATGGATTATTTTGTACTTGCTGCTAAATATCACAAACAAACATACGTTGCAAACTCCCCATGCTACTGTGCACTCTTCACTTGTGGCTGAGGCTTGATTGGCCTGGCATTCTATACAAAGATCCATGATGTGATTCCTGCAGATTGCACAGTTATCAACTACTATATCTGCAATTAAACAATACATGAATTATCTTTTTTTTTCCATAAGTGCAATACATACAAGTACATGTAAGACTGTAATTCCATGAGCATATACCCATTAAAACTTGAATTTTAAGCAAGTTTGATAAAACTTCTTATGCAATAAATCAAGATGACTATTCAAAGAAAAATTCTTATTCTATATGAGAGTTTTGATAACACTGACAAGATAACAAGAATTTACTTCTTAGAAACTGACATCTGTTCAACATATTTTTAAGCTTAGTCAAGTAACTTACCCCATGCCCATAAAGCGACAGCATTCCACTATTAAAGAAAAAAAGGAAATATGTAAAATCCCTTAAAATTTTTTTTAAATTCAAACTTCAATTCAAATTAAGGAATTAAATGATTTTTATAATGATATTTTGTGGTAAAAATGCATTCAACAGGTAACAATCCACTCAATGACATGATTAACTGAATCAGCCACGATTCATGCATGTGTAACATCACCACTTTAGTTCAAATACATAAATCTTTTAAATATCTGTTCTTTAATGAGGTTTTTTCCCTGAAATAAAATAAGATAAAAAATATACATTTAGTTTTTTTCCCATATCTTCAATGGCAACTTTATACAGCTTGAAGTTTATACAGCACATTTCATATCCTGTTCTGACAAAAAGCAAGTAGTTACACCCAGAATGCTAGATAGAAAACTTAGTAAATTCAAAATATTTCAATATAGAGAAAGAACATATTTCATCAGGTTTTTTTTAATAACTCCTTAGAAAGATTTGGAATAAATTTAGAGGGATTGTTGAATTAAGATGAACTACTGTCTATTGAAGTCCTGTACGTAATAAACTTGTCTTTGTTTTGCTAAATAGTGAAAATCTTGGATGTCGATTCTCAACTCTAATATCTCGACACCCTGGATATCTCGACATTTTCCAATTTTTGATTGATCCCTGCAATTGGGGTGAAATGATTAACCTCCTTCATGATATCATATAATTTTGTCTTGATACTGTTATTTTCAATAAAAATATACATTTTAAATTCAACATTCAAAATTATTTTACAAACTATCAGTCCTCAAAAATTAACATTTTTAAAATTTAATTATGCTGAAGTGGAGATTTTGCACGGTCACCATGTATCAAACAGAGAAAAAATACTGCAATGAAACAATACCGTGGTAAACATTTTCATTCCTTCTCTGCAACTATCTAGAATATTGTAAAATGTTGATTCAATCTATCAACTGGAAAACAAAAAAACATTGATGTAACCATCAATTGTCGACCGGGAAATAAATAAAGTAAACAATGGAAATGAGTCTTGATCATCGAACCGCTTCGATATCTGTAGTCTCGTTCAACCAGAAACTCGGCTGTCTCCGTAAATCTCCGACCAGCCAGAGATGGCTGGTCGGAGATTTACGGAGACAGCTGAGTGTCTGGTTGAACGAGACTACGATATCTGTGAAAAAAGGCATGCTTCTAAATGATGGAGACGATAGTCGAGAATATTTTGAAAACTTATAGTCGGATGAAAATTGAACAAAAACGATACCCTTTTAAACTTTATCAATTCCTCAAGTAAATGTTGGCTGCATAAAATATAATTTGAAACTAGACACATGCATCACCTATTTTTAAAAATGTCATTCTCTTTAAGAATATAAAACACGAACTGTGTAAAGTACATTTTTACGTTTTTATGCGATAAGTAAAATTCGATGTTCTAAAAAAAGGGACCTGTCGTTTTTTCGATAGTAAATGATAAGCAAATTTATATATTAAATATGAAAAACATATATATTTTTACAGATTCACTTTACGGAAGTAAATATATTGTGTATCTCGTAATTTATAAAGGGAAAGAACATTCTGATTAACAATCTTTTTAATGTTTAGAAAACCTTTAATTCTGAATAACTTCTCCCACCTAAATCCCCATATACCAACACTTAAACTTATATGTATAGAGCAGCCCGGTCCTCCGGGCTGCAATAAACAATCCACCAGAAAATCTAAAGTCTTTCGTATTTCAATGCATATACCTAACAACCTGTAAGAAACATAATCTGAAATTTCAAAATTTTAGATTGATTATATATGGTGTTCCATTGGGGACACTTGCACCCTCGCACTCTCGCCTTTAGGGAGAGAGTGCGAAAGCATGAAGATGCGACAGCGAAGCACAAAGGTGCAAGGGCGAAAGTGCGAAGGCAAAAGAGTGATACTAGTATCACTCCTTTGCCTTCGCATTTTCCCCCTCGCACCTTCGCACTTTCATAATCATGATAATGTTCAAGCCTAGTTGTTGGTTACTGGTTAAAAGATATGTCAGATAACCCTGTAAAATATCAATGAATTTTTAATAATTAAATGATAGTGAGCATGACAGGCTAACTTTTACAAGTGTTTTAGTCTCATAACGCCGTCACACTAATCTGGCGCATGTGTACCAATAACATCCAAGAGCCCACCAAAATTAACTCATAACAACAAAGAGCTCCACAGAAGTAAAATGCGAAGGCGAAAGTGCGAAGTTGCGAAGGTGAAAGTGTGAAGTTGAGAGTGCGATATTAGTATTGCTACTTCTCCTTTGCATCCTCGCTTTCGCATCTTCGCGCTTTGCACTTTCGCTCCTTCACCTTTGCAACTTTGCACTCTCACATCTTTGCCCTAAAGGTGAGAGTGCGAAGGTGTGAGTGGCCCCAAACAGGGCTCGACATTAACGCTTGTCCGCTTGCCCGGTACCAGTGAAAAAAATAACGGACAAGTGAATATTGCTGGGCACTTGTCCGATTGGACAAGTGCATTTTAATGTAAAGGAGTCTCTAAATAATAATAAAAACGACTGTGAAAGATAATCGGTAGTTTCAAGACGGAAGCTGTACATAAAAACCGGACTTCGATCCCGATAGGGATCGCTACTAATTAGTTCACATTGATTCGGGATCGAAGTTCACTAATTGCATACTACTGAAAAGGGTCGACTGCGTGGCGCAGTGGTTACTGGTTAGAGTCACGAAGTAAGGAGTTGATCCTTACGTCGCGGGATCGAATCCCACTGTGGGACGTGGAGACCGGTCCTTCGGATGAGACCGTATAAACCGAGGTCCCGTGTCGCAGTAGGTGCTGGCACGAAAAAGATCCCTCACTGCTCAATGGCCGTAAGTGCCGAGTATAGGACAACATTTGCAGCTCTCCACCGGCAAGTGGTGGCGTCTCCATATGAGTAAAAAATTCTCGAGAGGGACGTTAAACAACATACAAACAAAAAAACTGAAAAGGCATGGAACTTACGAACTTAACGAAGTTTGGTTCACTTGTGGACATTTATGTTGTCAGGACAGAAAGCCTAGATAAAATTTCGTTTTATGTGTTCGTTGTAAATATCAATGACATCACGAATCAATCAAGCACATGTCATGTGTAATGGACTTTATTTTAGTTTTCAAGTTGACAGTATTAGATCTTTATTGAAAAATTTTCGGACAAGTGAAGTTGAAGTTCGGACAAGTAAATGCCTTGGTCACTTGTCCGAATGGACAAGTAAGAAAAAAAGTTAATGTCGAGCCCTGTCAAAGAAACACCATAATTATAAGAAAAATTTAAAAACTTGTTTTTTTCCAATTTGCCCCGGCCCAGATTTGCCTACCCATTTTACCAAAAACTCCTAAAACCTCTGCTATCTATGTGTCTGGAGTAACGATTAATCATGATTTATTTTTAAACATGATACATCAAAGTCGTTAAGAAAAAAAAAATATGTAATATATATGTTTTCTTAAACTTTTGTGTCTCAGAAATGGAAAAATACTCAATAAACCATTGAATCTGTATAATTCATATTCAGAACTTTTACAAATTTGTAAATTAAGATTCTAACTCTTTAGAAGTCTACAATTTCTTTCCTTGTATTTTCATTTAGATGGTACTACATAGAAAAATCCTGTATAAAATTTGAAGTGATATACAGTACAAACTTTTTTAACTTCAAATCTTTTCTTTCCTCCCTTTTCTCCTGAACCGCCAGGAACTTCCAGATCTCCGTCAGCACCACTGTCATCAACATCCATTGCGGCCGCCATTATGTTCATATGACGCATGCGCATTCATATTCAAAATATAGGAAATTAAAAATGTTCAAAACGAAATATATTTAGAGGTATTTTATTGGCACAAAAATACTAATCAAGAACATGTTACATTTGATATTGTACAAAAAATATATTAGTTATAGAAGCAAACATTTTTTCCGCATACCAACACTATACATGTTTTTCCTTTTTTCGATAATTAGTCCTAATCCTATATATCAAGACACTGCCGCAACACCGCCGATTCATAGCATGTCAGGCATGGATCTACTAGGACTAGGAGTTGGTAAAAACTCGGAAAAAAAGGCACACAACCACACTCCTGAAGGTGCATGCTGTGCAGGAGATAATGCAAATTCAAGTAAAGATCACCCTATATTTGCAGCAGTAAAATCTGGGTAAGTATGAAGTCGATAATTAAGGTAAAAGATCCGAACTAATACTCTATCCGGTTTATTTTCTAAACTTGTAGTTGTCGAGGAAATTTCATGTAAGAAGGAAAAAAGTACACAAATGTCAAGAATATGCTCTAAAATATTTAAATGCATTTGTTAAGTGTAAAGAGCTTATAAAAAGAGAGATTTATGTGTGACAGAAATATTGTTTTTACATTGTTTATACCGTTGCTATGTTCATGTACAAACTTGACCAACTTGACCATAGGTTTATGTATTAAGTAAAGACTCATTTCATACAGAATATACTTAGTATATGCCTGTAGTTTTACTCTATTTTATTTATTTACTTAGAATATACATTTTGCTGAGGCAAATTCATTAATTTACATGTTGAGGGACCTATATTTGAAAATGGGTTTTATATAGACCTGTCCCTTTTATATATTGTATTATGATAATGAAATGTTATTTTTAAAAAAAATGACAGCTTGGTGACCAAACCTTTTTTTTTTGTTTTGTGCTGAGGTCACAATATATGAAATCATGTCTGAGAATCTCACAGATCTTTGCTTAAGGCTTAGTAGGAAAGAATTGTTGATTTCAGTGCAAAATTTTAAGGCAGTCAGGAAAAAAAAACATAGTTGCCCATGGTATCAGGTTCGTTGGCCCTATCTACCTGTTCGCATGAGTCCGTTCGCGCAGGGTCCGTTTGCCATTATTCTTGTTCGCCGTATATCTCGTTCGTCCTATTATATATATAGTATATAGTAAATATCAACATTTATTATTAATTTTATTCAATTTTACGACTTGGTGTTTTTTTCAAATGTTGCTACAGAATTTTTTTTATTTACCGTAATTTTAATTAAATAATTCAAATTTGATATTTATGCTCTTTACATGCTAAATTGCTTTAATTATACTTAATAATGTCACTGTAAATTAGGGGATCATACAATCTGCGTTATGTTTTGAAAACAATTAAAGGACTGAGACGTTGATTTCTGTTGGTCTGCCGGGTCTTTGATAGGACAGGTATTTATAGTGTGACCACATGCATACTTCTTTTGTGAGCAATTTATGTACCAATGTACATATAATTTATTTAAAAAATCCATTGGTTCATTATTCAACTTTCTGTGATATAAATAAGGTGAACGGACCCTGTGCGAACAAGTTTTAGGGCGATCGGACTCTGGGCAAACGTGAATGAGGGCGAACGGCTTCAAGGGTGAACAAGTTTTAGTGCGAACGAACATACAACCGTTGCCTATCATGTTATAAATACTCTAAGAACTAAAAATTGCTATAGTAGTGTAAAAATGATTGTAAAAAAAACAGCTACCTAAAAAGTTGGGAATAATTATGAGACCAAAATGATTTATATTCCCATCATTTTTGCTTTTTCTGAAGAGCAAAGAAGTTAATGTCATTTGTACAGTGTCCATAATTCATTGGTCTGTTTTTGTGTGAACATGTTTTTTTTTTTTAGTGTTAAGTTTGCCAATTTTTTTTTTAAATCTTGGAGACTGTAAAGGAACAATTCAATGTTTCTTTGGTTTCAACAACATGAACAAGTACATTGAAATGGTTTAATAAATTATTTAACTAATAATTTCATGATATTTATAATTGCTGTGTATTTTTTGGTTGAATTGTAATAAAACTTGGCACATAAAAGTATATAATTCTGATGAACAATTTATATCTGGTTTAAATGAGATAGTATTGTTATTTTTTAAATTCAGAAAGAAATACCTAATAGTATAAGTAAGCAATGAATCTTGCTGGTGTAAGTACAAAAATAAAATTGTATTTGAATGTATCCCAAACATTAACAAGTGAGGTCTAATAAAATTCTTCAAGATATTTGACTTTTAGAACTTAAAAACTCACAATTAAGTAAGGACTGTTAACTCAATCTGCTATTTTCCTGGTGTCTAACATGTCAGTGGGATACTAAAGTTAAACAGTATGCCAAACTTTAAGAATTAAAAAAATAAGTAAACAGTGGAGCCTTGTTAATCAGAAGACTTGTCTGGATGACTGAGTGTCCAGACATGAACATAAGGACATTGAAATGGTTAAATAAATCATTTAACTAATAATTTCACGATATTCATAATTGATGTTTAAAGAAATGTATCTTTTATAATTGGTAGCTACAAATGTTAATTCTGTTCCCCACAAATTTTGTTTGGAAGGTTAAAAGTCTGTATTGTTGGCGTTAAGATTACCAAGACTCCACTGTAACTATTAAACTGAATACAGGTTATCTAACTAAACTGTGGGTATATATGTATCTTTGATGAAACAAAGAATTACACAATCATTTATATCTTCATTGACATCATTGACTTCATGCATCATAGTGTGTATATTGAAAAAAAAAAAGAAAATTTAAAAAAAAAAAAACCTCTAATTGTAATCAATAGGAGTAAGAATTTATTATATTCAGAAGTCAAGGGTGATGAGGAAATGGAGTAGATGAAGACTGGGTTTACCTATTAAGATTAGGAAGGAAGTTAAGATCCAACTGATAGAAATGGTTAGGATAATGTCATTTCCTTTTACATCTGTAGTTTGTGATAAAATTTAAACTATGGATTTGGGGAATTATAGCTGCAATTGTGATAGTTTTAAAACAGAAATTTATTTTTTATTCACTGACAGATTTCTAAGGATTTATGCATTTGTATTAGTGATGTCATTGATGCATTCTGTAACTACATATCATCAATTTAAGGTCCTGCCATATTAAAACCACACATGTTTTTTGAGAATCAGAGTAAAAACTTATTATTGGCTGCAGGTTTAAAGGATGCGGTCATACTGGCAACAAGACTGATTTATTCTAACTGTTGAACTATTCAGCAGAACAAAGAGACTTGTAAATTTGGATTAATAAGACTTTAATATGTTTCTTAGAGCTAAACTGTGTAAAATGTAATTTGTGAATTAAGAGATGCTCTTTGTTTGATTAAGGGTTTCTGAAATTTTCCTTTTAATTGGATTTTGCATATAATACAATATTTACTAATAGGATGTAAAATTGATATTTGTTAATTTCAGATATATTTGGGCACCTGTACTTTTCCTGTTTATCTTTTAATATATGTGTACTAAGATATTGATATTGTTGACAGTTAGTAATTTTAATGTATCAATCAATCAGTTTGATGACTGTCCTAATTTTTTCAAGATGAAACTAATAATGGATCAAGAAACTATAGGGAATTTTTTTTTTTTCTGACAGGAATTTTGCATTTTAATTTCAGAATATAGTTAGGTGCGATTGAGTTAAGAGTAAACTTGTAATATCATTGGTCTAAGCCAGTGGGTAAATTGTAATAGATTTAAAACCAATATATTTGAAAGGGGGGGGGGGGTTAATATCTGGAAAAAAATATCTGCTCATTTTTTGAGTCAACTGTGTCCAATTGTTTCTTCCATATTTAGAATTCTTGGCTTATTAAAATCTTCTTTACTCAGTTACCAAATTTTAATTTGTCTATTTCCAGATTAATTTATTGTCATCATTTTGTTTATAAATTTTTAGATTATTGGTTCCAGTTCAAACTGTAGCTGAGGATGGACCTGAAGTTTTCAATATGCAAGATGAGAAAGGTCACACACCTGCTCACTGGGCATGCCTCGGGGGTCACCTGACAATTCTCAGATTCATTATGGACAGTAAAGGTCCAGTAGATCAGCCAAGCAATAATGAACTGGGTGCCCACCCTATCCACTGGGCATGTGTGAATGGACACATTAACATTGTGGATGTTTTACTTCAGTATGGAGTGAACATTGACACAGCTGATTTAAAGGGTTGTACACCACTGATAGTGGCGTGTCAGTATGGGCATACGATGTTAGCAGGGTATTTAATGGGCAAGGGAGCCCGCCTACAAATGGTTGACAAAGATGGAGATAATGCTTTACACTGGGCATCCTTTAAAGGTATGTTTAAAAAGAAAGTCCTGTAAGTTATAATTCAGAAGTCAAATACTAGATGTTTCATAAAAGAATCTTTGGAGAAAGACCTCCACTGAGAATTTAACTCTAGTTTTTCAATATAATGACAATCAGATTCATCTTTGTCTTATACCCATTTGATACATTTTCCTATTCAAATATTATGCTTGTTTTGTGTTTTCTTTTTATGACAAATTAATAAGACTGATAAACATACTTCTATTTTATTGTAGGTCATTCTGAGCTTATGAGACTGCTGATTTACTCGGGCTTTAATCCTCGTCAAAAAGACAACTACGGGCAGACACCTCTTCATTTAGCATGCATTAATGGAAGCTTGACAGCTGTAACAGAACTCTGTGAACAGGTAGAAAATGACTTCCTAGTTCTTTAATTTGTGGTTGGGTATCTATGAGTGGTAACATACTGATGATACACATGCTGCTGTATTGTAGGATGGTGTGGAGGTTGAGATTGCAGATAAGAATGGGAAAACTCCGCTAATGCTGGCATTTGGCAGAAAACATGAAGAAGTCTGTGATTATCTCCAGAGGCAAATTAAAAAGAAAAAAAGTTTATTGCCGAAAATTGACTTTTAGTAAGCATGCTGTTTGATTCATAATTTTATTATTTGTTCGTTTTATAATTGGGGTCATTTCAGATTTTACTGTAACTGTGTTGCATCATTTGACAGATATTGATGAAAAGAAGGAATAAGCAGTGTATGTGATAGTTAATTGCATTTTTCTTTCTGCAGCACTATAGCATTTGGTCCTCCAGGAAACAGTAAAGGAGCCATTCTTTTCTTCATGGTCAATGCCATTTGCTGGGGATACCCAATGTATATATTTAAGGTACACTGAATTAAGAGATGTTTCAAATCTCAGTTGCTTACAGTTGAAAAGAAGACAATCTTCATGCATCTTCATTTTGAGAAAATAAGATGTACAGGTGTACTAACAAATACATCTACATGTAAATGTATCATTGAAAACAATATAGTGAATAATGGTAGTTTCAAGATAAACAATAAATTACATTTACATGCTTTTGAATGACTGTGTAAATCAACTATCAGAAAAGTTCATCTAGGGGAAAAAAAACAGAGAGGGAAAAAATAAATTTCCAGTTTAAACAATTTATGTACAAACATTTAAAATCTGTATTTGTTCCAGTTGTAACCATAAAAAATAACCCATTTTGATAACCACTTTTTTTTTTGCAGTGTTTGCCATATACCTGGAATGAACTTCAGTTATTCCATATCTTCTTTTTCTTTGTAAATATTGCCATGTGGATTTGTTTGTTTCATGCCAGCACGACAGATCCTGGTTTCCTTCCTAGAAACATACCAGAGTATGACATGGCTATAAAACAAGTAAGCCAAAAACTGTGTAAAACAGTGGGAATTTCAGTTCAACTTACTTAAATAACTGAATTGTAAAACAGTTTTATACATGTATATACAGAGCAAACAGCTGAGTCTAGTTAATTCTGGTTTACCATAATGTGTTTGAATTGTTTAGTTACACTTATTATACTGTTAAACAGTTACCATAAGGCTTTTGTGTTTACTGAGTTGATTTGCTGTCCTTACGTCTTTGTAAATAATTAGAATACCGTAGAATGTAATCAGAGAAAACTTTTTACTTGAGTCCCGAACATTGTAAATGCAGAAATTTGGAAGACAAAAGTATTAAAGTAAAATATCTTGAAGCTGCTTGAGTGTAATGTTGTAAGCAATAAGTCTCATAATTTTTTAAAATTATTATTTGGACAGGTAGCACATTTTGATGAATGGAAGCATGGTGAAAATCCATTGAGTCGGCTTTGTCACACCTGTCGGACAGTCAAACCACTGCGGTCCAAACACTGTCGAGTGTGTAACCGCTGTGTCAAAGTGTTCGACCATCACTGTCCCTACATCTATAATTGTGTGGGCTACTATAACAGGTTGGTGGCATAATTTTATGTATGATATGTGATGTATTTTGGACATAGCAGTAAATTGGAAATTGATAAAGTTTAATCTTTCAACTTATCGTGATACTGATTTTTGTGTGTGACATTTTCTTTAATGGAGGGAAATAAAAGATAAAGACAAACTTACTTTATTCTATATTTAGCTGCTTTACATGTATGTGCATGCTTCTCGATTTTAAAAAAATTAAATGCATGGAGAGTTATCCAGGGTTGGTGGAAACAAATAAATAAAAATATCTGCCATGTACATGCATTAATTAAAATACAGTTTTAGTAAACAAAAATAAAAAATAATTATACATATTCTGCATGACATTTAAAAAGTCAATGTGATATGGTATGGAAATAAATAATAACGTACGGTATCTATAATGCATTTTGATAGTACACAGCTGTGGTGGTGCATGTTGGTTTCTTTACATTGATGGTCAAAGTCTATTTCCCCCTTCATAAATCCAAATTGAATTTTTTCCTCATATTCATTACCTGGACTCTTTAAAAACATAAATTGCATTTCTTTCATCATAATCATCACTTGGAATAGTACAGCATGGTTTTCTTGCAATCTTTTTATTTTGAGTATTGGGTGGAAGTAATGATGCCCTCCACATGTGTGCATACATGTGGAACGGCTTGTTTAGGGTGCTGTTCCATAGTATGTATATAAATTTTGCATGTCATGCATTCATGCTTGCTATTACCTGGTAAGTGCTTTAGGCTTTGCTTTGCACCTTTCTTAGTCACATGCACATTCCTGACCTATTCTATGTATACATGTAAGATAGCTTACTAAAATTGAATCTAGTAAAATCTGTCTGAGAATAATACAAATTTTCTTGGAAAACATAATAATTGGTAATTCATTGTCTATTATTCTCCACTTAATATTATTTATAGTTTATAAATGCTTAATAATATTATTTGGAAAAGATCTTGACATACATACATGTAATTAACTTGAAGTTAAAGTTTTGAATAACTGTAACTCAGATACATTTCTGAGGGCACAGATTATTCTCTTTATTTTTTTTATTAATTTATTAATAACTTAATTTATTTAATTTATTATTAAAAATTTTGCAATAATTAAAATTATTGCACAGCATGGTAGCATTAGCATTGTACTGCTCTTTTGCAGGGCAAATTGATCTAGTTTGGTGAAATATGATGTAACAGCAATTGTTTAATAAATGTCATTTAATTATCTGCCAGTAAAAACTTCTTCAAATGTTATTAATTTTCCCTGTAAAAGAGCAGTATTGCAGTTATTGTGAAAGGGTTGATAAATAATTGTATTTAGGGAGTGGCATTAAATAACGTACACACTGCATAGTTGATACTGATAAAGTACTGCATAAAATACAAAAAGTGGACCACCATAGACACCAAAACTCTATTATGTCCGTGATTGATGTATTTCACTAATACAGGGTTGTCCCTAAGAATTGAAATAGAAGGGGGTTTTGGGGGAATACCAAAATAACCATGGGAAAACGTCATTAAAGGCGGAAAAATTTCCTAGTCCCCGTGTCTTAGGAACAACCCTGCTAATACATGCATATATGGTTATATCCAGTTATTTTTCACTGATATGTAGTTCTTAACTGAAAATGCCATTCATTATATTATGTTATCCTTGTATTTCACTGTACTCTAAAACCTAGATGGCATTGTGATGTCCACAGCTAAGAATTTTGGAAATATTTTTCAAAGACAGAATTCCAAAATTTATGATTTGACTCCCCTCTGTTTCATACAATTAACTATACACAACCACAAAGATAGACATCTGTTGTAATTACCTAATAAACCCTTTCATGTACATGCATGTATTTGTATTTAATGTTTTAGTTTTATGAAAAAATTTCTTTTTTGTCATGACACTTTTAATTTTAAAAAAATGGAATCTGATCAGTGGCGTGCTTGATCAACAGTTCACTGTCCACACTCCTGTAAGTGTCCACTTGAGCCTGATCGACAGTTTCTTCTGTTGTAGGCCCTGGTTCTTCATGTTTGTCTTCACCATGTTTGGCAATGTTCTTTTTACGGACTTCTTCTGCTACCATCTTCTCTCTGAATTTGGCTGGGATTGGATTGTAGTTATAGGAGCAGTCGAGGCAGGTGTTGCCACCGTAGCGGTCACAGCGGTGACTGTCCTCATGGTAAGACTGCTCAGAACTGACCATCAATGTCAAGGGTCCTCATGACGCATCACAGCTGAACACAAGTGTGTGGGTGGGGATTGGAATCAGTAGAGGGGATTCCAATCAACCACATTTTTTTTTATCTTTGTAAAAATAATCTCCTGGTGGATTTCATATTTAAGGCAGTGTTTTTATTTGCACTGTAGAATTACCTGGTATATCTTTTTCAGAAGTATTCAGTTTATCTTTTCAGACATACTACAAATCCAAAAAAGAATTCCTAAATGTTTTTGTCAATGAAACTTAAATCAGGAGATTGTTTACTGTTCAGCAGGATGCAGATCGGAGGCTGATTTATATAAGAATCCTTCTTGTGTTTTTCAGAGTTTCATTTGTAGGCTTTGTTTGGTGCGTTACCATGAATGGCTATTTAAGCACCTTCTTCAGTTATTACGCTCTGACCCAGTATGAGGAGCTTAACATGGTCTACCTGTTTTTCCTCTGCCTCATGCTGTTTTACCTCTGCGTGGCCTCCTACCTATGTGGTTACCTGGTAAGCGAGATTTTACGTTTTATTTTCAGATTTATTCAAAGACTTAAAAATTTCTGATGTTTAAGTTTTGTATAGAAACATATTGGTACATGATAAACTCTGTAAATAGTGCAGCAGTTTTATGTGCCTAATTTTGGCCAACATTACCCAGAGTTTAAACTATGAAATTTTATACATATGTAAGTCATGAAAAACCATTACTTTCTATGCATAACATTACATCACAACTGAACATGATAACGTGCACAATATGTATCTTAGCAGTGGAAAACTGCTTAAAATTACTTGATTCATTCATTAATCTTTTTTCTCTTATTTTCAGGTTTATTCAATCATTAAAAATTTAACAACAAACGAACAGCTGAAGTACAAAAGATATGCCCACATGAAAGATAAAGATGGGAAGCTTTTTAACCCCTTTGATGGAGGACCAAAAAGAAACTTTCTGGATTTCTTTTTTATCAAGCTTCATCCAACAGATGAAAATGGAGATTATATTTTCATAAATCTGCCATCTTGATCAATTTTTTTTATTTCAATATGGCTTTTTTGATATGATGGTAATTTTTTCTTACTTAGTGAAAATCTTTTTCTTTATTTTTTCATAGATCAACTTAATTACCTAAAAATACAGAGTATTTGTTCATATCCATTTTAGTGACCAATCACTTTCAAATTATTTAGAATCCTTGGATCTTATTTCAACCAAACTCTCAAGTTTCATGCTCTTTTCCAAAGGGAGATAATAAGGAAACTTTTAAAAAATGGCATAACATAATTTATTTCCAACAACTTCATGGCTGAATGTTCACATATAAGTCTTGAACTGAGAAAAAAAGAAAATCTAACCCTTTAAAGCACTATTTAAAGAGCATTTAATATTAGGTGTAAAATGATTTTAGTGAAAAAAGCATATGACTTTGGAGGCTGGGCATGATTTTGTCCTCTGAATTTTGCAGATTAAAAATATATAGAGGCTTTTGTGCTTTTTATCCTCTAATTTAAAAATTATGCAAAATATATTTTATTACATCATCAAAACAAAAAATAATACTCTTCTTCCAAGTCTGCATACATGTATTTTCTGTTATTTCTGAGGCCTGTTCAACAGAGTTAGCGTTCATGATCGCTCGCCAAAATTCCTTATCCATCCAACAGAAATTTTTGCAAGTGCTCACAACAGTAAACAACAGTACACAACAGCTAGAAGTGTATTTTACCCATTAGGACTACATTTTTCTCTTTCTGAAAAATAATACAAAATCCAAATAGTTTGTGACATCATTGAACCAAAAATAGTCAATAACCTACTTTGAAATTATATTTTTTGTTAACTTAGATTTTTCATACAATATATACAATTTAGCAGATTTCAGGAAATGTTCAAAATTTGACGTTGGGGCAAAATTATGCATATACCGCATATAGCTTTTTTAGTGAGCAGCAGATCTATGCATGTACCAGTAAATAAATGCATATAGGTCTTTATGGTGTATGTTGTGTTGATATGGAAAGAAAGTCCTTCAGATTTTTCAGTAATTTGGTGACATTTAGTATTACAAGTTGTAGTGCATGTAGTCCAGTCAGCCTGCTAGCCCCTGACTTCTAATCTATCAACAGGGCTGACAGTGTTTTGGGAAATTTTAGTTAATTTCTTTACAGTGTTTTTTTTTTCTGAAAAATTTTAAGTGAAGGCTTCTAAGATTTTAAATGAATATTGTATACTCCTCTGAGGAAAGCTGAATTTTAAAAGTTGTATGTACTGTATACATATACATGTATATCTGTAGTGAATACTTATAATTCTATGGTACATGTATGGATATACCTTAAAGGTGAAAAATATGAGGTACATGTAGTAATAAGCAGAGATTTATAAATATTTGTCAATGTGTTTTGCAATAGAGCAAAGCATTTAATGTGTAAATTTTTGTTCAATTATGAATCTTTGAAGAGATATCCTCATATGTTGAGCTAGATTTTGATGATTTAAAAAAGTACTGTTTGAAATTAAAATGAAGATACAATATAAGAATTTTCCTTTTTGTTACAGACTTTCCATGCCATATACAACATCACTGCTAATGAGAGAGTGAATTATAAAAGGTATAAGTACTTAATGGATGGTAAAGGAGCTTTTTATAATCCATTTGACAAAGGAATTGTACACAACCTAAAGGAATTTTTCTTAATGGTGCAACCAAGGACTGAGAAGGATGTGGAAATTCTTAATATATGATCCGGACTTTACCGTTTTAATCCACATGAATGCATGATAGAACCTGGAGTATGAATATTTTTTTATAATTATGTGCATTGGTATGGAGTTGTTTTTACCCAACTGCAAGGCTTTGAATGTGCAGGTGCAATCATTACATTTTCGACATTAGCCACCTTACCAGAGTTGTGTATACACAAATTCTCTCTCTTTCCCATTTTTAATACATCAATGTGTTCTTATGTTCTATCATCATAATCATTTTTGGTGCCAAAATATCAGAATTCATGTACAGGAAGGTAAAACCTCTTTCCATTAATATTTAGGAAAATTAAGCTTAACAAATTTTTATTTGCCTCTTTGATAAATTTCTGTTCTTTAAATGATTAATTCTTGTGTTTTTTCCCTTTAAACAAATTTCAGTTTTATACATTGTTTAGAAAAATTCCATGACAATCATTTTAGGAAGGATACATATACATTAGTTGTATCTAATACATGTAATTATTGTATTCATATTGTCATTTAAAAAATTGTTACATATATGAATTTTAGAACTGAATTATGTGAATTGATTTAACTTGTTTTTTTTTTAATTTAGCTGTTTTTACATGATTAATTTTGTGGCGTTTGCATTAGATTTGAATAACACAATGAGAGAATGTGCAGTCAAGAAATTTTGATAGTATTTATGTGGCGAGTCTGGTGTGCGAGATCTACTGATATTGAGAGAATGATGTTCTAATGAATATATGCAGTATGAAAGAGAGTGTTGACAAGAACCTTTCTGAATAACAAGAATATGTTTTATTGCGATACCTGTGACTGTCCAACACTGTAAAGAAGTACAACCTTGCCTAGTATTCAAATCTTAACAAAACTATGAATCCAGCTGGCCTGACTGGATGAAGTGTATGTTCTGGATATTCTGTGTAAAAGTGAAGACAAAATTAAAACTAACTACGGTCTACCAGTAAAGGCAATTGATGAAGTAAACTATTGTATCTTGTTGGTTTGTTTAAATTATTTTGAGTCTAAAAGCATTACGTTTTCTTATTTTTTGTTTTGGAGCATACATGTGTGTTCAGTGAGCCAGGAATTATAAAGCATAATAGCTATTGTTTAGTATATGTGGATTGTGAGTTCAAGCAATACTTGGATACATATGTTTGAATACTTACAACTCATTATATTTGTTCAGGATCACATTTTAAAAGTGAAATAATTTTATTGTATTTAATATTTTAATCATGATTTTATTGAATTGTAAATATTTTTGATATTGAATCATACTGTTCAGTGTTGTCATTGATGATGGACTTTGAGGTAAGATGAATATTCTGCAAGTAGCTAAAATAATTGCACATTGATGATTCCAAAAGGAACACATCAAAATGTTCCTAGATAACAAACAGTTTCTACAGAAAGAGGAAGTGTGTGAGTGCCCCATATTCCTGTTGTTGATTTTATTTTTAATTCATTTTTAGCTCACCTGAGCTGAAAGCTCAAGTGAGCTTTTCTGATCACATTTTGTCCGGCGTCCGTCTGTCTGTCCGTCTGTCTGTCTGTCTGTAAACTTTTCACATTTTCGACTTCTTCTCAAGAACCACTGGGCCAATTTCAACCAAACTTGCCACAAAGTATCCTTGGGTAAAGGGGATTCAAGTTTGTTCAAATGAAGGGCCACGCCCTCTTTCAAGGGGAGATAATTAGGAATTAGTGAAAAAATAATGGCAACATTTAAAAATCTTCTTCTCAAGAACCATAGGGCCAGGAAAGATGAAACTCATGTGGAAGCATCCTCAAGTAGTGTACATTCAAGTTTGTTCAAACCATGACCCCCGGGGGTAGGGCGGGGCTGCAATGGAGGATCAAAGTTTTACATAGAAATATATAGGAAAAATCTTTAAAAATCTTCTTCTCAAGAACAGCAAAGTCATGATGAGTCATATTTATATGGGAGCATCCTCCGGTAGTGTAGATTCAAGTTTGTTCAAACCATGACCCTGGGGGGAAGGGTGGGGCCACAATGGAGGATCAAAGTTTTACATAGAAATATATAGGGAAAATCTTTAAAAATCTTCTTCTCAAGAACAGCAAATTCATGATGAGTCATATTTATATGGGAGCATCCTCAGGTAGTGTAGATTCAAGTTTGTTCAAACCATGACCCCCGGGGGTAGGGCGGGGCCACAATTGAGGATCAAAGTTTTACATAGAAATATATAGGAAAAATTTTTAAAAATCTTCTTCTCAACAACAGCAAAGTCATGATGAGTAATATTTATATGGAAGCATCCTCAGGTAGTGTAGATTCCATTTTGTTAAAATCATGACCCCCGGGGGTAGGGCGGGGCCACTTTGGAGGATCAAAGTTTTACATAGAAATATATAGGAAAAATCTTTAAAAATCTTCTTCTCAAGAACAGCAAAGCCATGATGGGTCATATTTATATGGAAGCATCCTCAGGTAGTGTAGATTCAAGTTTGTACAAACCATGACCCCCGGGGGTAGGGCGTGACCACAATGGAGGATCAAAGTTTTACATAGAAATATATAGGAAAAATCTTTAAAAATCTTCTTCTCAAGAACAACAAAGTCATGATGAGTCATATTTATATGGAAATGTCCTCAGGTAGTGTAGATTCAAGTTTGTTCAAATCATGACCCCCAGAGGTAGGGCGGGGCCACAATGGAGGATCAAAGTTTTATATAGAAATAATATATAGGAAAAATCTTTAAAAATCTTCTTCTCAACAACAGCAAAGTCATGATGAGTAATATTTATATGGAAGCATCTTCCGGTAGTGTAGATTCAAGTTTGTTAAAATCATGACCCTTGGGGGTAGGGCGGGGCCACTTTGGAGGATCAAAGTTTTACATAGAAATATATAGGAAAAATCTTTAAAAATCTTCTTCTCAAGAACAGCAAAGCCATGATGGGTCATATTTATATGGAAGCATCCTCAAGTAGTGTAGATTCAAGTTTGTACAAACCATGACCCCCGGGGGTAGGGCGTGACCACAATGGAGGATCAAAGTTTTACATAGAAATATATAGGAAAAATCTTTAAAAATCTTCTTCTCAAGAACAACAAAGTCATGATGAGTCATATTTATATGGAAATGTCCTCAGGTAGTGTAGATTCAAGTTTGTTCAAATCATGACCCCCAGAGGTAGGGCGGGGCCACAATGGAGGATCAAAGTTTTATATAGAAATAATATATAGGAAAATTTTTTAAAAATCTTCTTCTCAACAACAGCAAAGTCATGATGAGTAATATTTATATGGAAGCATCTTCCGGTAGTGTAGATTCAAGTTTGTTAAAATCATGACCCCCGGGGGTAGGGCGGGGCCACTTTGGAGGATCAAAGTTTTACATAGAAATATATAGGAAAAATCTTTAAAAATCTTCTTCTCAAGAACAGCAAAGCCATGATGGGTCATATTTATATGGAAGCATCCTCAGGTAGTGTAGATTCAAGTTTGTACAAACCATGACCCCCGGGGGTAGGGCGTGACCACAATGAAGGATCAAAGTTTTACATAGAAATATATAGGAAAAATCTTTAAAAATCTTCTTCTCAAGAACAACAAAGTCATCTTCTCAAGTATAATAAAGCCATTTGTTATATTGACATGGAAGCATCATCAGGTAGTTTAAAATTCAAGCCCCCCCACCCCCCCCCCCACCCCACCCCACCCCCCCCCCCCACCCCCAGGTAATCTTTTCAATACTGAACTGATTTGTGCTTTTGCCTAGCCAATGTGCTCAGGTGAGCGATGTGGCCCATGGGCCTCTTGTTTACCAGGGTGGGAATTTAGTGAATCATGTTATTGAAAATGCATTGATTATATGGAGCAGTCAGCTATCTACCAATATTTTAAAATCCATGTCCCCTGGATTTAGAATTCAGGCCCAAGGTGAGCTTGCTTAGTCATATTGAAAATTTATTTTATAGTCATCCTTTGAAAATTTGGTTTATTTTTTATATTTAACAATTGAGCAAACCTTATTCATGGGTTCGGTAAGCTATTTACTCTTAACTTTTTTAAGTGTGTGTCTCTGTAGCTCAGGTCTTGGATTGGGCTAAGTTGATTGCATACTTAAATTGTGCTTTGTCTTTAAAATTCTTTTCTAATTCTTACTGTCCAGAAACACATTTCAGAAATATTGTGGTCATAGAGTCATGTACCTTAAAATTCATATCGTGTCCATAGTCAGAGTTCCAGGTTGGGCTGGTTTGATCTTATTCAGAAAAAGTGATACTCAGGTGAACCACAAGGCCTATTGGACTGTTTTCATTATCTTGAGATACATCTATTTCTTTTGTATACTTCTCGAACCATAAGACTTGCGTGACCAAGATTAGAAAATGGACAAGAATTAAGAAACATTAGTCAAATTAAAATGAATCAAGAATTAGGAAAATTAATTTGATTCCTGTTGAGGCTCAATTATAGCCAAAAGAGACTATACAATTTGAAAACTGGATCATATGGAAAAAAGAAATACTGTACGTGTACATAAATTGGCGTTTTCAAAATTTAGCGCAATCTCTGGGTATGGAATTTTTGGCGAAATCATGAATTAGCGCTATACATGTCCGTGCCGTATATTGTATTTATAAATGATTTCTTAGCGGTATTCATAAATTAGCACATTGTTGTCTGCGCCAAAGCCGCTAAAATATAAAGCCAGCTTTTTTAAGTACACATACAGTAACCTGAAGAAGTGATTAAAATGAAGTCAAAACCTTTTCTGGTGTAAAGTTTCAAAAGATTGAATGAACATTGAGTACAGTGTTTCCACTATTTCCAAATAAAATAAAATGTTAGCTTCTGGATGATAGCAAACCCTCATGATGTTCACTGTGCATTTATTGATCACTAAAATCAATGCAGAATATACTTGGTATGTCTCATTCTCCTGCTCTAGCTTGCTTTCCTTTCCCATGCGAATCCCCCTGGCACTGATTATTTTATAGATGCACCTCTACTATTCTACTATGAATAGAAACCAGTTTTGATTGAATATTTTAGACCCCCCCCCCCCCCAAGAAGTTTAATGGTGTATAAGAATCACCTTGTTCATACCTCTGTCCATCTGTGCAATTATGTCGGGGCTATAACTTAAGGTATGGAAAAGCATTAGAAGCTCATACTTGATATAAAAATTGTTTATGACCTAAGGGTGTGTCATGACCTTGACTCAAGATAATTCTACCAACTTAAAGGCCACTGGCAGAAAAATTATAAAACTACATCATTTTGGAAACATTAGATATTCATACCTCATACAAAGATTGCTTATGACCTAAATATGTAACACATCCTTGACCCAAGGTTATTTGTTCAAGTTTAGAAAATGTTTAATTCCTGTCTTGACTATCTTGTAATGGAGAACACTTGAGAATAATTCTCATATAACCTAAGGGTATGTATTGACCTTGACCCAAGGTCATTCCAGGAAGTTCAAGGCCTTGCAAATTAAATATAAAATTTGTGTTCAGTTCATTACTCTCCAATGGATAAGTTTTGGAAGTTGAAACATCAAAGATTACTCATAAGCTGAAGGCATGTCATACTTTGAGCCAAAGTCAAGTTTATAAGGTCACTGGCAGAAAAAGTTTAAAATTCATGCCATGTCCACAATTTTCTAATGGATAAACAATGTATGTTCATCTTTTATATAAAGATTTGTTATGACCAGAGAATATATAATTTTTTGGTTAACCAATGCCATTTTGGCAAGTTCAAGGTCACATTATGAGTACAGTGCATGTTCACAATGTATTATAACCTGACAATGTTTAGGAATGGTTTGGGATTTTTCAACATTTTCATTCACATAGCAGTAAATAAATTTGGTATTTTTAAATCAGAAGATTACTTGGAAAGCTTTTTTCTTTATTTTGTTTTATAAAGGTTCTAAAATAATCAATGAAGTATTAGGGAATAGAAACCACTGATGCCTACTTCCTTTGAGAGAATACATGTAATTATTTTATCTTGGTCCAATATACTTTATCTTGGTCTAATATACTTTATCTTGGTCTAATATACTTTATCTATAATGTGAAGAATACTATAATCTATTAGAAATGTGTTATTTTCTGTACTGTCTTTCATCTAAGGATAGATCACTCTACCTGCTAAAACTAGAAAAGAATTGGATCTCTCCTGTGTGCAGTGTTTAGAGCCCCCTTGAATGTACTGTAGCCCTGGGGTCACGAAAGAACAACTGACTAATTTCCTTTTGCAAACTGACAAAAATTCTGTCAATTCAATTTATATAAAAATCAAATACACATGTATCAGATTTAAATCAAATAACAATCCTCTAACAAAGCAAATGATCACAAATGTGGTTTTGAATTGCTGTAAATAAAGCAACATAAAAGCTTTCACTTTTATAATGGTTTTGACATAAATTGCACATGAACTACATGAAGTAAAGAACAAAGCTCCATGGACCACAATGCTCACCAGAGGAAAGTTGGCCCTGCTGTTTTTCATCCAAACTTTTTTCCACTCTTCATTCATATTCTGGCCCCACCCTAGCCCAAAGGGGTCATGATTAGTGAACTTCAATCTGCACATCATGGGGATGCTTCCATATTTTGAATATGACCAGAATGGTCTTGTTCTGGAGTACATTTTTTTTAAAGTCAATAGTGGTCTTTTTTTAAGTGATGTTGATTTAAGATACATAATTTCATTGCAAAACCTCAGAAAACTAAAGTTATCATCTGGAAATCATTTTTTGCAATGTATGAAATTCTGACCTTGATCTTTTGACCTCAAAATCAATAGGAAGTCTAAGGGAAGTTGAGATTGGGCTATGATTTGAAAAAAAAACTTGCAAGTATTCACATAAGATTTGACTTTTCTGGCCCTTTGAACAAACCAAAATCATCTTCATACAAGGATGCTTTGTGGCAAATTTGGTTGAAATTGGTCAAAAAAAAGAGAAGAAAATGTCAAAAGGTTATAACAATGCAAGCAATGACAACAACTACAGACAAATTTTGATCAGAAAAGCTCACTTGAGCCTTTGGCTCAATGAGCTAAAAAGGTTTCTTCTGAAATTTCATAAAGAAGAAGGTACAATTTTGGCTTTATTATGCCCTAAAAATTTGATGTTTTCAAAAAGTTTTGAAATTTGATAAATATAAATCAGGAAAGAATTTGGCATAAAGGAGGACCATTCTGGAAATATGATGTCATTACATGTACATGTATTTTGTTACATTTCTAAATTTTAAACAGAGAAAGGCTCAAAATGACTCATTTAAGGGGTTATTATCCTTAAGAAAATAGTGTCCGCAGACATCGCCCACTGCAATTTTCAGGTATGTTGTATAAAAGTCTTTGAGGAATCACATTTCTTAAAATCTTTGTGAGCAATGCATGTGGTCCATATTGTATTTAAGAAAATTCCACTGAAAACAGAGGTCTTCCGCAATTTTTTAAAGAAAATATGGGAAAATGCACAAGTTAATGATGTTACAATTGGCATTTAGGAGGTCATATAAAAAAAGTTTTGTAAGATCTTACTGCATGGAGTTTGAACAATTCAGAAAGTATGAGTTTTAATTTCTCAGAATAATTAAAATACAGGGCCAGTTTTGTATTGAAACTATACCTTCTTCTTTAAAAGTATTTTCATAATATGAAAAAAATTACAGCATTATATGTAACAGCATAGTTTGTCTAGAATTGTTTCAAATGTTTTCACTTTTTTGCTTTATTGAAAGGTTCTTTCATGCATAGAAGAATGCAATACATATGTATTGTTCTTAATGTTGGACATTTAAATTTTCATTTTAACAAGAATGATTTATTTCATCTAGAATCTTATCACAATAAATATACTACATGTACACTGTACACATTTTCTGATTTCTACGAAGAAATATCATTCTTTTCATAATGTTGTCATGACTTGTCTTCCCAACAACAATAAAATAATAAAACATTTTTTCAAGAAGTCAAGCCAAATATTGCAATTACTGTTTCAAATTTTATGTCAAACTTTTTTTTTGTAAATAACACACTAATTATAAGGTTAAAAAGCAGAGCAAAATTGCTTTTTAAAGCTAAAAAAAATTATTTGTGGCAATGAAGTTGTACATTTATGTATTAAAAAGCTTGGACAAAACATTTGTGTCATAACACAGTCTGGTTTAGACACTGGGGAAGTGGATTTCATGCAGTTCTTTCCAAATTTTCGGATTCAAAATGTACATGAAAACCCTGGAAGAGAACACTATAAGCAATCCTGAAAAATTCCATGGACTCATGAACAAGTATCTGATTCAACAGATTATGAAAGACTACAATCCAGGTTTGCATCCATATCTGTAGGGAGTGGTAGAATAGATGCCAAAGCCCTGCACAAATAAGACATTGTCCCATACCGACCACTAGGGGCAGTGTCGTAGAAATGGAGGCAGATTCCAGCTGCTCCTTTTGAAAGTTCTACCACATCATCAGGTATTTTCTACAAAAGTTCAAAAAATGTACAATAATAATTTCAAAGAAACATAGCAATTCAGGAATCTAGAATTATTTAAAAATCAGTGAATTTCAAAGGTGCTCCTCAAACTTGGTTAGGTAGTGAATAGAGAAACATATTTAAGTTGTGGTTCTTACTATAGAAGCTTTTATACTAGACACAAGTCTTAAAAATGTTACAGTAGGTCTTTTTAAAATAAACCGTTTAAGCTTATATGAAAGTTTTGTTAACAGTTAAAAGAAGAAATAAATTATTTGTTTGATTGGTTGGTTTTTGTTGTTTTTTTAAAGAAGAAAGTAACAGTACTTCAAAAAAAAAAAAATCTAAAAAGCACTAATATTTATACAAATACCCATGCCAAAAAGGAAAAAAATTACCAGGTATTATATATAAGCGGCTAGCCTTTTATGAAAAATTGACAAGAAATAGACAACAAATGCAGTCTTCAATCTTTCAAGACAATTTTTCAAAATATGACATTAATGCCTAAAAAATAAAGTTTTAATTCAGAAAATAGCTGATCTATAAAATTAACATTTTTACATGTTATAAAGGATAATGACTCATTTTTGAATATTTAAATGACTTTAAAAATCTGTGACTGGTCAATGTCTTAATAATGACTGCATGATAACTGCTTCAATAGAACACCATGCTTTTCTTGCACAAATATAACCATTTACATGAATCAAAATGTGACCTAAAAAGCAATGTTAAGATTGTATCAACGCATCAGTCTACAATGAAACCATTCATCTCCTAAATTCAACATGGTGAAATGTGTTTTTTTTATGGCTTTTTATTTTTTATTTGCATTGAATGGTTTCAACTGTTATTCCTGCATTAACAAACAAAGACATTTTATTGTTTATATTTATGTCAGTTTAAATAATTGTATAAAATAAGCTTGCATGATCTGCATGTCATGGTAAACTCCACTTCTTTAGAAATATTTCACACAGGTGGTTTTACAAAAAAACAACAACAAATAAATGTATATACAGTCAAACCTCATTATCTCGAACTCTAAGGGACTGAGATAATACTTTGAGATAACCGAGGATTTGAGATATCCAGGATAAAATACTTAAAGAATAAGCAGTAGGGATTTCAAAATGACTTCGACATATCCATGGTATTCGAGATATCCATGTTTTGAGATACCGAGGTTCAACTGTACATGCTTGCCTACTGTAAAATACACCAGGTATAAATGGTTGACAACTTATTTGCAGCTTAATGACATTGCTACACTAACTTGTTCTTTAATATAGATGCCATTAGCCACATGGACGATCTTATCCACCTGAATCAGCTGATTAAAGTAGAGTTTGATTACATTGCTACACTAACCTGTTCTTTAATATAGATGCCATTAGCCACATAGACGATCTTATCCACCTGAATCAGCTGATTAGAGTTTGATTACATTGCTACACTAACCTGTTCTTTAATATAGATGCCATTAGCCACATGGACGATCTTATCCACCTGAATCAGCTGATTAGAGTAGAGTTTGATTACATTGCTACACTAACCTGTTCTTTAATATAGATGCCATTAGCCACATGGACGATCTTATCCACCTGAATCAGCTGACTAAAGTAGAGTTTTTATTACATTGCTACACTAACCTGTTCTTTAATATAGATGCCATTAGCCACATGGACGATCTTATCCACCTGAATCAGCTGATTAAAGTAGAGTTTACTATTCTCGTTCTCCGTCATCATAGTTAGGATCATTAGGGCCTCCACCATTAGCTGTCTATACTCAGGCTGGGGGATCTTATTTAGAACCATCTCCACATGTAAAGCAAACTTAAACTCTCCTGGGGTCATCTAAAAGGTTTATACAAAACTTACATATCAGCAGGTAAGAACAAGCTTAGCATTTCTTTTCTTTATTACAAAAAAAAAAAATTCAGAAACCAACCTCTCTAGTAAGACTGTGTGGTATATGATGTCCTTCAATGACAAGTCCATGGCACTAAGAATAGAAAAGGCAATGAATTTTACTCTCATTGGTTATTCAATTCAGGTGTAACCAAATTGTGAATCACAGTGTTCTACTGGTAACAAAGACACTTGATGTTATATATTTTTTCTTACCACAAAAAAATTTGTTTTATTAGGTAGGGGTTCTATTTATTTGCTAGTAGAAAAAAATATATATAGTCAAACCTTGTTATCGAGAACTTGATGGGACTGAGAAAAAACTTCAACATATCTGAGGATTCGATATATCAAGGGGTAAAGTGGTTTGGAATTCCAGATTTATTTACTTCAACATACAGACTTGTCGAAAACTGTCGGTCCAGTAAGCAAAGCTGGTAAAAATTTGTCTAGACTGATAACTTTCAAGAAAACATCAGTCTAAATGACAGTTTGAAACTAGAAATATGTCCATAGGACATGAATGCCCCGCCGAGGGTATATTAGTAACACAACATTTTAACACAAATTGAGAAAAGTGAGGTCAAGGTCAAAGGAAAGGTCAAGGTGAAAAAATATTGATGCAGTTGAATAGCTTACATCAGTATGTATCAGCATATGAAGTTTGACACTAATTTAAGAAAAGTGAGGTCAAGGTCAAAGGAAAGGTCAAGGTCAAAAATTGTTGATGCAGTTGAAAATGTTACATCAGTATGTATTAGCATATGAAGTTTGATAAAAATATTAGGAATGGTTTCTTTAAAACTGAGCTAAACAATAATTAAAGAAAAGTGAGGTCAAGGTCAAAGGAAAGGTCAAGGTAAAAAAATATTGATGCAGTTGAATAGCTTTCATCTGTCGGTATCAGCATATGAAGTTTGACACTAATTTAAGAAAAGTGAGGTCAAGGTCAAAGGAAAGGTCAAGGTCAAAAAATGTTGATGCAGTTGAATAGCTCTCATCAGTATGTATCAGCATATGAAGTTTGATAACACTATCTTGAATGGTATCTTTAAAAACTGAGCTAAACACTTATTTTAAAAAAGTGAGGTCAAGGTCAAAGGAAAGGTCAAGGTAAAAAATATTGATGCAGTTGAATAGCTCTCATCAGTATGTATCAGCATATGAAGTTTGACACTAATTTAAGAAGTGAGGTCAAGGTCAAAGGAAAGGTCAAGGTCAAAAAATGTTGCTGCAGTTGAATAGCTCTCGTTAGTATGTATCAGCATATGAAGTTTGATAACACTATCTTGAATGGTATCTTTAAAACTGAGCTAAACACTTATTTAAGAAAAGTGAGGTCAAGGTCAAAGGAAAGGTCAAGGTAAAAAATATTGCTGCAGTTGAATAGCTCTCATCAGTATGTATCAGCATATGAAGTTTGTTAAAAATATCTTGAATGGTTTCATTAAAACTGAGCTAAACACTAATTCAGAGGTTAAGGTCAAAAGAAAGGTCAAGGTAAAAAAATGTTGATGCAGTTGAATGGCTTACATCAGTATGTATCAACATATGAAGTTTGATTACACTATCTTGAATGGTATCTTTAAAACTGAGCTAAACACTAATTTAAGAAAAGTGAGGTCAAGGTCAAAAGAAAGGTCAAGGTCAAAAAATGTTGATGCAGTTGAATAGTTTACATCAGTATGTATCAACATATGAAGTTTGATTACACTATCTTGAATGGTATCTTTAAAACTGAGCTAAACACTAATTTAAGAAAAGTGAGGTCAAGGTCAAAAGACAGGTCAAGGTCAAAAAATGTTGATGCAGTTGCATAGCTCTCATCAATATCTATCAGCATCTGAAGTTTGATAAAAATATCTTGGATAGTTTCTTTGAAACTGAGCTTTGAACAGAGCTAAACGCAAAGTGTGACGGAAGGACAGACGGAAGGACAGAAGGACGGAAGGACGGAAGACGGACATGACAAACACTATATGCCCCGGCCATATTCATGGCGGGGCATAAAAATCGATTTTTAAAATTTTAAAAAGATCGGGATCGGGGCTGCACAGGCTACCCAAAAACAGAAGAGATGGCCACATGGTGACAAGGGGTGATTAAATTTGTTACAGCAAAGACATATATGTAATTTATGTCTTTGATTAAGGACTATCCTAAGAAAAGAAACTTGTGAGATTGAAGGCTGTTGAAAATTTTGTAGGGCATTTTGGTGCAGTTATTTATTTTCCTTTCTCAGCATCAAAATAAGGTAATCATGGTATATGTATCTGGTCGGACAAAACTTCGTCCAGTCCAACAGAATATTTGACTTTGTCAGACTAAATGTCCACTTGTGATTTTAAAATTTTGACAAGTCTGGACATATCAAAGGTTTTCTGAGATACCAAAGATCAACTGTCAAGTGCCTGTGTCTGGTAATTAATACAATACATTTAGGTACAAATTCCACCATTCATTTACCATTTTGAGAACTTTCCAAACCCTTGGATAGAATCCAACAGGAACTCTGTTCAGGGCACCATCTAGGCGGCGCCTACGGAGCCACTGGCCCTGTCTGTCAGACTCCACATCATCTTCCTTCTCAAGTGCATGGGGGTCAAGGCGAGGCATACTTTTCTGCATCTGTTTGAAATTTTTGTAAAAAAAATTATACTCATATATACATACATTAGTGTACATGAATATATTATGCAAAGTATGAGTGGGAATAAACTACAGGTGTTTTTTTTTTTTGAATACTCAAAGTCTTGAAAGCCAAAAAAAAAAAAATTCTTCATTCAAAATATCCTTCTTTATCTATTTCTTAAGAATGTAACATAGTTTTATTTGCTCTTTCTATCCAGGTATTTATTGGGTTTGTAGTGATTGATGACTTTAATTAATTATATTTGCCCATCAATAAAACATATCCTCCTAAAAACTTTTTCTTTGATTATTTTTCAAAGTTTGTACTCGGTATATAAGTGATCTTAATCAACAAATTCAAAACTACAGAGTAAATGATACAACACTAAGTCATGTTCAATAAACTATATCATTTATAACACAAAAGAAATGTGAAATTTGACTATACCTTTACATGGAAGACAAAGTTTTCTGAGTTATTTATATACTTCCTCCATAAGAGCTACAAGAATTTCAATCAATGCCTACCATTGTACCAGTCCATGCACAGATATCTACATTACCACAACCAAGAAATGGAATCCATAAATGATAATGTATTTAAGTGTGAGAAACCATAAAAAGAAACTCCACTGATACTACATGTAACACAAAAAACTACATGTAAAATACACATTGATGAAAGCTTGGACCTCTTGACTTAGTAAGTCAGGTTCATTGACTTCCCTGCAGTCAAAAATTTATCTATGACAAACAAACATGTGTGTATTTGGGACTTTATCATTGATGACAACTTAATACGTACAAAGCAATTTTGTTGGGGTGTTGTGAAAACAACAAAGCACAGGAATGTGATTATGGAAATAGGTCATGCATGACAATCACAGTAGGGTCATGTGACTCACCATTGACAAGTTTCTGTCATCCAGAATCAAACTCTGGCCTTGCCTTAAATTGGATTTTTTCTCTTCAGGGTGAAAAAATAAGTAAAAGACATTAATAAGTGGTTATTTCACTAAAGCAAGCAAAGCTTAGTGAATCCTTCATTTCCACACATGAAGGTGCAAACTAAATGAGAAAACATTCCAACTGGAGCAGAACACATATGTACTACATGCAAAGCAAACTTAGGGAATTGTGAACAAGGAATAATCAAAACATGCTTCAGACAAAAGACGTAGATTCATCAAAATGAAACGCAAGACTGCACACTAGGAAATATTTCTCCTACTATGAACTACACATATTCCTTGTTAGTGCATACATGTATCAGTTTTGTGCAGAATTCTTGATTAAACAGAATAAACAAAGATCATACAAGGATTAAAAAAAATTTCCATCTCAACAATAACCACAACTCCACAGTTCCAATCTTCTGAACAAGTATACCACCCTTGTGATCTTGACATCAGTGAGCCATGGTTGTTAAGTCATCATCATAAATTAAACATGTATGTCTTCCTGAACATAAAAATAAACATGAAATGGTATGAACCTTTAAATGTGGTTTTCGACTTAGTTTGGCAAATTCTGTGGCTTCATCTCCAACATTCTTCGTTGTAACTGATAACCTGCACTCATCTTCTACATTAGTATGCTCTAAATCAAAATATAATTGTAGCTGTTTAAGTTGTAGCGGCTAATAAAATTGTCTATATCCATTCAAGTAAGAAAATAAAGTTTACATAATTGTATAGATGTGTAGAGTAAAATTATAAATTACAAAAATCATCAGATCTTCAAGCTGTTTCAAAATGAAATTGGTAAAGCTGCTTCTGCAATCTAATTTCCACTCACTTTTCATTAGATGGTAGCAATAAAGGTATAAAATACTTTTTCATTTCCTTTTCTAGAGAACACTGGATATATTTCAATGTTTCATTTCAATATAACAATATGTAACATTGACATAACACATTTTTCTATAAAGGTGCATGTGTTTGCAATAAGGGATAGGAGGAGAAAAATAAACACAATTCAACAGTTAAATTCTACTGGCACTTCCTCAAAAATTACAAAGCTGTGACACAAATACATGTGTATTATCATTGTAATAGAAAATGATTTTAGATCAAAACACTTGAGCTCATTTACATGTTAATGTAAATAATAATATTTACTTATGATGAACAAAACTTACAGAAAGCAGATTGTTATATATATCTTTAATATATGTTTTCAATATAAATAAAATCTTTTACTGGGTGATCCAATAGGATAATATCTTGCCAAATCCTCATATAAAACTCTTGCCTTTGCTATAGCCAAATGGCCTCTGGCAAACAGTTAAGTTCTTGGATTAGACAAAATGCCTGTTGCCCTTGAACCCAGTACTTAAACATTGCTTTAAATGTGATTTATGAAATTTTGTTATGTGTTACCCTTCTCCATAAATGTTAGTATATATAAGTTAGGCCTTTCAAAGATTTTATTTATGTTTAGCATCCACATGTGCCTTGGTTTCTGACACACACAAAATCAAGGAATACATACAAAATTAGGGGTTCAAAAGTGGATTTTTTTATTGAAACCTTTAGGGTACTGTCATTCCTTTCAATATTTTCAAGAATCAGGCAAATAGGTCTATACTTAGCAATTACTATTATGATTTTGCAAAGGAATACATTTTTTAATGAGAGAAATAGAATTATGAAATCAAATTATTTGAATAATGTTGTTTTATTGCTATAAAGTGTGTTTTTATTTTTTGGCTTGTGTGCTTTTTCATGAATTTCTAGGTAGATTCTAGAATGATAGGTGAGTGCTAAATGGAAAAAAAATCTTAGAATGGCCTTACAAACATTTTAGCAATGTGGAGAAAGTACTACATATATAGCTATTGGCTAGACAGTTAATTCTAAATTAAGCATCAAAGACCCTGTGGATGAGCCTAAATGGAGAAATGTTTTTTCAAACTATAAACCTCTAAAACTACAAATTATACAAAATTAAACACACTTCATGTATGCCTGAGCTATATTGGCACAGCATTAGATTATCAAGTCAGAAAATATACATCACTTTTTTTTGCATTAAAAGTTTTTTAGCCAGGTAAGAAAATGAATTTTCTATTACTCAAAAATCTGCTTGCTGGAGTTACTGTGCTGTTCCAAAGCTAAAACAAAGCCACTTTGACATTAAATTAAACAAAAACTAAGGATTTACCAAATGGAACATGCCTTTGATCAACCTCCACTGTGTGGTAGAAACAGAACATAATCAAGGGAATACATTGTGTAGGTTATATCAGTATATCATTAGTAACTAATTCTACATTTATGACTAACAGTAGAGTTGTGTGTGTGCTAAATTCTGATAGATGTTCTATATACATGTGATAGAATTTGTTATGTTTAAGATTTATGGAAATGAAATTATGCAAAACTCCAGTTCAATGAACAACTAATCAAGTCTTCATCTCAGAAAACTGGTCCTAAATAAGAAGTTAAACTAAACAAGTATATTACACCAGTTTTCATTTTGTTTTTGTATATCTACTTATTAAATTTAAAAATGTATGATGTATTTTCTTTAAAGAACTTATCTATCTTTTCTTCATTAAATGTGAAAAGTATCATTAAGACTCTGATAAGTCATTTCTGATTATCTAAAACATGAAAACATGATAAAAAATTCGCATCGTTTGATTTGCCTCTCTGTTTTTCAAAAATATAGTGTGATTGTTTCAAATAAGTTGATTTATTTTTTAGTAGTATTTGATATGATGTTTATTTTGCTATATGAGAGGTAGAAAAGAATGGGGGGGTCTCAGATGTAAATGGGGACACACAAACTCACCGGGACTTTCCCCCCCAAAGGGATGAACACAAGAGTGAACACAATCTACAGCAGAATATTAAGCAGCATATCAAGCAATATACACCGTGCAGTGGGCAATGAATAATATACATGGAATTAATATCAATATTGCACTGTAAAAATCTGTTTTTTTAGAGTAATTTAGCATTTATATTACTGTAGATCACCAAATTTTCGCGACACCTTAGGTCAGTATTAGGTATTTATAAGCGAGAAAAATTTTTCGCGATTTCTTGATATTGTTATATATATATATATATATATATATATATATATATATATATATATATATATATATATATATATATATATATTTAACCTATACTAACAAAAATATACACGTGAATAAAATTTTTGTGAGCAGACCGTCTCACGTAATTATGCGAAAATAAAGTTCTCACAAATAAAAAGTGATTTACAGTATATGTTTTTGCCTGATTTTAGTACAGCTGTGTATCTTATTCAAACATGTATATTTGAAAATACATGTGTAGTTTATTATTAGTAAAAGTAGTCATATAAAATTTGCAGCAGAAGTTTTCAGTTACTGGTATGCTAAATACATTTGCAATACTATGTACATTTATGCATGTACATATATTAAATTTTGGATGATTTTATTTACCCCGTAACTTCTTTTTTGATGGTCCTTAAAAATTGTATAAATTAATATCTATGACTTAAAGAACAAAAGAATATATTTACATGTAACTTGTAGCAATTTAAGGTACATTGTACATGATTATTAAAAAAAAATAATCCACCATAATGCAGAACTCAGATACAAGTCAATTAAATGCCACTGCAAAAACATAAAATGAAAGCCAAAATTATACTTTTTTTTTAAACTGACTATAAATAAAGGGGCCTGCAAATCTTTAAAAAAAAAAAACTAAATGTTTACACTAGGTTTGAAATAATAACATACAGAGTTACATGTATGATCCTATTGTTAATGCTCAAGATTTTCAGCCACAAAAACAACAACATTAAAATAGAAGTTTAATGACGGCTAGATTACCAAGAATCAGTGAGAACTTTTGGACTGCAATATCATTAATAGCATAACATTAAATATATTTGAACACTACAAATACATGTACATTGCATATGAAATGATACAGTAATGGCCGTCCATATCTGAGTTGGTGTGACCTACCTGTATTGATGACAAACTCTTTTCCACTCAGGATGTGATGTAGAAGAGTTTTCATTTCATAAGGACTGAGATTCAGTAAGTGCTCGGACGCTTCATCACCTAATAAAGAAAAAAAAATCTACTTAATACTTGCATAAATTATCAACTTAAATGAAAATTTGGATTTTAAAAAACTGGTAATCACAATAAAAATGTTTACATTTTAAGAATAACAGCAATATCTATGCAATACCTATGTTATCAAGATTTTTATATTTATTAAATATATAACATAAAAACTTATTTTTCTTACTTTAATATTTTTAGTTTATTATTCTCCTTAGTACCTGCTATATACATTTATCTACAATCAGATACTTATTATCGAAGTTTGAAAGTCTTCTACTGTATCAGATTTGACCTTTACCCTAGACTTCACTCTTTCTATGTACATGTATACCTGTGCACTTGAGAGTTCTAGCAAGCTCTGATGCCATAACTTGAATGATGAGACCCACCCTAAGCCTCAACATTTCATTGAATAGTTTTGGTTCGGTGCGGATAAACATGGCAAGATAAATCAACAGCTCCTGGAAAATACAAAGTTTTTTTTTTTAATAAAGCAAAATCAACAAAGAATTTCAACAAATTTTGAAAGTACATGTATGCAGTCTGAAAATAAATTTATCCAGTATTCCTGCATTTTTAAAATCTCAATTATTGTTTCTTTTCTTATTCACAGAAGAGTTTTTTCCCATGAAGTTTATATCTAAATTGGTCTTCAATATTGCACTCACAAGTTTGTTTCATTTTGGTTATCTAATGAGACAACCAATCAGTCTATAAGAAATTTCCACTACCAGCATATCTGAGATCTATCACTTTGCAGACACATGATATAAATCTCATGTTAGAGGTGTAAAATATCAAATATGTCAGAGATTAAAATATCAGCTGTATATATTCAAAATTGAAGATATCAAGTGTTAAAAAGTTTAAGACACCAGCTTTGTTTAATTCTAAAAATATGAGCTTTGTTAAACACATTTATTTAGGGTATCATGTTTGTACGATATTTACAATATCAGCACTGTTGAAGATACTGTATCAGTTTTTACCTGTTATCAGCTTTGTTAAACATTTATTTAGGGTATTACATGTATGTATGTAAGAGATTTACCATATCAGCATTGTTGGAGATATAAATTTTTACCTGTGTTATCAGCATTGTTAAACACATTTATTTAGGGTATCATGTATGTGAGATATTTACAATATCAGCATTGTTGGAGATTTCAGATTTTACCTGTGTTAGGGATGCTGTACTTAGATCCTCCCCACAAGCATCAAAAATAATACTGGCCAGATCATCTGGTGGCAGAGGTCTAGAAAATAAGACCAGTTACAGCATCAAAACAAGTCTGGTAGAATGCATCTTAAAATACATCATTTAAGCAATTTTGATTCTGAGGATTTTGGTTATATATACATGTACCGGTACTTAAAAATGGAACTGTTCTAAAAAATTAAACTTTGGATGCTGAAAGACTATAGCATAAGTTCTCCCTTATTTTAGCTAAAAAGTATGATTTGTTTTGAATTTATCCTTGTTAAATGCAATTCTTTTTCTTATTGTATATTCAAAGAATGTTTCAGTCCAATTTTTTGTTTACCGCATAACGACCCTCTCTCTGTCTGGTGGAAGACCCACTGATAACTGCTTCTGTCGAACTAAAAGATCTGTTGCTGCCTACAAGTAAACACATAGTATGGACTTGCATAAAGCTCTCAGTGGTTGATTTTAAATTTTGTACTTATGACAACTATCTTTTATCAACAGAAGTTAACTTATATTTATAAACTACTTGGCATGGACTGGTATCAACAAAATCTACGAAACCTTAAAATGATTCCATATTACGTATGTAATGAACTTCATCAGTTTGGTGAAATGATTTAAATATCAATTAACCAAAGCAAGAATATTGTATTCTCAAATTTTTTTTTTTATTTTTGTTATGCAGGTCTAAGTAAAAAAGAAATTAAATCCTGCCTGATCAGGTCTTACTAGTTATGAACATACCAGAGCTAATTCTTCTACCCTCTTCCTGAGCATACCAGCTGTATGTCTCACCAGACCCCAGTGTTTCCAATGGCCAGCCTGCAATTTCAATAATACAAGTTTCATGAATTCACATAAGAAATAAAACACATTTAATTAAAATAGCCAACATGCAACATAAATAGTACAAGTCCACTGGTCCCATGATCATGAAATATCCTAAGTCAAAATCTTTACCAGTGGTCAAACAGTCCAAAATGCAAAGATTCATATTTGTTCAGATAAAGAAACTGCTGTTATCTGCAAAGTTAGAGTTTCAATTCACTTTTAATTAACATCTTGCAGATGATTGAAATTTAACTTTTAAGTCTCTTTTTGGTGATCCTGGGACCAGAATTCATACAGATACAGAAAAACATGATTAAAGTAAATCACCAGAGCTGACAGAAGTTGTCTTGTTATATCAATAATTCATTTTATCCAGTTAATTACTAAATATTTTCTACTACTGAGTGGAAAAATAGGCATGAATATCTAATATCTATGTTCACTATAAACATAATTATAAGCACATGAAAAAATATTACATGTAGTTCACTACTGGCATAAATTGGCAACATCTATGTTCACTATAAATTTGTTTGACCTACAAGGTATCTGTCTTACTGAATGACATCAAGATTCTCATTGGCACACTGAAATTCAAATTCCCCAATAATATTTCACACTAACCTTTTCATAAAGTTCCACCAGTAATTCCTTGATACAACATGGCTTATTGTCAATTTTGATCTCAAAATTAGGACCTCTGAAATTTAAATCACTCTGTAATTACTTTAGGAATATGGTGTCATAAAATTGAAACACTTAATGATATATGTACTGATGTTACATTTACAATATACAAAGCCACATACTGGGTATATATACAGTTGAACTTTTATATCTCAAACTTCCGATATCTCGAAAAACATGGATATGTCATAGTGACTTGAAAGTCCCAACCACTTTTATCTTATTGTATTTGAACCTCAATATCTCAAACCTTCGGAATTCTTGTAGTTTTTATTTGGTCCCATAGAGTTCTCGATAACAAGGATTGACTTATTACCGGTATTTCTAAGTACCGCTACATGTCTGTGATCATTACCTTAGTGTACCTACGAAGGCTTTTTGGAAATTATCAGACATTGTGTTTATATTCTTCTTTCTAACGAACCCCTTTTGGTGAATATTGGCATATACTTTTGACACACTAAGAATTAATAAACACAAAAAATATTTTACAAATATTTTATTTCTTCTTTTCAATGGTATGTTAATGTGTCAATGGTAGGGGTACCCAGCGCAGTCACGAAATCAGATATTGAAAATATGTAACACCTATGTTCAAACTCCCAGTGGACCCATAGCAAGAGTGAAAACTAGATATCATTGAGATGGTGGCCATCTCAAAGGGCCCCGCTTTCAGCAATGAACATGGAAATGTAAGGTAGCTGAAAAGGATTTATTTTGAAGAGGAACATTTGTGTACTATTAAGGGATGTGTTGTTTGAGTCTAAAGGGCTTCTATGTTATCCTCATTATAATAAAAAAAAGCACGAAAATCATGAGTGCTCAACACCTTCCATCAAAAAACGGCACAAAAATCATGAATGCTGCATATCCTCTATGAAAATTGTTGCATATCCTCTATCAGAAATATGGAAGGAAATTCACAAATGATCCGTACCCTAAGTCAATTGGTAAGGTTTGAGGCTGACTGGACTTAAGGGAAAGAAATTATGCACCGAACAAAGATTTTAAACAGAGAGGCTATTTTTGAAATTGACCCTTGACCTAGAAACTTCGTTCAAGGTCACTGCACATCCATTGACCAGTGGCACTCTGTGAGTGAAGTATGAGCCACATTGGACCAAGAGGAGAGAAGATATGCTCCAGACAAGGATTTTTCATATAATTCTGCTATGACCTTGACCTTAGACCTAGAAACATGGTTCAAGGTCACTGCACATCCTTTACCCAAAGACACTCTGTGGGTGAAGTATGAGCCAGATTGGGCCAAGGAGAGAGAAGATATGCTCCGGACAAGAGATCTCGGACAGACAGATGGACGGAAGGACAGACAGACAGACTGATCACTATAGGGCACCTGCAGAGCAGGGCCCTAATAATTCAATTTATGTAAATATTTTAAAAATTTTATTTTGACTTCATTTTGTGCAAGTTTAATAGAATTTAGATAATAATACGGAGATCATAAAAAAGTTAAGCGCGATACAGAAATCTGATTATGACAAAATGAATTTTGACGTCAAGGCAGCGAAGATACATTTCCGAATAGCCCTGGTAGATACAGGTATTGACTTTTAAAGTATCGGTTAATTTCAAAATCAAATTTTAAAATGGTCTGGAATACATCTGAATTATACTTCAAGCTTCCAATATATAGATAGTTTTCAGTAGGCCCAAATTATCAAGAGTTATTTCCCGTTGGCCGCCATATTGGAGGTCAACATGCTCATATTCCTTCATTATTCAACCAACTTTAACTTTTTATACTGGCCATTGTGGTGTAGGAAACATTGTTTTTCTGAAAAATATACATTTGTTAAATCCACCTTCATTGCATAATTTTTATTCCAGAAAGATTTCCCCCCAAATATTTCTGGTACACTCTTTTAAATTTGGTAAGACAAAGAGGAAAAATTACCAGGTTGACCACCAAGATGGCGGCCAAGGGAAATAACTTGGAGAGAAAATATGTCCTATGAAAACTATCTATAGAGAGAAATGTCTACAGAAAGTTAAATTCAACGAGTTCATTAATGATTACAAATGAGTAAGCATACCTGTGAAGATACAAATAATGGACGATATCTGCCTGTTCATGTAATACTTCTGTGGTGTTAAGCTGATCTACTAATTCATCAATGTTGATGCTTTCCTGCTTTCCTGGGGGAAAGCTCATCTGGCCATGGAAAAAATGGGAAAGTTGTGGGGAAGAGGAGGGGGCATGGTGACTGTAATGAAGAGGGTGTAGACTTCCCTTCAAGTGAAGATTGGGAGACATGGGTCGGGTGGGTAAATCATCTGAAAATGAAACAATTCTCATTTGAGGAAATTCTGTTCATTTAAAATATATCTCTATTAGATATTCTTTTTTTCCCCCCATGTCTCACACTTTAAGTTATTTTGTTTTTATACAGATTTTGTGTAACAACTTCAATAAACAAACAAACTATTCCTGCTCTACTATAGACATATATTCAGGTAATAATTTTTAAACATAGGTTATTAAAGCTTACAAAGCTTAAATCAACATCTATTTGTTAGGCAAAACCTCATACCAAATAAATGATCAATTGTCTGTACTCCAACAACAAAGTTTTTCAAGTACTGAATTGATATACAATCACATTATATATAAAATAATATATATGGCTATCTTTTAAAAAAAGTTTGTTTGCCCTCTCCAGAATCTGAATAAAAAAAATTGGGTAGGTAGGGGAAATTTTTTTCCCAAAACACTTGTGAATATAATTAATGGGATCAAAAAACTTCCGATTGAATAAAAAAAAATAAAAAGTTTTGAGTCAAACCGTTTTTAGTCAGTTGGTCTGGAGATGGCAAACAAATATTTTTTAAAGATAGTCTACCCTTTTCCATATCACATCCTGTATCAGCCCCGAGACACCAATATCAGCCAGAGAGTCAAAAGCCCAAGGGCTGATATTGGTGTCTCAGGCTGATACTGGATGTAATGTGGAAAGGGTATATTATGTTTATTACATACTTAGTAATAAATTACAGCATACATCTACTTAAATAATCACTGACTAGTTTATCATATCAAAGAACAGTAATTTAGAATACATTAAAGTATTAATCTCCAAGGGGTGTGATATAAATCCGTATCAGTCCTGCCGATCCATATCAGCCCTGGAAGCTGATACAGCTATTGTGATGTCAGGCTTATTGCATATGCAAAAAAAGTGTATTAATTACTAAGTATGTAATAAAGACATTTACCACTAAACTTGAAGTGAATATTTTACCTTCATCTTTTTCCATCTGTCACCACTGTATTTCATGCAAGTACATGGAATTTGAGACTTACTGGTCACATAAGTATTTAATATTGTGTCTTTTGGCCAAACTTATTACAGTCTTGTAATTTCCTTTGACCTTAAAATCAGGCCTTTTCCAATTCAGAATACTATAGCGATTGTGAAATTGGAGGGTAGGATGTAACTCTGTTAGTAATGTCAGCAACATCATTGCCTTTGATCTTTTGACCCTTGAGTTTGTAAGTTTTTGTAATACCTACTATCTTAGTAGAAGCATGAAACAGAAATGTGATATATTGGAACAACTGTTTCTTTTGTATCCACATTTGGATGGATGCAAAGATTCAAGCACAATAGGTCATGTTTATTGCATGGAAATTAAAAAAAAAGGACAAATATAGTAGTCCAAACATTCCTAAAAGCATAACTGAAAACCAAATATTAATTTATTCATGACAAATTGACAACTTCTATTCATGATTCATCAGTTTGAAATCTGTCATAATTATTCATGACTGAGGAATCACTCCATAATATGTTCGATGGTGAAACAGATGGGCAGGGCTCTAATTGGTGACTAAAATTTTTGATTGGCACCTAAAATTTCTTTATAAGTCGCCAAATTGGCAACCATTTTAAATTGACTTGGTGATCGTCAATTAAATAAATGGATTTTGACAAATTATTGGTGAGTAAAAGAATGTTGGGAAACTCTCAGTTATCTCTTGCACATGAATAAAACTTGGTTTGCAGTATGCAACAATTTGGATATGCTTCAACTAAGGATATTCCGAGTTCCGACATTTTTGGACATTGTAATAAACTGTCCTATTTTGTAAAGATTTCTTAAGAAATGGTTTTGTGCTTTGAATTTACAAAATAAAAAAAAGTGTACTATCTTATGAAACCATCATCGTAATAACGAGACCACACTGTATAGCATACTAGTAAATTCTATGCCTGCCAAGGGGAGATATAATAATTAGATTTCCAAACATTTAAAAATAAAGGCACAAAATGAAGTAGTCTTTGGTAAATTGATAATTTATATTCTTAACAATATTTGATATTTTATCATGCAGATTTCCTCATCAAAACATTACAGTGCAGGGAACTAATTTTGTTACATAAACCAGCATCAGCATAAGCATTAGTAGCATCAGGATCGAGCTAGCATCAGCATCAGCATTTAAAAAACAGCATTACCAGGATCAGCATTAGCAAGCAAAGGATAAAACCAGCATTGACCTACATAAAATCAGCATTATCCTACTAGCAACAGAAAATCAATGAGTTTTAATTCAGTAAAAAATTAAAAAAGAAAGAAAGAATATTGGTTAAAGTATTCACATTATTGATACATAGTGAGATATTATGATCAAATAATTGTAAAAGGCACTTTTATTGCTTTAAACGGCAATGCTGAAATTCATTATCTACTTCCGGTAGCATGATGCTACTTCCGGTAGCATTGACCTAATTATAAAACAGCATCAGGATAAGGATTACTAGCATTAAATCAGCAAGCAAAGGAAGCATTCAAATCAGCAAGCAAAGGAAGCATTCAAATCAGCATCGATTCTGTAACAAAATTAGTTTCCTGCACTGTAAACAAGTTACAAATGACAGACAGAATTTTGCACTCAACATACCAAGAGATCCTGGAATGGTTCGACTTTCAGACATACCAGTAAGTGAGTGTCCAGCTCCTCTTCCATCTATTATGGCATGCAAGAGGAAAAAGAAAAAAAAATCAAACTCACTATCTATGATGCAAGATTAAAACTGATATAATATAAATAATTTTTTTAACATTTCTTTGTAAAAACTAAAGAGACTAAAGAGCATTGAAACAAACTAAGAAATCATCATGCTTTATTCTCCCCAAAAGCAGTGGGGGACTTGTAAAGTTAATCAATAATCATGTATTGATTAAGGAATGAAATTGAACAAAAAAAGGAGATATAATAAATGTGTCTATTTCTACATGTATTTCTAGAGTTCTGGACACAACTCAAAATTTATACACAAGTCTGGAGATAGGTTTCAGCATGCTGTTATGTACTTTATGACACTGAAAACAAAGGTTAATCAATTTATTAATAAAAATAATAATTATATATATCATTAATAAACACCTATAAAATCATATATATGGAATGTATAGCTATGATCATGCTATTAATCATAACACTAAAAATATACACACCACATCAATGATTGTCATCAGTAAATATTGTTAAGAATTCAAGTCACTCTTCTGCATTAACAAATGAACAATGTTTGTTGTTTTTCTTTTAGCTATGAAAAATGGTTGACAACAATCATACCACTTGATTAAGAAATCACAAGGGGAAAGCTGTCAATATGACAGCAAACCAAATTTTCTTTAGAGTGAACAGTACTGGTACATGTATTAATTCTCACATAAATTGTAGGAAGTGACATCCAGACAATATTAATGTACCCTATGAACATAAATATGGCTTTCAACAACTGGTAATTTTCTCATAAATTATTAAAAATCAAAATCCATTTACAATCAACATCTTTGATATATGTACAACTAATATGCTTTCTTAAAAATTGTTATCTGTACAAATGATGCACCCTATAGGTAAAATTTTGAATAAAAATGACTATTTTCAACAAGTGGTAATCTTTTAATTAATTAACAAAAATAAAAATCCAACTAGCATGTACAGCTCTGATATATGTAGAACTGATCTGCAAAATCAAAACTTCTCAATGTCTTGAAAACTGTAGCAGGAGTTACACGGACAATAGATGTATCCTTTTGGCACTCACCTCCCCACCCGCCATTTACACCATTTCAATAACCCAATTTTTCCTATGGAAAACCCAGTTATAAATAGCTTTATATCCAGTTATTGCTAGTTTTCAAATTATTTGATAAAAATTTGGCTATGTTTCAAAATCAACAAGAAGTCTGCGAGCCAATGCTCACTAATAATACCCCCGCTCTGATGTGAATACACAAGTTCAGTTATGGACAAACACAGTGATAATCAGGAAATTGACATTGGATTAGTAAAAAATGAATCCCAACATATGGCATGTCTAAACAAACATTGTGTTAAGATTTCAAGCACCTGCAATGAGTAGTTGTTGAGAAAACTGCGACCAAAATTTGTTATGTATGGTACAGACAGATGCAGGGATAAACAGGAAGTTGACATTGGATTTGTACCAAAATGAATCCCATTATATGGCATGCCTAAACAAAGATTATGCTAAAATTTCAAGCATCTGCAATGAGTAGTTACCGACCAAAATTTGTTATGTATGGTACGAACAGACGCACGGATAAACAGGAAGTTTACATCAGATTCGTACAAAAATGAATCCCACCATATGGCATGCCTAAACAAAGAGTGTGTTAAAATTTCAAGCATCTGCAATGAGTAGTTGCTGAGAAAACTGCAACCATAGTTTGTTATGTATGGTACGGACAGATGCACAGATAAACAGGAAGTTGACATCAGATTAGTACAAAGATGAATCCCACCATATGGCATGCCTAAACAAAGATTGTGCTAAAATTTCAAGCATCTGCGATGAGTAGTTGCTGAGAAAACTACGACCAAAATTTGGTTATGTATGGTACGGACAGACGCACGATTAAACAGGAAGTTGACATCGAATTCGTACAAAAATAAATCCCACAATATGGCATGCCTAAACAAAGATTGTGCTAAAATTTCAAGCTTCTGCAATGAGTAGTTGCTGAGAAAACTGCGACCAAAATTTGTTACGGACAGACAGACAGCTACACAGCTAGACAGACACACAAGGGTAAAACAGTATACCCCCCTCTCCTTCGGAGCGGGCATATAAAAATCTGAAATGCTGGGTTTCAAAATCAAAAATCTGAAATGCTAGGGCAGTTAAATCCTTTAACTTTGAAAATTTAAAATCATCAATACTGGAATTCAGACAGAATCAGAAGAATTTGAATAGTGACAATGATAATATATTGTTATTGTCACTTTCCGAAATCCACTGAAGATTCAAGAAGCAAAAGTGGTATGGGTTGAAGTGCCACCTTCTACTGAATTTATTCTCTCTCTCCCTCTATAATTATCATACTAAAGAAATAACTGTTTAGTTTTTTGGGTATATGGGAGTATATATACTTGGGAGCACATATAATAATTGCAAAATCATATTGCAAGCTGAATTACCATGTGTTCTTATGTACATGTAACCTCAAAAATCTCCAAAACCTGGATGGTTATTATTTATAGTTACATTGTAAACTATAAAAAACTTTTTTTGGGGTGTCGACATCGACTCAAAACCCATGCAACAAAGTACATCAGTGATGTTATGTATCATGTATGAGCTTATACCCAATACACATTCTCAGTTCTAACGATTTATCACTGTTCTATCTGAGTTGAGTATATATAACTATTTAGGAATTGCCTAAATGGAAACATTGTTACATCCCTTACCCTTTGAAACATCAAAACTACATGTATATGAAAATTATTATATCTCTGAATGTTTTATGCCATATATTTGCCATATTAATCAAGGTTTCTTCATTTATTTGTCAAATGATTTTGTCAGGTCTGCTTATTGCATTTTTTTCTGCAGTAACCTACTTTTACATGTAAAATCATTCACAAAAAAATATTCTATCATCTATCAATGTCATTAAAAAGTATGACAAATTTGAAAGTTTCTATCTACATCAAAACTAATAAAATCTGAAAATGACATCTCTAATTTAAGCTCTGAATCTCTGCAATAAGCAACATAATTCCTACAGAAATCTTTTTACAAGTTCCTCATTTGAGTACATGACTGAACAAACTACAATGAACCCAGGCCTTCTCTTCCAATACCCAGTCCTGAATCTGAATTTATAATCATTTATAGTCAGTTCTGATACTTAACTTTCATAAAAATATATTTGTACCTTTTTTTTGCATTATTTTGTTCATTAGATGTTAAACAAGAAACATTTGCACCAACTGATAAACAGAAGTCTCTGATGAGACTGTAGCTCTACTGGTTTGTACTTAAAACAAAGGAAGAGAAAAGAAGCACTTGGACTTAAAACAGCAATAAATACAATAATGATCCTTGGTTTAGTTTTTTTTTTGTGGCAAAATTTATGGCAATCAGACTAAAACTAGTCTTTTGCAAGAGTTTTACAGAAATTTTCAACTTTAATGACCATGGCAAAACTGTTCATCGAAATCAAGAACCAATATAAAGAATTATGTATCTCAGTGTAGTGTACATGCATGCCAAGTTATATTAATATCAGAACAAAACTGTAGGAGGAGTAGCATATTGAAAGTATTTCAAGAAATTTCAATTTTTAATAACCATTGCAACATCGTTCTAAGAAATCAAAACCAGATAGTTTGCAGAATTATGTACCTTAGTGTAGTCTACTAATGTGCCAAGTTAGATTGAAATCAGACCAAAACTGTAGTATGAGTAGCATTTTAAAATATTTCATAGAAATTTCTATTTTTAGTAACCATGGCAACACCATTCATCAAAATCAAAAATTGATATAGAAGATTATGTCCCTTAGTGTAGTTTACTTGTGTGCCATGTTATATTGAAATCAGACCAAAACTGTAGGAGGAGTAGTGTTTTGAAAGTATTTCATAGAAATTTCTATTTTTAGTAACCATCCCAACACTGTTCATCAAGATTGAAAAACCAATAAACAGGATTATGTATCTTAGTGCCTTTTGAAAGTATTTTAAAGAAATTTCTATTTTCTAGTAACCATGGCAACACCATTAATTGAAATCAAAAATCGATATACAGAATCATGTATCTTAGTGTAGTCTACTTGTGTGCTAAGTTATATAGAATTCAGACCAAAACTGTAGGAGGAGTAGCATTTTCAAAAATTATTTACAGGCAGACGGACAGCTAGATGGACAGATGACGGACACCTTACTATCACATAAGTTCTTCTGATCTCTGACCAGTGGAGCTTAAAATACATGTAGTTACCCTTCTTGGCACTTGTAATATTTTACCCAAAGAGCACATTTTAGACACTCAAGTCAGCATGTTTAGCAAATGTATGATAAATATATGAAAGCAGGATTTCATGCAAGAGGCTATGAATTCCGTGTAACATATTTAATATTCATCTACTAAAACACACAAAATTTATAGGTAAAGCATTGATGTTTTGTGGATTTTCCTGAAGATTTGAAAAAAAAAGTTGAATGAGATGTGCCTCTTAGAAAATATTTTGCCTGAAATGTGTGATCTATGCAGGCAAAGGTTTAGTGACGATGGATTAAGTGAACATAACAATATCTGTAGGATGCCTTTCCTGTAAGAGGTGGAATATAAAGGGTTTAGAAGAACAAAATGTCAGTTAAACACACAACAAAGAAGAGTTAAAATAACACAACAAAAATATAATGCATCAAGTGATGAGCAAGTTGATATGATTACATGTACTACATGTCTACTCATACTATGATTGGCTGACAGGATGCATGATTGAAAGCTTGACTCCGCCTACCTGGGATAGCAATTCCTCTTTCTAATTTCTTCAGTGACTGTTGTAAAGCTCAACAAGGAAACATAGGACAATTAACACAAACATAATATAACTGAGTAATTATTTCATAAACACTTTGACTCCACTACCTCTTTATATCTCTAGTGCATTCTGAATGCTAAATCATCACATACATGTACACTGTAAGTTATAATCTTTTAATCATTAAAGTTAAGGTCTGGTCTGTATCTCCTTTTTGAGTTGTGCACACTTTGGGATAAGACAAGAAACAACATACAACATATATCAAACATATATGAACAATATCTAGCAGTATATATACATGTTGTTACTAAAGGAAACAATCATGCCTTTGATAGCCTTTTGTTATCAGTTAATTTGTAAAAAAATAAAATCATAGAGAATTAATAATAAAAATATATGTTTCTTTTTTGGTTAGATCTTCTCTTCATGCCAAATATTTTGAGACTTTAACTCAGTTTTCAAAAGACTTAAATATAAATTTCTTACATGCTTTTCTTCCATTTTTTATGGTGCAATAATCAGGATTTCTTTGACTTAACATTTAGATGATATAAAAATTAAAGCAAGTCTTTTGGACATAGTAAGTTACTGTCCATACTTTACATGAAATAGTTATTTGACCTATAAACATACAATCCTGTGTAAATATATACAGTTGAACTTCGGTGTCTTGTATATTGACATCTTGAAAGGTGTCTTGAATACTGACATCTTAAAGGTGTCTTGAATATTGACATCTTGAATACCATGAATACATGAATGCTGATTTGAGTTGGAAATTCCAACCACTTTTTCTTTACAATTTTATTTTAATCTTAATATCTTGAATCCTCAAATATCATTAAGTTTTTTCTTGGCTCCATCAAACTTGAGATAATGAGATTTGACTGTATATTCAATTAAAGATTCATTGGTTTACTAAAGATATTCATATTTCTTTAATTGACTGATGAATTAAGAGGCAGTCCACCGAAAAACCAGGCAGTATTGTATTAATAGGCGGCACATCGAATGTGAGGAATATTTGATATTTTATTAAAAACAATATCAATGTAGCCCAAAAGGAATAATGTAACTGAAGATTTGTTTGATAATTGCTTATTCAGTAAAATATCCTTGTGTTTTGTGTTTTTGAATGCTCCTATATAAACCATTGAATGTAGGTCAGAAACAAAGAACTGTAATTTCTAATACATTTTTAACAGGACTATAATTCACACTTAACTAAATCTAGAAATATTTCAACTTTTTGTTTAAAAAATAAAATCGGTGGGAAAAACACTTTTGATAGTAGTTTTCTGGCAAAATATAAGGACGTTTTTATGAAATTTTGCGATGCAAGAGTTATCTCCCGTGGCATCGGTAAATCTGCTCAACACCTTTTTATCGGAATCCTAGTGAAATATTTAGAATCGATACACTAAAGAAAATAATTAAACAAAAAACTAAATAATTTATTTTCAAAATATAATTCATTTTCGCCTCCAGACGTAATATTTAGATTAAAATTGGCTCTATTATTCAGGTTGAATCCACGTTTCCATTGATGTATCAGTGACGTCATATACCTGACTAATATTGCGTCATAATGAAATAGTTACAAGTTTCCAGAGAAGTTTGTAAATTCTTTGCGTAAAAGTGTAAAGAAAAAGATTTTTTTAAAAATGATTTCTCTTTTTCTGTTTAATTACTCTTCAGAGTGCATTATTCTAAATGTTAAATAATATTTTAATATCAAAATGTATTTTATACACGGGCGGCGTCTCAGCCAGATGACGTTTTGATAAGTAATTTTATACATGTCTGAGAACTAATTTTTTTTAACTGATTTACTAGGATATGCGTAAAAATAATTAATGAAGTGTTTATCATGAACATTTCTTATAAAATTGGGAATCAATGATGAATGTTTTAGATTTACGCAACACTTAATTCAACGAAGTTGAGATGTTTACTTCATGATATTTGTAAAAACTTAAATATATTAATCTATGCAGTCAAATCAAAATAAACAATCCGAAGTACGATTAAAAATGAAAAAAAAAAACCTGAAAAATAAGTTATAAAAATATATTTATTGAGTTAAACTACTGCTGAACTCCATACTATAATTTGGCACTAAAACGGAAGATGGTTTAGTGAAACATTTCGTTTTTTTTAATTTACTTATTTATTTTTTTAATTTGGCGATTGAAACAATCACACACTCACATTTAATGCGGAGTTTAAACATGTGACTATGTTGGCCAATTCTAAAATGTTTTCACATTCATGAAACCAATTTTTAAAAATAATGATGTCATGACCCCCCCCCCCCCCATGCTTTTTGCTTGCGATTTATTGGCTCTTGAATAATGATACTATATATGAAAGAACTTATTTTCTTATATATATAAAGTCAAATTTTGTAAAAGAGGAAAAGGCTTTACAGATGACAGGTAAGAAAAAACTTGGATAAAGTCGAGACTGTACACATAAAAATATTTCCTGTATTCAGGCAAGTTTAATTTCGCCACTGATAGAATTTACTCTTCAATTCCTGAGGAAATAAAAAAGAAATTTTACTTGGAAATAAGATAAATAATAAAGCTAGAAAGCTGTCTGCTCTCATTTGTTGCATAATGCATGTACAAATACTTTTTTTTAAATACCGAGTATCTATTAAGAATTCAATCAGATGTTTTACATGTAATCTTCATGTACGTATAAGACATTAGTAATTTAAATAATATATAAATTTGAATCTGTGGTTACACTCATTTAAAAACAGTTAACTGACTGAAAAGAAATAAAAGACAAGCATATATTTCTGATAAATTAAAATGAAGAGCCAAATATAGGAAATGTTTCTAAATTTACAGTAAAAACCGATCCCGATCCGATCGAAAATAATGCAAAATTAACAAATTTATCAAACTAAAGGCACCTGCCACCTATATAACATGTTTAAAAAATAAATCAAGTAAGTGTTTACTCATATTACAACAAAAGAGCCAAATTTAACATTACAATTATAGTATTTTTTTCTTTATATAATTCCGGTCGGGATCGGTTTCATTTGGGAAAATTATAAAAAAAAAAATTTTTTTTAAAAAAAAAAGGTAAATTTGACTCCTTTTATTTCTTTCAATATACCTGTTCCCACTGATTTTATTGAGTGATTCAAAAGTTTGTACTTTGTATTCATAATAACATAAGAAAAAAAATCTGTCCTTGTAATGTATTGGGTTTTATAACGTAATGACAATTGGATACTGAATTCAAAAAGTCACTTGCTTAACTCAAATTTGGACCATAAATTTTTTTCTAAAGAAGTATAAATTGGAGTCTTATTCATTAATAAAATAAAAGATAAGAGTCTATGCTATAAATAATATTCATCGACACATCCAGCTTTTGAGTATCTGTTACATATAAAACAAAATAAAAACGTAGTAATTTTTTTTACCCTTATGTTGACCTTTTTGCACTTAAAATTAAACATTTACCAAAAATAGGACTAGAGGAGAACTAAAAATTTTTTTGAATGTTGTCATGTGTAAACACTTGCTTTAATAAGTCTACATGCAAAAAATAATTAAAATCCATGACATGGGATGTGCCACCCATTGCCTGGTTTTTCGGTGGACTGCCTCTTAATTAATTCTGTGTATTTTGGTATTGATATTTTCATGCAAAATGGAAATTTTTCCTTTGAAATGAAATCCTGAAATTGCACCTTTGGGATTTTAGCCAATATCAGTATAAATTCTTATCTGTCTGATGAGAAAACAAATGATACATGTAATGTAAGAAAACAGAGAGAATCTATAAACCAGGGATGTTTATTAATGTAGTAATTACATTTGCCCTATCATTTTTTTTTTATAACATAGGTAATGGATTTGTTAAAGTTGAAAAAATTTTTTGATATTAATTACTAATCATTTATATCAAACAATAACATTCTCTGATTCATGGTTTCTCTCTCCTTCCTCTGGGACGAGACGATGCTGATTGATTGACATGGAGGCATTCATGAAGTACATATTAAACTTACACGCCTGTGATGAACCTCTCTCTAAAGGGCAAAGTGCAAATGTCAGGTCACATAAAAAATGAGCATTATACACTACAACACCATAAACATATTGAACCAAACGTTCCCTAATTTCTTCATGAACATGATAAACAAAACACTGACAGAATTACGAACATATCAAAGTACTGGTATAGCCTACATCACTAATAAAACACTGAGCCTATACAAGTGTATCAAAGTATAGCCTACTTCACTAATAAAACACTGAGCCTATACAAGTGTATTCAGTTATCTGATGACTGACATATTCTTAATGAGACTTCCTTTTACCTTGAGCCTGGTCTGGATCTACTTGGATTGACCTGGACCTCCGTACAATGCCGTGGACTGATGATTTAGAATGAGATCTAACTCGCATTCTTGTTGAAGATAAGAGACGTGGCCTTACATCTGGGGCTTTATTGAAAATGTCACCAATTAAGTTCTTCACTTCTTCACCTGTATCAACAGAATGCTTTGAAAACATTTGTGTTAAGTAAAATTTCATGCTTAACAAATGCTTTCAATGTCACATTTGACAAGTATTCTTATTGCAAGAGGACAAAACAAGAGGCCCATGGGCCACAATGCTCACCTGAGTCACTACGGTCCTGCTGTTCTTCATAAGCAGATCCCCACTCCCACTTGTTAAAGTGTGATCTCACTATTATTGGCCCAATCTAGCCCTGGAGGACATGATTTGAACAAACTTGAATCTACACTTTCAAAGGATGCTTCCATTTGAATATGACCTATCATGGCTTTGCTGTTCTTGAAAAGAAGGTTTTCAAAGATTTCACTTATGTATCTCTATGTAAAACTTTGATTCCCTAATGTGGCTCTAACCCCCCCCCCCCAACCTTGGGGTCATGATTTCTGAGGATGGTTCAAAGTAAATGTGATTACAACAGCTCTGCTATTCTTGAGAAGATTTTTAAAGATCTTTTCCTATACATTTCTTGGTAAAGCTTTGAGAGCCTATTGTGGCTCTACCCTATCTCCAGGAGTCATGATTTGTATAAAATTGAATCTAATCACAGCTTTGCTGTTTTTGAGAGAAGATTTTTACAGAAATTCTACATATTCCTATGTAAAACTGTGATCGGACTTTGTGGCCCCATTCTTCCGCCAGGGGTCATGAACTGAACAAACTTGAATTTCACTACCTAAGAATGCTTTCATATGTATTTAAATTGGCCCAGTGGTTCTGGAGAGGATGAAATTGCGAAGAGTTCGCAATTGCAAAGAGTTTGCAACAATGCCCATGGCAACAAGGACAACGACAGACAATGGACAAATTTTGATCAGAAAAGCTCATTTGACCTCACTTGTGAACAATGTATTTATATCTTATTAAGAGTATAGAAAAGTTCATATTAAACCAAAATGTATCACATGAATAACATACTATGAGATGGATCCCTGAGAAAGCTTAGTTTCGTTATGCAGGATGTGGTGACAAATTCATCTAAATTTCCTAGGTGGACCCTGCAAAATAAAACTCAGGATGTAATTTGACAACATTACAAATATGAATACTTATTTCTACTAATTATATATTAATGTAAAAGCAAAAAAAAAAATCATTGATAATTGTTACATTTTATGGACATTTCACTGTTTTTTTTTTGTAAGCAAAGTTTCCATATATGATCTTTCAAAATAAATTTTGGTCAACAAAATAATGATAAACACAGGAATCTCAATTAATGCTTATGTTGCTTTTAATGCTTAAAAAAACTTGTCACCATGAATGATGAAATTTAGGGCAATGATTTGAAACTTTTGAAAAACAGTCCTGTTCTTGTTTCCATATCATTAGTGTAACAAATTAGCTTCAGTGTTCTGAAGATTTTTTTTAAAAAAATCCATCAACACAGTTAAATTGTTACCTTTTTTCTTGGAAAAGGTTTTTAAGATTCTCTTCATACACTCCTACATACCTTTCCATGGCTAGAGATCACATGAAAAGGGGGGGGGGGGAGGTCACAAAAAATAAAAGATCAAAATATATAAACTACTGTATCATTAATAATACCCTGCATCAAGGAAATGTATGTTTAACAAGCTATGAAATGAACAACACAGGGATCAATCCTACAGTGACTATATTTAAGTTACAGCACAAGGGTCAACTGAACTAGAAGTATGCATGAAAGATCTTTTTTTTTGCTTTTTTACTGTGCAATTCTTATCTGCTTTCCTTTTTTCTATTTCACCTTCTACTGAGTTTTTCTTTCTTATAATGCCTCGATTATTTATCTGCCTATTCAGCAGAACCTAAAACAGCAAGAGTTTGAAGAGTATGGAAATATGGTAAAGACTTTCTTGAAACCCGTACATCTGTCGAAATTAATCTTAGGATCCATAAAGTTAGAATAAAGGCAGAGCTTTGTAATTTTAATAACTGATAAACTTCCTCTTATGATCCATTCCAAACATGTTATGTTATCCTCCCTTGGGGCCCAGTGCAGGGGGTCAGAATCTCTACTTTTAGCTATAACACATTTTTACACTATGGCTGTGCAAAGAATATGAAGCTCTGCATAACCAATGTTGACTTCCCCCTAGTCCTGGTAGCACTGTTAATTAGGTTGTCCAACTTGAATTTCCAACTCCTTGTACTCCTTTCAAATTTTATTTTAGAACATACATTCTTACCTTTAACGAGGCCGAGTCTAATCATTTCTACCCTAGATACGTTGAAAAATTTTCTTGAATGAATTTTTACTATTATATTAATTATTTTAAGATAAAAATATCAAATGTTTACCATCCTGATTTCTAAAAGGGCCATCTTAAAAGTTGTCAAATTTTACTATTGGACCCTATGGGAAATTATCACATTTTCCCCATATTTTTTGTATTTCTGCCCTAGGGATTTTGTTTTCAGTCAAATACATGAAAGTTATTGTAAAAAGTCACCAAATTGTGAAATTTCAAAAAAGTTGACCATCTGGGTTTGGTCTAGGAATTATTACAGAGTTTATTTTTTCCCAATGCCCAATACCTCTAAATTTGCCATAATGCGGCATACATTTTGTATATATCGGCGCAGATGAATTATTTTGGTAAAAAATAACAATGTTTAGATTGCTGGTATGTTTCTTTCGATGTTCTGTCAACAGTGTTTAACAAAATGTCCATGGACGTCTTGAATACTCAAGTGAGTCAAGCATCATTCTTCAGTGTCATGCATTGCTTACAGAACTGGAAAACAGTGATGTCGTGAAAGCCATTTCAGCATTTATTCCTAAATAATGTCTTAAAAGCACATTTTAAGACCCATAAACGTTACAGATAATGTTAATTTTGTATTACAATTACAATACTTGGATAGGTGTTATGCTGCAGATACGACTGCATGAAACTAAAAAGCTGCAAAAAGTCATGCGCACTGGAATTAGACTCGGCCTCGTTAATTAAGGATGCTTTGTGGCAAAATTAAGTTGCATGAGTATGAAATTGAAAAAGGCAAACTTTGACCAGATACATACTGGAATAGTCACTTCCTACACTGTCAATCTATAAGTTCTGAAATAACTTGCCTTGTTCCAGCAATGTATCCACTTTGCAGCTTTCTGATAGTTCCAATTAGGGCTCCAGGTGGATTATGGCCAACATCTAAATTCAATTTAAAATCAAATGAATGGGTACTTGGTAAAGAAAGAAATGAGTTTTTTCTGTATATAATAAACTTTTGATGAACAATTTTTTCAATTAAATGGACTTTTGCCTTAATGGATTTATATACATTTCAAAAAGTTAGTAAATCCCAAAAAAAAGATGTCTAATATATGCACTGCAATATGCAGAAGATGCAATAAAGCCAGTTGAGAATGTGTCAAGTGTAGCTGTATCTGCATTGTGAATGTTTTTTAAATGAAAAACAAATAAATAAAATGCATGGCAAAACTGTGAATAGTTCAAGGGTTTAAATTAGTCAGTTTTACAGATAAGCCACCACTACCATCTAACACAAAGGAGACTCTTAATTGAAGATTAATTAAGATACATGCATTATTTGACTGCAGTACAAATGATTATTATAGAGCTTAAGTCACACTTTATTTACATGCTAGAAAATCTTCCACAATTATTATTAGAAAGCATATTGCTTAGAATTCTTTTTTTTTTTTTTAAATTCGAAACTGCAACATAATGTGCAAACAATATGAAGTTCAAAAAAGTACTTTTTCAAAGTCAAAAGAAAATAAACATATCCCAAGGCTATTTTATTTTTATCAAATAAAAACCTTCTAAAAGTTTTACTTATAACTAATACTGTTGTCACATTTTGAAATGATGTCATAGAGATTAAAACAAGAGCATTACTCTTGAAGAGAAAGTTATACCGAGTACCTCAAGATGTGTCCTTGTTAATATGCCAAAGTATAATCTGAAATCTTGAGATTCTTTTTTTTTTTTTTTTTTCGCTTACTTGCACTCAAACTGACAATTTTTGTTTTCAAACCCCACCCCTCAACCCCTCCCTCCCCCCACTCCATCATCAGATTTAAGCACAATGTATAAACACTTGCAGCATTTCCTACAGAATTTTATATTTAAACAATAGGTAAGTGGCAAAAACTGGTATACATTAATTAGGTCACATATCAAACATAAATCTATTGATCTTTTCAAGGAGAAAAAGCAGAGGGTTTTAGAATAAAATAATTTGTAAATACTGCATTTGAGTTTAAAGGCAGAGTACATTTCATTACAAAAAATAACCAAAGACATTTTCTGGTTTTATATAAGTAATGTAAACAACAAATTGCCTTGATCTGTGATTTTTTGTCATGTTTCAAAGAGAAAAAAAAAGGAAAAGATGCATTTCCTAAAGATCTCTATAGAAAACTTCATCAACTTAATTAAACATAACCTGTTTAGTTGTTGTTTCTGTACATGTCAAAAAATGTGTTGATTAATCTATTAATTGGAGGCAAAAAAATTCATTTATAAAAAGTGATTATTTTAAAAAAGAAAATTACTTTAAACTTCAGAGCCAATTTCAGAAACATTTTGTAAATAAAGGGGGGGGGGGGGGGGGGGAGCTGATATCACAAACACAGTGTCAGAAAAATTATAATATAAGACTTTTGGTTGCTTGCAGAATTAAAGAGACTTTCTTCAGTATTATGAAAAAGTTGTTCTGAAGAAGGGATAAAGAGCGCCATGGGTCTTGACAGTCACCAAGTTTCTCAAGTTATGGCTACTTTGGCCTCACCCAGGACTGGAATTTTAGACTACTAACTGTTACAAAATCTTGAATTCTTCTGGTTAGGACTCTATAGTCATTATCACTGTTCATGCAGCTTGTTTACTCAAAATAAAGAGAAGGTACACTGTATAGTAAATAAGCCCCACCCTGAAGCTTGACTTCTGGATCCAGGGGACATAAATTTTACGATTTCTGTAGAAGGCTGGCTGCTTACTATAATAATGCAAGCAATTTGACTGCTGCCTAGATGTTCCTGAGTACCGGTAAATAAAGATTTTTCATAGATGTACTTTCCATAACTTAACCCATCCCCCATTTCAAACTTCAAAGAAAATATCAATATAATATAATAATATATAATAGAATATAAAGTAGAGACTTAGTGCTTACATTTCCTATAAAAAAAACTTTCCTCATAGAGTCCAAATATTGAAAGCGGGCTTTGTGAAATTGCAATGTTCTTGAATTTTGAAGAAAATGGATGTATTTGAGTATACCTTCTGCAAGAATTAAAATATGAGCCCTACCCTCGATCCAAAAAATAAAACTGTACATGGATTATAATCTTCTGAAACAGTTCTTTCATTATACATTTAAACATTTATGATCAGAGGTTGGGGTCTATGCAAAATATTGAAAAAAAACTTATATTTTTGACAATTTTTGAAGAAATTTTCAGAGGGATAATGATGCAATTCATGACATCATAATACATGAACTAGCGAGAAAATTACATCACTTTTAATAAATATGCAGTCACCAATGGTCCAAGTGAAATTTTAACTATTTTTCAACTGAAACTGAGCAGTTTTAATGTTTCAGAAATTCACAGGGCCAAAAAGGCCCTAAGTGAACCTTGTTCTTTGAATCTACACTACAATGGATTTTTTTTCCCAAATGAAAATCTTTTTCCTTATTATTGGCCAAACACACCCTCTGGATACCAGAAGTTAAATCTCTATTGCACAAGATTTTTTTTTTGCATTGAAGCTAAACTAAAGTGGATTTGCCAAAGTTAAAAATGTTTAAAAAAAAAAAAAGTAAATGAGACAAATTACAAACAAATGTCAGAAAAATTTGAAGAGAAAAGCTAAGTTGAGCATTTGGCTCTGATGAGCCACAAAAAGTGACGCTACTTCTTGAAGAGGAACACATTTGTTGGATCGACTGGCTAAGAAAAGGACAATTTACCATACAGAGATGAAAGCTACCCATAACTTGTGCTATTGGCTTAGATGAGCGAAAATTGGTACCAATTCAAATTGTTGTCACTGTTACATAAGAAATATTAGTGCTTTAACAGTACTGAACAGTTTAAAATCAATTAAATAAATACATGATCAATGTTCCGCTATAGAGCATTTGTTTCTGGGTAATGTCAGACTATAGGGGAAATAACTCTTTTGGATATGTTAAAATATTATATATATATACTTTTTATATACGACAGTATTTTGATGATTAAAGATCTACTACATGGAATATATACTGTGCAATTTCTATGTACATGCATTTATTGCATTTGGTGGATTATATATATATATATACCGGTATACATGTATACATGCACACTGGACAAAATGTTGAAGCACTTTGTCTACATTAGCTAAGCATAGGGAACAGAACACAAAATCAATGGAAAATATAGTGTATTATATGTGTTTTCCCTTATTTCCCAAGTTTCTGTCTCTCATTCCTGAATATTTGCTCTTAGTTATGTTTTCCTGATATTTGGTATAAATCATTTATTTAGTGTAACAATGATATTAAGCAATTTTCAATGAAACACTTTGTCCTATTGTTTAAAAGTTAAATAATTCAAGTTTTTTCACACTCATGTGCATAAAAAAAAATGCTGGTAGTATGATGAACAAGATCAAAATACATGTACATCTACTTCAACAAAAAAAAAAAATCAGCTTCCATCTCATTAAGGAATAAATTTCAGAATTACTGACACCCCAAGGGTCCTGTGTTACTTGAAGGTTTTGGCCAAAGTACTTTTCTAGGAGCCATTTTTGAAGTCTTTGTAATGTGTCTTTATGTCTTATAGAGTGTGCTAATCCTAGGACCTATACTCGACTTTCAAAACCATGAGACTTAGATGTTTTCTAGGTTTCACCTCTTCAAATTCTGGATCCACCTACCGAGTACAGAGCTACTGATTGAGATGGCAACTGTTGGGCGCCCTAATCCACTCCAACTGTTTTTGAGATATGATAACTCGTTACGGAATATGTCAAATAATAATATTAGGTCTTGTTGGAAGTAGAATTGTTGATCATCCATGAACTACAAATAGACAAATATCTAAGAATGTAATTAAGAGTACAAAAAAATTGTTTATCCTTTTGTCATCGTTACCAACCTGATGGCAACATACTTTTGCCTCCAACTTTCTGAATTTAGAAGACTGATTCATTGTCGCATGATCATGCCTTCTTTCAAGGGTTAGATAAATCACTGTAAATTCAAATAGACTACATGTATGTGACGAAGCAGATATCCAGAGCTGTGACATCCAAAATGACCTATGACTTTATTCATAAATAAAACGAATGTTAAAAATGATGTGTGTAGTCTAAAGATGAGTGGTGTTTTACCGTGTACACTAGCAGATTTGTACAGTACTGGAAGAAATCAATCATTCAGCAGTGTGAGGTTTAAAAAAAAAATCTTGAAGACATGTCTTCACCTGTAGATTACTATATTTTTTGTTGCTTTTTTTTTTGGCTTTGCTTTTGAACTTCATATTTCCTCCAAATACTGTACAGATCTAAAGAATTATTGGAAACTTAAATTTGGGGTCAACAAGAAAGAGTTTAAAAAATCATTCAAAGCATGATCCCAATGTTTTCTATGCATATTATAATGAAGTATGTTGTATTAAAACTAAATTTTTGTAGAAAAACTATGAAGTCATTTTCGTGTCAGTGTTTCCAAAATGATAAGAATTTAATGTCAATAAGGCTTTGCAACTTCACGATAAAAAATATCAAGCTTTCATGCAGTCCTTAAAAGTTAATGTTTAGTAATAATAATACGTAATGACTAAAAAACTAAAAAGCAATCTATATTACTGTACATATTTCAATGCAGATCATGCCATGCAAAACATCAACTCCTCTATTTAGTGGTGCTAGATAGGTGTCTAGCAGTGATTATAGGGCATGCATTACAACACATTTACAAATGATTAAACAAAGACTAGGATTTACATCCAAACATTTACCAGATACCAAGTCATTACTATATATTTTTTTAAAATTTCCATTTACAAAGAAAAATTAACATAAAAGCTTGCAAGTATAAATTACATCAAATTAATAGTAATGAGTTGGCATTTGCTCTAGATGATTGTACAAAATTAAATGCGTGCAAAGGACACAATATTTTTACCAGGGTAGATATATCAGAAAAATGGAGAAAACAAAAAAATTAAATAAAATGCAATATTTATGCATCTTTCATTTAGATCTAAAGTGGTCAAAAAGGAAGAAAATTAAATTAACAGTAGATTCAGGAAACAAATGCCAACAAGTCAAAAGCTGCACGGTTTTGTGAAAAAAAAAGAAATCATCCTTTGCAAATGTTATGCAATTTGCTGCACAAGCACATTATTTTAGTTGAACAATACATCTATAAGTTTAACTAACTGGATCCTGAATCTAAAGGTTCTACTTCATTATACACAAGTACACATACATGTATAAATATCTATTCACTGTGAAGCAAAAAATGTTGAAAGTAACTGCACCTAAAACAGCATTTGTGATGGGATAAATGTAGACTGGTCGACCAAGGTTCCTCCAATTACCCGAGAAATAACCAACATCATTCTTAAATTTGTCAATGATAAAGTTGATGTCTAAAGCCAAATAGAACTGGTGAGCATCTGCATACTGAAAGGATACACAGTCATAAGGCTTATATCAACACATATATTATCAATTAGTAAGGTTATTTAAAACAAACAAAGGTCAATGTCTGCTGCAGAGCTGGGAGATGCTCTGACGAACTGTTAGTGGACAGAAAACAATGTATCAGGGTGACAAAATAATGAATTACTATAGCACAATATAAACAATACATATGTTGTCAGTGAAATGTGAACAGAACTGGGGATCTAGTGGGCTGGATTTTGGCTCATTTCCTGAAGAAAACAAATCCTACGATTAATTTCAAGTTTTAGATGTTGTAGTCACATAAGCTTAAATTCATTTCTGACTTGCATGTACTCTACCTAAACTAAATGCATACAAAGCAGAGTAAAAATTTGAACCAGTATCTTCATTCATGTAAAGCACAACACTGACTACACTATGTAGGCTCTCTGCAAGATACCTTACAGAAATAATATGAAAGCAAAACAAAGGTCAAAGACTGGATAAAATGCACCCTAGCAGTAGCGCTAGCAGCTTGTGCTGGTATTGAATGTGATTTAAGAGCCGAACCTAGCATGTCATGTGAGATTTGACATGTGACGGTGGGCAGACCAATCATTCTCCAGGTTTTGGACAGATATTCCAATTCCAGATTGAATGTATACAATGCAAACTCTATGTCCAAGGGGAGGTAATAATTTTTCATGTCCACAAACTATGCATGAAAAATGAGAAGAGGGTTACATCAAAAAGATAATAATAAAAAAATGTTTCAAAATACATCAAGAACTCATAGTGATCAAGGAAGATGCCTCTGTTGAAAAAGGGTTATGAAATATAAGATTGTGTCAAAATATTTTAAGGAAGCTCTAAACACTGCCAACTGAAAAGTTCAATTCCATGGAATTATATGGAGTTACTTTGAGGTACTTTGAGGTCATGTAAATGGAGATCTAATGTAATTAACATAATTTAGAAATACATGTATAAGGTTCAAATATTCTAGCCATTATATTAGACCAAGATAAAATAAATGAAAACATTATTTGCATGTGCATTCCTAATCTATATATGTATTAGAGTAAATAACTGTTACTTCTGTTCATTGATTCTTCTTTGTCTGAGAGCATTTTTCCTGGAGAAATATGGCATGTACCTTAATTATGCTGAAAATGAACTAGATAATTTCATTATGTGCATGCACCTTCATATAATTTTCTCAAAGTCCAAATTTTCATTAATGTTTAGCACTTCCCTAAAACCATGGTGATCAAGACACAGGTAAAAACTGGTGCTCAAGATGATAAGTGGATATGATGAAGTCTCACACATACATATATTCATGGAATAAGTTACAATAATATTCACTTAAAATAAATTTATTTAAGGAATGAATTTAATAGCTACACAATTTATACCGCATAAACTGGGTTGGGCAAGTTTACACTTTACAAACCACGAGGCGGTTTATAAAAAAGCCTAAACTGTTCCAACCCACTTTATACCGTATAAATTGGGTAGCTATTAAATCCATTCCTTATAATTTAATTTTCATTCATTAATTTTAAGAAAATAAGATGATTGCCCTCATAAAATGACTTCAAATTTTACACAATTTAAATATAACGTCAGGCGGATTGATACGTTTTTGACACAAGTAATTGTGACATTCGCAACACAGTTTATCTGATATAAAGAAATTTTTTTATCCAATCAAATGCCCCATTACAGGATTAAATTATTATTGTTTATTACATGAATTTGAATATTCTCTCCTTATTGATAAGTGCAGATTTACTTTTGAACCTCATATTTAATTTACAATATGCATTATTTCATATCACACATTGTACCAGAACATATAGTTAACTACTGTATATCAGGACAATAACTAAAATATTATTGTGAAATCAATCCTTCACAATGCAATATTTAGTGCATCTTACTTTGAAAATTTTGCAATTCTTTTTTAATATCCTATTCTAATGAATTGGGATACACTTTTTTTTTACTATTGGATTGTGTATGAGAACTTCGACATCAAAATGATTCCTATCAGTGCATTTTTTAAAATCTTAAATCATAATTTAAAACCTGAAAACTTGATAGTTAATATTCATATTTAAGTATAATATGATGAAAAATCTAGCTCAGACATCTCAAAGTATTATTACATTTCCTGGCAGAAAATGTTTTCTGAACAAGTTTTTTTTTTCTTAAAAAATTCATTGATTTTCTCTCTCGCATTGTCCTATAATATTATTTTTAATAATACATTATGGAATCAGCAGATGTATTTTTTGTCAAGTCTATATTTTATTCCTGTATTCCAAATGCTGTATTCTTACATCATGAAGAACACACACCTATATTTAAATTTATATATAATCTTTGCTAACTTTGCATACTTTTCTAATCTTTCATCTCTTTGGAATATTACATGTAATTAGTATAAGTAAGCAAATTAAAATGCTCCAGAAGCTAAAAAAAGGAAAATTCAAAAACAGCACTAAATATCCTTTCAATTCTATTCATAAACATAGTATTGAAAAAATACTGATGCATTTAAAAGAAAATATTTATAGATCTATACAAATTCCCATACACTTTTCACCACAGTAACCGAATCCTTAAGGTAAGGATTCGTCCTCATGTCTTCTTTCACAAAATGCTCAGTCATTCCAAATTTCAAGCCAAAACATATTTTCTTAAACTGATTCTCAGATACTTCTAATCGTGTATCTACTTTTAATTTACTTATTTCTTATAAATAGCATTAACCCCCCGTTGCAAATTATTTGCAGCAAATATGAGTTTGGCTTGAAATACATGAAGAAGATATTGAATTAAATAGGGAAAAGGTCTGATAAGGAAAATTCTGGATGCTTTAATAGAAAATAGATATGCATTTCATTTCAAGCTTCAGACCTGTAAAAAAAGAAACAATCAAAATTTGAAACCTAAATAATTTAGGTCCGAAGACACTGGAAAGATAACCAAAGGCCGCCCTAAGCACTTCCAATTGGAAGAAAGAAATCCTACATCATTGGCAAACATGTCCAACTTCAGGATTGTGTCTTTGGGAAGATAAAAGAGATGTTCGTCTGCCATCTGTAAAAACAAATACTCTATTTCTTCTTTTTTTTCTTAATTAAAAATTTCTATTCTTCAACAAATACTGCCACATGAGCAATTCATACAAACCTTTTTTAGGGGTTTCATAAAAAGAAGTTTTTATCATCAAAATGATTAATTACATTCATATTTTACATTCATGTACATCTAATTTCAACTAAATTGTTAAACATAAAGAATATCAAATGTTAACACAATACCAAAGTTTTCTACTTTATCTCATAAACTAATACATCAAAAATTGTATAGATATTAACATACCTGTGGAATAAATGCAAAGATCTGATCATGAAAACTATACAACTTGCTGGTGGCCAGAAGACCTATTTCATTCTTTGGACGTCCAGTTAAACCTAGTTTCTTGTTTCTCCCTATCAAAATTGAACAAAAAACGTTAATAGTGAAAAGGTCCATCTTTATTTCACCATATGTCAGTTACCCTGTAGAGAGTTATTACATAATCGCGACTTCTTATTCCCTCTTTAAATGATTTGCCTGCTTACCCACTAGACAGTTAATACATAATCGTGACTTCTTATTCCCACTTTAAATGATTTGCCTGCTTACCCAGTAGACAGTTATTACACAATTGCAGCTTCTTATTCCCACTTTAAATGATTTGCCTGCTTACCCAGTAGAGATTTATTACATATTCATGACTTCTTATTCCCACTTTAAATGATCTGCCTGCTTACCCAGTAGAAAGTTATTACATAATCAGGACTTCTTATTCCCACTTTAAATGATTTTCCTGCTTACCCTGTAGAGAGTTATTACATAATCTGGACTTCTTATTCCCACTTTAAATGATTTTCCTGCTTACCCAGTAGAGGATTTGCCTGCTTACCCAGTAGACAGTTATTACATAATCATGACTTCATATTCCCACTTTAAATGATTTGCCTGCTTACCCAGTAAACAGTTATTACATAATAGGGACTTCCTATTCCCATTTTAAATGATTTGCCTGCTTACCCAGTAGGGAGTTATTACATAATCAGGACTTCTCATTCCCATTTTAAATGATTTGCCTGCTTACCCACTAGGGAGTTATTACATAATCAGGACTTCTCATTCCCATTTTAAATGATTTGCCCGCTTACCCAGTAGGGAGTAGATCTGAGTGAGAACTCTGGCTGGAAACACTTGTAATGGTGTCACTTCTGACATTGTCTGTACCTTGATGTCGTGTTCTAACAGCTTAGACTGGATGTAGTCATCCTCAGCCAATATCACCACTACAATATAGACATTATAATATACAACAAATAATCATCTTTCCTTGAGCAGATTTATCAAAACAATAAGCATTGACACAAAATTACAATCATGTAGTCTTGTTCTACCAGAAACTAGGATGTCTCTGTAAACTTTGACGAGCAGAGAGTCTAGTAAAGACTTGTGTTAGTGCCTGTAATGCCAAAATGGGGCTTACTGAAATTCTGGTCAAGCTTTTGATTGCCTGAAAAGAACACACCTTCCACAATTTAAAGAAATACATAATAAATCAGCAGAAAAACAATTTAAGATTTATAAGTTGAATGTCTACAAGTTATAGCAGCTGGAAAGGAATTATTTGCGATATTGCCCACCAGTTATGTGTAAGTGCGTTGTACACTGTCTTGCCAAAATTACTTTTAGAAGCAAAAGTGAAAGCAGTGTACCCTACTGGCAAAGAACACATTTCGTCGACTTTTATTGTTATTCCTCCACTGTTATCCCTAATGAAGAATTTATTAATGTAAAATCACAATCCAGCAGAAGAAACATGTATATAACATACACTTTCAAAGGGATTGTCAAAATGAAAACAAGGTAATGCCTTCTGTTGGTTTTAAATGCTATCATGACTCTTTACCAGACTCTCTGCTTCAGAGTTTATGGAGACAGCCCAGTGTCTGGTTGAACAAGACTAACAATCATGAAGACACTGGCTGTTAAATTACTGTAAAATTATGATGAAACCTCATAGATTATGTACAAAAAATTGAGATAAATTTGACACAGACTTGTGACTAAATATCAAAATTTCCTATCATATTACTAATACACATAAAATGTAGATCTGATTCTGATAAATAAATGAAGAAAAATTATACCTGTATGGCTATGCATTCTTTGAGTTTAGAAACCACTGTGATTAATGAAGAAAATTACCTTGTACAACAATGTCTGGTTTGGGTTCAGAAACCAAACGACGATTGACAGGGTCCAGTTCTCCGGGAGATAAAAAACCCTACAATCAAATCAGTAAAGTCAGCACAGTTCATCTGATCACAAAATACAGGCATGTGATATCTATCATTTAAGAAGTGAAAGACCTTTTTTACATTCCATAATGTCATAAAAGTTGTTCATTGTTTTCAAGATATGATGACACTCTTGAATTCCATGTCCTCCTTGAATTGTAAATTTCAAATATATAACAACTCAGTGCATGTACTTCTGCATCCATAAAATGAAAACCCCAGAAACCAATATTTTTTCCTCAGACCAAGAAACTTTGACCCAACAAAAAATACTGCAAAAGTGGAAACTTTGACGATGTGGAAAAATTGAGGAAATTGACAAATTTCTAACTACATGTATCATCAGTTCCCACTCATCAAGTTTCACATTCATGTTAAAGTGCACTGTTGAATACTAGTAGATCATCTAGGTTTTGACTCGCTAATTTTCTAAAATCATCAAACTTTCATCCCTTCAATATAACCACTTTTACAGTATATCAATGTGACATCACATTTTGTTTGTGGAAACATCCAGCTGAGTTTCATAAAGTAAACAATTGAGGAATTTTTACACAGGTATGTATTTTGTAGGAAGCAGGGCTCAAAATAATTGATGGCCCTCTGGTCTGGGATAGTGAATTTTTAATCTGGTAGAGTACATTGTAGAAGGCATTTGCCCTTTGGGTCAATGTTTTTTTTTATGCATAACAAAATACATTCACGGTTGGGACAGTGAGACAATGAAAGTACTTGGCTGACCAGCAAAAATTCAAGGCAATAGCCCCCATGACCAGTGAAAAAAAAAATTATTTCTAGCCCTAGGGGAGTAAAAATATCTAACATTTGAGTCTCTCAAGCATTACCTATGTAGGTAATCTGAATATTAGGTATCATAGAGCAACTCTATAGATCCATCACAAATGTAATGTCAGTGACAACATTTACAAGAAACTACACTGGAAAATGTAAAAATGATCCAGAAATTTGAATCAGTCAACTTCCAAATGCTAATTAATCTCAAACTCTGTACCCTGCACACAGGGACATGAGAAAGGTTTTCCCTAGCCATATCTATTATTACCTCTAAAAATCAAGATGTAATGAAGATGTACATTTTTACTGCTGTTTGTCTGTCTGCACTTCTGTTTGCAAGAATTCTCCGAAGTTTTAATTATATTTCAGTATCAGTTAAAATTTTTGAAGAGATATAGTTACAACAAGGAAAAAGCAATCTAGATTCTAGGCTATCCTCAAAGGAAAATTCATTTTTACTCAATCTTGTTTGAACTGCTTTTGAATTGGTTTGTAATTTTAAAACTATACACATGTATAAGGCAATAAAAAAGGCTAATATACAATCAAACAAATTTATTTTATGGAGCCATATTTGAGTGTTCTTTAGACCTTAAGCCCAAAAAATATTTTCTTTTACCTCTTGGACTAGTTTACTGATGATATACAGTGATTGTCCCCATTTGTGAGGCATTTTCCCTAGTGGTTCTCTCTCTTGGCTGTTTGGTTCTTTGTATTCTTGCTCCACCTGCAAAATAGAAAATATTTAATTCAACTTATTTTGTAGGCCAAAACAGACCTAAGAGCAACACTGAAATTAAAGATGAATGGATAAACCAAAAGTCTCCGACAAGACTGTAGCTCTACTGGTTTGAACTTATAACAAAGGAAGAAAAAAGTTGCACATGGGCTTGAAACTTTGCAACAGCAATAAACAGAACAATGATCCTTGGTTTAGTCTCTTTTTGTGGCAAGATTTATTGCAATCAGACTAAAACTGTCTGAGGAGTAGCCTTCTAAAGGAATTTTACAGAAATTTGGATTTTAGTAACCATAGCAAATCATTCATTAAAATAAAAAAGAGATTAGGAGTCTACTTGTGTGCCAAGGTATATTGAAATCAGATAAAAATTGCAGGAGGAGTAAAATTTGCACAGAGATAGACAGACAGACAGCTAGACGGATGGACAACGGACACCTTACTACCACATAAGCTCTTCTGGTCTCTGACCAATAGAGCTAAAAATGAACTGATTATTTGTTTCTTGTACACCAACTGTCTGACCTAATCATGTATTCAATATACAGTACAATTAAGGAACAATAATATACTTTTCTAATTTGGCTGTTGTATAATCCAAAATTGTGACTAAAATTACAGTGAAAACTTTATGGCCCATTCAATTATTCAGTTAATTATAATGTTGTCTAATATAGAATGTTGTCTCATCCAGCAAATTTTTATGGTACAGATTGTACAAGTTTTACTGTATTAATTGCCAACTACATATAAATTACAGTTCATGATTAATTTTATGGACATAAAGCCACCAATAATATATTATTTTGGCAGTCAAAACATCATTGCACAAATATCTCAAATGCATTCTGATTAAAAGCAGTTCTTTGATTTGCTCTGAAATTCTGATTGGCTATCAGAATTTTGGAGTCGAATCAAAGATCAAATTTAATCTCATTGGAATGTATTCAACTGCTTAAAAATTAATGAATGCTAATTAGTAATTTCAAACCTTATCTTTAAGAACAGCATAGAGTTCCGGTATAACATAAATTCCCTCATCTGTCTTCAACATCACTGCATCCAATTTCTCTGAGTATTTTTTCACCTTCAAAAAAAAAAATTACCTTTGAAACTTTTTGTCATGACTTCAGCAAACTTAGACTAAGCTACATGTATACTCACAAAGCAAAGAAATATTAAAAGAAAAATGTTTGTTAAAATACATATGCTCCCCTCCTTCAGCTGAATCCTTTCAATACTTAAAGATTATACTTTAATGTCTATCAAGCAAATGGTTCTTTAGATGTTTGCTAACCAACGTGTGCAAAATGCTGTGCCCCACATTTTTGAAGCAGGGAGCATGAAAATTATTAATTTCCTAAGCAATTATAATTGGCTGCAATCATATTTTGGATGATTTGCTTTGAATGAACATAAAGTTTAGATTTGCCCCTCTCTCCTTCATTAGGATGGGAAATAAAAACATCTTGTAAAATGCCTTATCAAGCTCATAAAATACCACAGTAGTTGCTGTTTTGTTATATTTTTAGAAATTATGCTTCTCTTCATTTTCCATCAAGTTCCTCTTTGAAATGTTTCTCAGTTCTACAGACCTGTTGTTCTCTCCCATTGAACAAACCATCCAATACAGACAAAGCAAAGAACATGGGCCACTGGCATTCTATCCTCTCAAAGACCTGCAGCTCCCAAGGTTCATAATGCAAACGATTTCGGTCCTGATTCAAAAGAAAATTGTCAAAATGTCTCATTATTCGATATCTTTTGCATGCAAAAAAATTACAGTAACTTTCGAGCATCTTTCATTGATTATTTTTTATACACTGTGTAACTAATAAGTTATCCATTCCCACATTACCTCTCTAGCTGTTTTATATCCATCTCGAAGAAATCGACAGAAACCATATTTGCCCTAAAAACAATGCAGTTAGTATAATTTCTTTTTGGAAACTACATGTAGTGAGATTTAAATATTTTAAAAATTATATTTAAATATTTTGTCAATTTACCGATTTCTTAAATTTCAGAAAATTCCCATTATACAAGCAGCTACTGTAAACATTATCCACTAATCTATTATAAATATCTAGCACACAACTGTTTACATTATTTCTGAGTTCTAGAAAATTGTACATGCATTTATCAGAACTTGAAAATAACCTTGCCTAACAGTTTCCACATGAATAAGCTATGGTAATTTCACAGGCACTTGACTTTTTAAAACTAATATAGTATACAGGGGCCGACAAATCCCATTGCTCGACGCCCGAAACAAGTGAATTTTGGGGATGGGCAAGCGAAATTTTATTGACCACTTGACCAGTAGGGCAAGTGAATTCTGACCATGTACTTGCCCATGGGCAAATCTATTTGTCAGCACCTGGTATAGGAATATTTTTATCAATAAAGAAAAACGTTTAAAACACCAATTGCCTGTGGGTAATTTGATTGAAAAAAATGAGACTATATTATGCAGAAACATGCCAAAAATGATGAATGTTTGACAGTGAGATATCTCATCTCCAGTTTAGACACAATGATTTGACAGTGAGATCTCTCACCTCCAGTTTAGACACAATGCTTTGACAGTGAGGTATCTCACCTCAGTTTAGACACAATGATTTGACAGTGAGATCTCTCACCTCCAGTTTAGACACAATGATTTGACAGTGAGATATCTCACCTCCAGTTTAGACACAATGATTTGACAGTGAGATCTCTCACCTCCAGTTTAGACACAATGATTTGACAGTGAGATCTCTCACCTCCAGTTTAGACACAATGATTTGACAGCAAGATCTCTCAACTCCAGTTTAGACACAATGATTTGACAGCGAGATCTCTCACTTCCAGTTTAGACACAATGATTTGACAGTGAGATCTCTCACCTGCAGTTTAGACACAATGATTTGACAGTGAAATATCTCACCTCCAGTTTAGACACAATGATTTGACAGTGAGATATCTCACCTGCAGTTTAGACACAATAATGAGATTTCTCACCTCCAGTTTGGACACAATGATTTGACAGTGAGATATCTCACCTCCAGTTTAGACACAATAATGAGATTTCTCACCTCCAGTTTGGACACAATGATTTGACAGTGAGGTATCTCACCTCCAGTTTAGACACAATGATTTGACAGTGAGATCTCTCACCTCCAGATTAGACACAATGATTTGACAGCAAGATCTCTCAACTCCAGTTTAGACACAATGATTTGACAGTGAGATATCTCACCTCCAGTTTAGACACAATGGTCTCTCTTGTTTCTTCCACCTTTTCCCCATCATCAACAGCAAAGGCAGGGTAGCTGATCACAGTCAATAAAGCAGCATCTATCTCCTAAAATGTCAAATCAATACAGCATTGCTATCCAAAATTAATTTTTTAGGTAAAAAAAATATAAAAGAACAGATACAGGTACATGCACTTCATATTTTTTGTTGAATTCATATGCTCATTGTCTTATTGATTATATGAAGATATCATCAACTTACTTTCGAGTTGGACTCTCTGGGAAGCATGGAATGAAGAATAGCCTGTGAAGAAATTAATACTTTGAAATTCCATGGCTTTTAAAATTTAAACAGTACAACTCAAGTACACTTTGTAGTAAATTTTTGCTATTCCTCCAAGCAAATCAAATTATTGATTTCTGACTAAATCTTTTGAATAATGCTTAAAGATTCACAGTTAAAAGACACTGATATAAATGGTGACCTGGCACTGCTGTGCTTCATCTGGTAACACATGGACAATGGACAAGGGTCCACCTCTGGCACCAAACAGATCAAGTTCATCTATTGCTTCCAAAGCTGCCTGCAAATATATGTATTTTCTATGAAAATACTGAAGTACAAGTAAATATTTTATTCACAATCCTAAAATTTATTATTAATTCAATATCTCATTAATCCAAGATTTTATATTCTGAAAATATTTTGGCATGTATGCATGTATCTATCATTCAACAACCATGGCAAGTGTGACCCTTGAAGACTTAATCACACACATATTGTACCAGTACATATAATTGAGTTTCATTAACAGATTTCAGATTTTTTTTTTTCCTGGTTGGAACAAGGTTTTTACTGGTACTCTTGATCTCCTTTAGACTGATTCTTCAGGTAAATCTGTGTTAAAACTAATGTACCTTTGCCATTCCAATGGAGCTGGAGTTCAGCTCTGGAAGTCCATGATTGGTTTTATCGCCTCTCTCCCAAATACCATAATCCTAAAGTCATAAAAGTAAGACCTCAAAATAAGTAAATGATCTTTATTTGCAGTATGGTTATCTGCAAAGCCTTAAACTGAGATGGATGGAGGAATGACATCAAATAAAGTTCCTGTATACTTTAAATATAACTAGGGTTCAGTGGTTCTTGAAAGGTTAAAAATGTAAAAAGTTTACGATGATAAATGACACATGACAAACAAATACACATTCTGATCAGAAAAAGTCACTTGAGCCTTTGACTTAGGCAAGCTTATAAAAACTTACTGGTGTTCTGTAGGCTGTTTCGATGTAAAATATCAAATTCTGTACAAAGGACACTTCATCAAGGGTGAAAATAATCTGAAGACCTGAAATTTGAGTGTTACCAAACTATTACAAGGAATTTTATGAACAGCTATAAATAATTTTGAATTTTTTTTTTTTTTAGAAAAGTACATGATTAATAATAATTCAATAAAATTATGGTTCTTGAGCATAACTTTATCTGTGAAATCAGGTAAAGTCATCGCAACAGAAAGATTAGCACATACAATTTTAATTAACTTGTAGCTGTCAAATATGTTAACAATAGGAATGTTCCACTCCTGTCTCTATGTAGCTTACAAAATCTGTTTTGACTTCTGACTATGTTCGAACACTGCACACCCTTGTCCAATTCACTTCATGGGGGAATTGTGAACCAAACTTGTCCAAGGGCAGAGAACATATACTCCAGACAAAAATTTTACAGACAAGTACTGCTTCAATCTAAACCCATGACCAGAAATTTGGTTCAAATTCACTAACCATCCTTTTCCCAGCAGTGGCTAGGTGAAGTACTAGCCAAATTGAGCCAAGGAGAGAAATTATTCATTGTTTTGACCATAACCTTTTATTTAGAAACTTGGATCAAGGTTACTGCATCTCCTGCCTACACCCATGGGTAATCTATGGGTGAATTCTGAGTATGATTGGGTCAAGGGGAAGAAATACTAGATTGACAGAAGGACAGACTGATCCCTAAAAGGCACCTGTAGAGCAGGGCATAAATATCACACATGTAACTATGCAACATAAAGTAACTTTGATGCAATAGGTACCCTTACTGAAATTATTTTGTGTATGTATTGAGTTCTTTTAATTTAAGTTCATTAAGCAGTACTCTGAGATAAAAATATTGACTGTATACCTGATGCTGTCATCTGAGCTAGTGACAGTATATAAATAGAGGTGGCATCTATTTGTAAATGACCCCAGGCATGGTCACCAACGACAGTCTTCCCTGTCTTACTGCAATACTTAGCATGCAGGGAATCATTTACATGCTGTGAATACTTAAACTTCTCCAGCTTCTCGACCTGAGTCATCATACAGCGTAACAGCCCTCTCATCAACTTCACCACAGACTAGGAACAAAAAAAACAAGAAGAAATATTATTGATTCTGTTAATCGTTTTCACTATACATGTATAAAAGTGCTCTATAACAGAAAATGAGTGTGATTTCTGAACTCTAAAGCATTTACACAAAGAAAAGGGAAAAAACCTCAAAGGAATGTTTCTTGTAAAACTCTAGGATAGGAAAACTTCAGAAGAATAAAACTCTTAAAATCAATTATAGAAAATCAGAGAATTTCTATCCCAAAATTAAGCCATGTTCGTTTTTATGATAAATATAATTTTCTATTTTTTTTTTTTTTAACAACTTTAACAAAATTTAACTTTCAGTTGATATATTTTCATAAATTAAGAATATATACAGTTTATGGTCACATTGTTTGATTTCTTTAACAGAAGATTTCATTTCATTTTTCTTTTTTTAAGATTTTACAACATCATAAACTCCGTAGTATAAATTCCTTTACTACATTACTGGCCCTCATCTCTGTGTTACCTGTTCTAGTTCATATGCTTTGGCTCTATCTTCATCCAGATCTGCTGTTTTTCTGTAAGCCAGAGCCAATGCCCATACTGACAGAATAGCATACACATTGTCCCGTACCCAGGCATGACTGTTCTCTTCACTGGAAGGTAGTAATCCAGTCACTGGATTCTGTAAAATACAAATCACTTCTGTAAGTAATGTTTTTATGTAAGGATCAGATAACTCTCTACTTTCTATACCATTGTTAACAATGTCAATCTGACTCGATCATACAATGATATGGGACAGTTTTGAGCGACAACCCTTCATAAATATTTAGCCTGAGCCCAACTGCCCAAATATCACTTATATTTCAAGACAGTTATCATGTATTTTGTTAAAACTGGGACACAGTTTTAAAATTGACCTCCAAAATGAGATGTATTCAACAAATTTAGGCCCATCTCTGCAAACAAAACTATGACGCTTTGGCAAAAACAATGCAATATAAATGATGTCACATTGCTTTTAAAGACATTGCTTTATAATGGCACTGACAGAATATGTGTTTATTGGGCTACCTTTATTTAGTTAATACAAGTGGTGGTTGCAGGATAAAAGTTTAATAACCCTATAATATCTCTGGCAAAAGTCATTTAATGCCAAAACATACTGAACATAGTCAATCAAGAGGAGTGTTTTCATGCAGACTTATTCTTTTGTAGGTGCTGACTACAGTAGCCCTTTTCACTAAAAATCTTACGACATATTTTTATCTTAAGTGAAAACTTATGATAAAAATCATTTTCACGATAATTTTTAAGAAAGTCGTAAGTGCAAAATCTGTCGAAACTTTACGAGAGCCCCAACCCTCTCTTAAGTATTTTGAAACTGATTTTATTGTAAAAATATAACTGCAAAAACCAAAATACATGTTAAATTGAACTTTTTAAAGCAACTTCCAATAATATTTTATATTTTTTCACAATCATTGTCGAAAAATTAAATGAAATACACTAAAAAATATTTACAATGTAAGATTCACTTGAGATTTTCGTATGACGTACTTTTACATCAGACTTGTGATTGTGATGTCAGATTCTAAACTTCATTGCTTCACAAACGATTGCATTCGATATTTGTTGTCAACAATTTTTGTAATGCTGACAAATGTTGAAAACCAAGTTATTTAAGGATTTATAAAGCGTATTGAAGTCGTTGCTAGGGATGGAGTCTGTCGTAAGTAAAATCTTAAGTTCAATCTGCTACGAATGCATTCATGAAACACACTTAAGATTAGATAGAATGTTCTATCGTTAAAATGATATTGTCCTACGGACCCAATTTAACAATAGAATCCGTTCCGTGTATTGGCAATGTTGCAAAATAAACAAGGGCGATAACTCGTACTCTGTGCATTTTCTATGAACAATTCAGAGAGTTCCTAATGTCAACATGGCGTTAAATTTGAAGCGAGGAAAAAGAGTTGAGAAAATGAGTTGAATTTTCATATTTATATGGATTATTTTTTAGGTTAAAAGACATATACCATCTCAAAAAGGTTTTTTATGATTAATTTGGTAGTTATTTTCAGTGCAACTCCTTTTGTATTCTTCAAAATCATTTCGGAGTGGATCCACTCCGATTTGCTAATTGCAAGTATACGGAACATATTCTAACTGTGATGAGGGCTTGTCCCGAGACACAGTTAGATTATTCTAACTAACTTAAGATTTATCGTAAGAGATTCTTACGTTAAAATCTTACACAAAAACTTAAGATTTTTTGTGAAAAGGTCCACTGGGCTCTTCACTCTTTATTTACAAATAAAATGACTAAAAATTTAAAAGAAACATCTAGCCGTTAAGCTCATCTTGCAATTTTGCCTCACGAATGACTTTTGGTCAATTTCTTTTAATCACAAATCAAGTCAAACAATAGTTTATATTGACTTGAAAATTATATTTTGCCTTACATCTATCATAACCTTCAACAGTACATTTACTTTAAACAGCTAAGCCTAAATGTGTACCGTCTTCGAAATCAAATTGATGAAAACAGGAATAGGGCCTAAGACTGTGATGAATGTGTGGCATGTAATATTACCTGATATTTAAGAATAGTTTTGTTCAGTAATCTTTGGTAATAATCCAAACGGACGCCAGAATTACTTCGATTTCTCATACTGACAGTCTCTCATTTCGATTTCCCCATCAAATTTTTTGTAAAAGGTGAAGGTCGTTGTTATTAAAAGTAGTTCTATCAATTATTATTCTATTGATATGGTTTCGGTGTTTTGTGCAAAAATGAACATTAAAAATGGGGGTTTGTATTAATTTTTTGTGACACCTATCACTATATAAATGAGGAGCGAACCACTATATTCCTAAATTAGGCTTAATACCCTGGCTTATAATAATCCGAATCATGTGTAGTGCCAGCTGTTTCGACCCTTTTCCACCATAGAGGACAGAAGTGACGAGAAACTGACATAGTGAGTTTTATGCCCTTTCAACGTTTTATCGCATTTTTAAAATGAATTTTATTCTATCACGTAAATATTCCTTTAAAGATATGTTAGACAACTTCTTAAATTCCTTACTAATTAAGTCTTGGAGCGATATTTAAGCAGTTTGAATTTTCTCTGTTGTTATGTAATAACAACGATTAATATCATTCAATATTATTGTCACATTAATGTGTCATAAGTAGCATAATGATTGCGTTACAAGTTTACAATAGATATGCTAACTTAATTTTTTGTCAGATTGATGCCTTACCTTTATATGACTTTTTTACATTGTGGTCAAGGATTTAAATAAATGCAAAACCTTAAATGGATGATAAATAAACTACCAAATCAGATATTTGTGTAAATTTTTCATTTGAATTTTTAAATACGGATATTCTTCATGTATTTCCAGCAATTCTTGTAAAGCAATGCAGCCCAACAATAGTTTTGTTTTCATCTTTACTGAGCGTTCTTATGTTTGTCTATAGCTGGAAAGAATGAAGGCGTACAAGGCAAGGACAATCCCATGCTCTGTCCGTTCGCCTGTGCATGTATGCATGTGGTCACACTATAAATACCTGTCCTATCAAAGACCCGGCAGACCAACAGAAATTAACGTCTGAGTCCTTTCATTGTTTTCAAATCATAACGCAGATTGCATGATCCCCTAAATTAGTTTAAAATTATTAAAGTATAATTAAATCAATTAAGCATGTAAAGAGCATAAATATCAAATTTGAATTATTTAATTAAGATTACGGTAAATAAAAAAAAAAATTGTAGCAACATTTGAAAAAAAAAAAACACCAACTGAAGTCGTAAAATATTGAATAAAATTAATAATAAATGTTAATATTTACTATATACTGTATATATAATAGGGCGAATGAGATATATGGCGAACGAGATATAGGGCGAACAAGAATAATGGCGAACAGACCCTGCGCGAACTGACTCATGCGAACAGGTAGATAGGGCGAACGAACCTGATACCTCTTAAATCTTATAGTTTATGAAAAGTTATATTTTTCAAAAATTGTATTCTCAATATTGTCCAATTTTTTTGCACATTTGATTCCTTTATTTTATTGAATAATTTATTGACCAATAATTTATATTTCAGTAATGTTTTTAAGGTATGTGGAAAGAAATAAAAATAAGTTCACATGAGATTTGAACTCCCTCCAAAGCTCAGGGTTAGTCGTAAGACTAAACATGTTATCCACAATGCTACGAAGTCTTCTTGTTATTAAAGTGTGTCAGTGTTCTATAAATAAACAAATTTGTTGAAGCATTCTGCATATGATTTTTTTTTCAGAAATGTTTGATTTTCATATAGAAATGGATCAGGCTCCAATTTGAAACATAAAATTGGTTTTACATTCAGTTTTCCATCATTTAAATGTTATAGAATCATAGAATGGAGACTTGACCCATTCATTTTCAAAAGTAATTTTTTATGTCTCCAATAAGCCCATTTTCCACTAAATATGCTTAACTGTCAACTTAAAAAAATATGAATCAATAAATCAGACAATTAAATAAATGAATCAAATGTGTTGAAGATGACATTACTGACAACATAATGTTTTGAAAAATATAACTTTTCCATGAACTTTGAAAATTGAGGAATATATTGTCTCAGAGTGGGAGATTGCCCTCTCCTTATATGCCATCTTTCTTTGCTTGTTTGAGGACATGTATCACCTTTTGATAATGAAGGAATAAGAGTTGATTTCCAGACCACATAATGAAATTAACGTTGAATGGATTTGGGTTTTTTTAAGCTCACCTGAGCCAAAGGCTCAAGAGCTTTTCTGATCAGAATTTGTCTGTTGTCGTTGGCTTTGTCGTAAACTTTTTTGCAATTTCACCTTCTTCTCCAGAACCACTGGGCCAATTTCAACCAAACTTGGCAAAGGGGATTCAAGTTTGTTTAATGAAGGGCCACTCCCTCTTGTAAAGGAAGATAATAAAGAAAAAGTAAAAATTGGGTGTGGTCATTTAAAATTCCTCTTCTCAAGAACCCCTCTGGGCCAGAAAAGATGCAACTTATGTGAAAGCTTCCTGACATAGTGTAAATTCAAATTTGTTCAAATCATGACCTCCAGGGGTAGAGTATGGCCACTATGGGTGATCAAAGTTTTATATGGGTATAAATAGGAAAAATCTTGAAAATTCTTCCTCTGAAGAATAGAAAAGTAGTGACTAATCATATTTATATGGAAGCATCCTCAGGTAGTGTAGATTCAAGTACATGTATGTGCAAATCATGACCCCCTGGGATAGGGTGGGCTATAATGGGTAATCAAAGTTTTACATGGGTATATATAGGAAAAAAATCTTCCTCTCAAGAATAGGAAAGCCATGATTAATCATATATAAGCATCCTTAGGTTGTGTAGACTCAAAGTTTGTTCAAATCATGACCCCTCGGGGTTGGTGCTACAGTGGGGATCAAAGTTTACAATAGGAATACACAGGAGAAATCTTTAAAAAAAATCTTCTGATGATGAACATCAAAGTCATGATCAGTCATATTTATATTTAAGCATCCACAGGTAGTGTATATTCAGGTCTGTTCAAATCATTAGCCTGGGGGGAGGGTGGGGTCACAATGGGTGATACATAGAAAAAAATCTTTAAAAATCTTTTTTCCAGGAACAGCAAAGTTATTATAAGTCATATTTATAAAAAAGCATTGGTAGACAGTGTAGATTAATGTTTGTTTAAATCATAACCCTAGGGAATAGGGTGGGGCTACAATGCGTGATCAAATTTTACATGGAAATATATAGGGGAAAAAACTGCTGATGAACAAGAAGGGCCACAGTTTCTCAGGTGAACGTTGTGGCCCATGGGCCTCTTGTTTGTTTTACAAAACTATAAACTACACAGGTGCAATGTAAGCATGCAAGGTATTATATGATAATATGTATGAGAATTTGTGTGATTTAGTTCAACATACAAGAAATCACCATGGAATGCTTATATATTTTCACCAATTACATGTATTATTTTAAAAGAATCTGAATGTGAATATTTTCTAATGTTTTTCCTCTTGAACAATCATGAAGTGCAAACTAGTATTCATTGAACTCTGCATTAAGACCTAATCATACATTCTGTGTGTTCCATTTTATGCTACCATTTCTGATCACACGATTATGAAATATTTTTGTGTGAATAATTTTCCTTTACTTGATATAGAAGAGTATATGGTAAATTTCAGATGGGTCGTCATTTCTTTAACATGAAAAGCCATGGAGCTGGCTTTGTGGAATATAACCTGTCTCCATTTGAACAGAGAGCTTTTGGAGGAATGTTGAAACATGGAATTGCAAATACAGCTGCAAGATTTGGGCGCAAATTGCATCTCCTTATCCGTAAGTGGTGTAAAGTATTAGATGTCTTTAGAAAAACATTTAGACTTTTATCCACAATGCATCACAAATAATACTCGTTTATTCTGATTTCTAACAAGGGCATTCTAATACATATTCATCAAGATACTGAGATGTATCCCCCCCCCCCCATTTTTCTTTTTAATTTCATGTATTGTAGATTAAGGATGGAGTTGGGTCATCTTAAACCAGTTGAAAAAAAAAAAATTAATAAGCATTCCAATCCCTGAATATTTTTTTTCTGAAATAGCCCTTTATAGGGGATTTGGGGGGATAACATCATACATGTATATGTAACAATGAAGTATAAAGTTTGTTTATATTTTCAGCTTTCTATGTTTACTACAAGTGGCAAGAGTATTGCTTCTGGGCAGTTGAACAAAGCCACAGGAAAAAGAACCTGCCAGAATATGAGGAATATTTTGCCAGTTTGAAGGAACAGAAGTAGAGACCTTAATACTGTGTTATTTAATATTGTTTCTGATACATGAACACTTTTCAATAAATGAAATTTTATGTGTATTTTGTTATGTTGGTCTTAGAACAATTTAAAAGAGCTTATTTTTTTTTACTATTATGAATTATTTGATATATCGCAATGAGAAGTACAGAATGACTCTTTGGGACAATTGAATGAATCAAATTTCATAGGTAAGTGGTAAAGTTCAAAAACATTAATTTACACATTGAATCCATCTTGTTTACTCAGTACTCATTTTTTTCTCATCGGCAACATCATCCAGTTTATGAATTTAGTGAAATCCAAGGATTTACAATTTTGACCATGTCTTTTAAGATATGCTCATGAACTGAGACAAAAACACATGTAGGTCTTCAGCAACAATAAACTCGAATTAAAGTACACTCCATTAAAAAGTTTTAAAGAGATAGGCTAGACCTCATCACCCAGTGATCCTGAGTCAAGATCATGATACACCTTTATCATCAAGGTCTTTTAATCAATATTAAAGGTTAATGTACATAGCTAGATTTTTTTTTTACAAACAAGTAGGATCATGGGCCTAAGTGGTCACCTGAGTGTTGAGCTCTTCTGAGCCGAAGGCTAACTCTATATAGCTTTGCATGAAGTGTGCATAAACTGTGACACAAGAACCACTTTGCCAATTTTATCAAAGAAGATGAGCAAACAAAGCGAACAAAATGACTATTTGCAACAAACATTATGCTAAGAAGTCTGCTTGTTTTGTGTTAGTGTGATTTAAATAAATGAGTTTGTTGAAGTGTAAAATTTTTCTCAGAAATGTTCAATTTTTAATAGAATGGGTTCAGACTCCATTTATTTGAAACATGAATTAGATTTTACATTTACTTTTCCGTTATTTAAAATGTTAATATTCAAAAATCATTTTTTATGGCTCTGATAAACCAATTTTCCACTAAATATGCTTTATTGTCAACTTCAAAAACAAATTATCAATCAAAAGTCAATTAAATGTGTTGAAGATGACATTACTAAAAACATTATTTTAGAAAAATATAACTTTTCCTTGAACTTTGAAAATTGAGAAATATATTGTCCCAAAGCGGGGGATTGTCCTCGCCTTGTACACCCTCTTCCTTTGCATGTTAAAATAGCTAGCTGTTTACTTTATCGACAGATCGACAGACCAATCAGTTGAATGAGTTGCAATGCATTTTGGGCTACTACAAGTATCAATACGAACTCAGTCGAGTTGAAAATAAAGAGCAACTTTAATTGTCCCATGAAAACCCATTTTCAATTCTTTTTAGATATTTATGAAAGAAATATTGAAAATGATGTATAATCTTTCATTTCTATGCTCACATTTACAAAATTTGCTTTATGAAGCCTTATATCAACTAGTACATCTAATACGTTGGCGTAAACTATGTAGGAGCTATTGCGTCGATAAAGCATTGAGTGTGTTTTTTCACAGGACACACATGTACAAACTTTTAGACCACAGTACTAGAAGGTGCACAATTATTATTTAAGGTTTATGTACATGCAAACGTTGAAGCATTTGTACGGTATTTGAAGCAACTAATAATCCTCTAAAACAACTCCAATATTTAATGTGAGCATGGAACAGTGTCTTTGGAATATAATCTTTCAATTTCAGCCTTAAAAAGTAAAAAAAAAAAAAAGAAAAGAAAAGCTGTAAAAAGTTTTTCCGGTGACCAAGTAAATACTGACGAAAACCACATGTCGCATAGTAGACCGTCTTCCTTTGAATTCATTCAATTGATTGGAAAATAGGTTTTGAGAGAAACATGGTTACATGCATCTTCCCAAGTCAAGAGGTTTTGATCCGCTCCGCTCTACATAAATATGTGGAGCGGAGCGGATCAAAAACCCTTGACTTGGGAAGATGGGTTACATGTTGAAAAGTGCCTTCCATAAAAGGTAGTGTACCATGTTTACTAAAAAATAGAAATTTCTGTGAAATACTTTCAAAATGTTGCTCCTCCTACAGTTTTGGTCTGCTCTCAATATTCTAGTAACTTGGATCACAAGCATATTACACTGAGATTCATAACTCTGTATATTGGTTTTGGTGAAATGTTGCCATGGTTACCAAAAATAGAAATTTCTGTGAAATACTTTCAAAACACTACTCCTCCTACAGTTTGGTCTGATTTTAATATATTTTAATTGTTGATAAAAACATGGAAATTATTCTGTGATTAATAAATGGCAAACCCTCTGAGCTACGTCAACAGTGAATACCTTCTGTTCATTTTTGCATGTATATAAATACACGTAATTAAAAATATCTGACCTCATAGCAAAACTATGGGATCATCCCATGTTCAAGCCCAAAGACCAAAAACTGAGAACAGACTTAAGTCAAAATTGATTTGACTATCTTAAGTATTCTTTATCATAAGTTCTTAAACATAATATGCTGGAGCATTGCTAGCTCAGTACTGAAATTTCCAGGAAAAGTTTATTATACATATTAAGTTATGTTGGAACTAATATTTGTACTTTTCAGTTTATATTTCAAGCAGAGAATTATTATAATATTACTAGGCCAATACCCCGAAATCTCAGTCATTTCTATAATCGGCTGCTGAACTACTGTTTTTGAAAGACAAACAGGTTATACACGTAAAAAGAACTTAAGAAAACGTTTTTGTGCAAAAGTAGTTTCACAGTTATTGTGAGGCGAATTTTTCAGTATACTGTCCTAAGTTCTACTTGTGAAAATAGCAAACTTAAGAAAGTCTTTGTAAAATGTTAATTTATGCATCAAAATAATTAATTTTGAAGAAGCAAGTTGAAAGTACCGTAGTTAAAATCAAAGAAGACGAGTGGCTACAAATGACCTCAAATCTGCACGCAAAATTATAATCTGCTTAATCAGAAAAAATCCGGGGTCACAGACGATTAACGGGCAAGGGGAAATAAAGCACGCGCCAAATCTGCACCATTGACAACAGACTTGAGAGGTGTGCATATACGGAAAATGACTTACAAAATTTTGGAACCTGTAAACTTGTGACAATTAACTTAGGAGTGATATAAAGCATCGAACCATTCAAAGTGCCATAAATGATGAAGATTTTTATTTTGTATATTTTTATACTAATTATTACAGTACTGATACGCAACGTCGGTAAGTTGTCACCTCTTTATAATATATATATATATACATGTATGTGCTTAATTGTGACGCTTATAACCTTCAATCGATTGTATTTCTTTTAATTAATTTAAGATTTTCAAAGTCATTTCTGAAGATTTTTTCACAAGTGTGATCCGAATTGGATTAGAGATTACACGATACCTAAGTTGAATGATGCACATGTATATAAACTGACAAATATTAGAATGCTTTTTTTCTTCTTTAAATTTTTAACTGCACTACAAGATGTACTGAGTGTATTCAAGAAAAGTTGACTATCTATAATAATAATAAATTAATTTCATTTAAACTATGGAAATAGGATTAAGCACTTTTCGTAACGTCAATCCTTTGGAATGTCACTTTAATACCATGCAGCTTAGAACTTCACCACAATCGTGAAAAGTTTGACATAACAATATAATTGTTAAGGATATTTTAAATACTCGTATAACACTAGACAAATGCCAACACAGTACTGCATTAGAAATCTTTATTTCTGGAGCTCAACTAATTAACTTCTAATTTTTGTATACCCATCACCAATACACAAAAATACCCCCCCCCCCCAAAAAAAAGACCAGACCTATAGATTCAGTCGTTGATCGTATACGTATATGGCTGAGCGGCACAGCCGTAAAGTAATAAAACGGATTTTAAATTTCGGGTTCACATAATTATCTGCAGGAGGACCAGAGCAACATAATGATAATAACATCATAACTCCCTCCCCCCATTCATAGCCACAGCATAAAATTTTTCATTCACTTTATATTTTATATGAATTTTTCATTCTTTTATGCATTAGTACGGCACAATTGCTATAGTTTTTTTTCCTGATGACGAACTAATTGAAGTCACGAAAACCATAGGCTTTTCAAGATTTGTGTGTGTGTGTGTATTGTGGGTTTTTTTCTATGTCTCAATACACTCCTTTAAATAAAAATCAAAATTCGCTGAAATAGAGCATTTAAAAAAAAAAAATCATATTTCTGCATATAAATATATAAAGACAACTTGTGTCTTTTTATATACAGAAATATTATGGGTTTTTTTAATGCCATATTTCAGCCAAATGATTATGCTGTATTTGAGATTGTATTTTGCAGCTGCAGCATGCACATTTCCAGATGAACTTCGAGGGACTTGGCACAGTTCCCATAAGGGGGCTATAACTTTTAGCAACACTACGATCTCTCAATACCCCATCCAAATGTCTGCATTGGTATCCTCTCTCGACTTTGTTTGTCAGGAAAAAAGTGGATCTGTGTACTTACTTAAGTAAGTTGTGGTACAATAAAGACAATTTAAGTATTAACAAAAGAAGTGAAGATGGGGGGGGGGGGGTCCCAAGATGAGAATGAGTGTCTGGAATCAATCCCATATATTTGAAATTCCTTCAAAACATTGCAAGATCACAGTTATGAATAAGTCCCGCTATTTAGAAAAGCATCCTGTATTTTGAACCAGAAGTCTCCGACAAGACTGTAGCTTCACTGACGTGTACTATTAATAAAGATATGTCTAGTAGAGTCTAATTGAAATCCGACCTAACAGAAGAAGGAGCAATATTTTGAAAGAATTTCACAGAAATTCTATTAATTTCACAGAAATTCTATTCATATGAAGTTATTAACACATGGGAACATCAATTGTCGCGTTTTGAAAAATTGTTAACAGACAGACGTACAGCAATAGAGGGACGGCCGATGGACACCTTGCTAATGCATAAGCTCATCTGGTTTCTGACCAGTAGGCTAAAAATCAAATGAAAGCCTGTTTAACATGATCAGGACATTAATCATTGACTTCCGATCCCCAGAAAGCAAGGATTAGCTTTTTTTAAACTGTAGAACAGTGAAAAGTGTTAGTAGTGCGCCCCGGTCTCCCTAGATTACAAACATTTATGGTTCATTTACAGGTCTCCAATCGCAGTCATTGCATTTGGTCAACTGATAGATTCCTACATATGTCTGGACATCCAGAGAATATCGGCTACAAAATATAAATATTACATAGGAACAACGATGGAGAGTAGTATTAATGACTATGTATATGGAATAATGACTCAATCTACCATCAGTATGAGCGACGCCTGCAACAGGGCCACTCCCTATGAACAGGGTACTTTCATCACTTTGGTCCAAGACGGTGAGTTTACCACTATATTCCACCAATGAAATTGTTTATGCATGTTAAATTTCTGGCCATAAACGATAAAACAGTAAACCTCAGCAGTCTTAATAACGAGTCATGAACTTGAACAAGGTAGTGTTAATATGAAGTTTTGGCAGAGTTGTAAATACTATACCAAATTCTTTTTTTCCCCCGTTTCTTATTGGTATTACCGCTATAAACATGTAGGACTTCTAAAAAGAGGTATTTAAAGAGGGCTAAAAATGAAAAAAAAAAAAAAAAAAAACCTCCTAATTAGCAATAACTATCTCGGAATTCAGATTGTTATGAGAAATAACATTTATTTTGAAGACTTCTGGTACTTTTGCTAGATTTGATGGGTGGTTGTGTCTCTCTTTTAAAGTAAAAAGAGCTAGTAGCCGATAAAAAAAACTGTCTGGACATTAAAATTATTTCGAACTTTCATCGATAATAGGGTTTTTCAATAAACCACAGAAATGCAAATCAAAGGTCGGTGTATATGAATAGCGGCATTCTGTAGAAGGTAAGAGGACTCGCCGGGCATTTTTTAATTGTTATAGATAACACTTTCAGAGTATATTCGCCAAGTTACGTGAGCAAGCAGGTAAAACGTTTCTGTGTGTAATGTATCGAAGAAAGTTAAGCCAGTCAAAAGTCAGAGAGGATATAGGCCCTAGCTATGAAAATTCCAGTCACTCCTTTATAGTGATATTTGTGCCAAGTTTGGTAACTGGACATGCAGGAGTTCTCGAGACTAATTTGAAAGTGTCATTGACTAGGAAATCTCCATTAAAAAATAACATTTCCTCTGGATTACTAGAGGAATATGTACTGAAAAGGAGTGAAATAATAGAACTGTTAATACATGATTTGCAATATTATTCTTACTATATTTTTTTCATGTTTGAAGGTGAAGTATACACTGGTTCTGCTCAAGCGTCGTGTCCCCCTGACCTTTTGGCAGCGTATTCAACCGTGACAATTAAAAACTCAGACGAGTCAACAACCTGCTCTGGAAACTCATTTGATGGATGCTCACAAAAACTCACGTTCAAATCAACATACGAAGCATGTGCTTCGGGCTTGGTATTTTCAAGTAAGTTTTCTTACACAAGATTGTTTACTAATCACACTAGATAAATGAATTTTAACATTATAATATAAAATTGTTTCATGTCACATCCTATAGCATTAACAAGGTTAATATATGAACCTATATGGTCTGTTAATTTCAAATTCAGTACTTTGGACCAGATCCTTTGAAGAAGGTAAAAGCATGGTTCATATGCTTCAAAAATACTTTCTTAAGAATACAATCATCAATAATTTCAACGCTTAGGCGGAGGTATTGGTGAACAGCTAGGGCAGTGATTTCTTAAAAGACCAAGAATATCAGAAAGTGAAACTATTTGTAACCCACCCACCCCCCCACCCCCCCGTTTTTGCTCATATTCAAACGGAAAGGTACATCTGTGAGAAGAAAACTCTTACTGTGGCTTTTCATTCAACATTTCAATATACATGTATATCAACGTCGTTTTATCAATTAACAAAAGTTAATTTCATTCAGATGTCAATTTGATATATTCCAGTGAACTTGAAATAAAGAACACCACAGAGTCTGCCAATGCCCATATCTGTTCATTCTTGGATATTTTACTGACTGAAGACGTTGATGGCTATCAAGCAATTAAACTTTATGACAAACGGGAAGAATTAAGTTTTTCGATTGTCAACTTGTCCTGTTTATGTAGTACTGTTTTTAATACCATCACCTGTATATGGTGTTTATGTCTCCCAACTGATTCGATACTTAAAAGCATGTTCTGGGTACAATCAACTTTTAACAGTGGCTACTTACAAATAAGTTAATGTTACAGGGTTTTCAACTTTCTTTAATGTCAGCATTTCACAAATTCTATGGTCGTTACATTGACCACAATCACATTACAACAATCAGTCTTATTTTGATTAACGTTTCCCACCAATAGATATGCAGTCGTTTTTATGCCACTTTGACAATGGATTTTTCTGTTTACCTTATCAATACACATGTCTCATTGCGGGTGTAACCGGTCGACAGGGGATGCTTACTCCTGTTGGTATTTCCAGAGGTCCCTGACTTTGCCCTGTTCACGATTCGTAATCTTTACTGGATTTATGAGATATGAGATTGATTACCTTTGGTTATCTTCACTTTTACACATCATTCAGACAATACCAAAGTATTACAGTACTGTCTAACGGCTTTGTACAATTATAATTATACACAATTATAATGATATTCATCATGAGGAAATACTCGTTTATAGGTATAACACTCGACAGTGTATTTATATATGGCTTTTTAATTACAATTATATATCATATACATACTTGCTATCTCAAAATATTCTTTACAGCATCAGGTGATTTTTACTGCCTCCACTACCAGACAAGCGGGGGAATCACGTATACCGTCGTCTGGAACAACGATACATCCGTCACCGGAAGTAGTACTTATAGGTCAACCTGCTATGTAAGCAATTAATGTGCATATTGCAATTTTTTTCTTTTTTGTATCTTAATTTTTTTTCATATTTTTTATATGTTTTTTATTGCACATATAATTATGTATTAATGTTATTTACTTTACTAGGCCTCTCAAACGGTTGGTTCTACACTGTATGTGACCGAGTATCCAGGGTTTTGCCAGTATCCCAACCAGACCAGCACTTATGTATTTGGCTCGGGAATAAAATATACTATGACATCACAAACAACTACGTGTGGTATGGACATTTTTAAATATACAGACCAATAAATGGTTATAGCGTGTTAGATGACAATTTTCGAAACTAAAAATATTGGGTGTATTTGTTTTGCTTACATACATGCACTTTAATGAACCAAAAATTATCTTTAGGGAAAAAAAGGGCAGAAATCTGTTTTGTATTAATAAGAGATATTAAAATTACATTCAAGAAAAGTCAAATCAGAAATGTAAGAAAGCAAAATCAACATACCAGTGTTAGCTGTTTGTGGTCAGTGACGTTTGCATTGTTAGCAAATCGAACACAACCGTAGACAAAAACAATAACAGAGCTGACCCATGCTTACAAAACATTTATTTGTTGTTGCTTATGAAGATTGCTGTTATCATGAAACTGGTTATTTTCAAAATAAATGAAGAAATCCACAATTGTAAACAAACCACCGGGCAAAGCTAGTGTGTCTATGCCCCTTTAGGCAGACATCTTTATTCTATTAATTTAGCCTACCAAGGAATCATGTTACTTTCTCTTTTTGTAGTGATAACTAAAGAGGGCGGAGGGAGCGGATTCTACTACTTTCTGATTGTATTAGGGATACTTCTTGTTGCTGCTATTGCGTTTGTTATCTTCATTATATACAAAAAATACAAAAATAAAATACGAATGATGTAAGTATAAAGACAATTTAACAATTGAGCTCTTTTATTATCACTGAAGTTTTAATTAGTACCTAGTTTATGGTGTTATGATTTTTATATTAGGGAACTTGAGGTTTACACTGAGGAAACGAAAAGCCGTAAGTATATTTTTTAAATGAAAAAACAATTCAACTTGTGCATTCTAAATTTAATTAGATGGTTTTTTTAAAGCATGAATTGAATTTAATGAAGGTTTTTATAATTTTTTGAACTTCATCCAAACATCATTAATATCATGAAATTAAACTTTCAATGCAGGGCCTCCAACATCAATGACAAAAGAAAGCAATGATCGTGCGCATGATCAAGTCCCTAAACTTCCTCCAATATTTCCAAACAAACCTTTGGTTCAATCAAATGAACCAGTAAAAACAGAGGAACCAGAATCAGAACCAACGACTGTGGAACCAATATCCTCCGAAAATACAGAACAAGTTGGAATTGCAGAACCAACACCTGCTGATGATAATTAAGATTCGAACAAAAAAGAATACTTAGAATTTTTAATAGCTAGATTATCATTTTACATAATCATTATCACTATTTGTCCGATTCTGTTTTAAAATCTCATAGAGACTGCCAAGCTAGATCCTTTATAAATAATAATTTACATTCATTTTGAGCATAAATACTGATGGAGCAATTTTTTCATTAAAATTTTGTATTTCTTGCATAAAGACAATAAAACATAATTTATATAGATAACAACTATCTTTTTTTCTGACGCAACTTTAAGGATACATAACACAAAAAAATGATGCATGAATTGATTTCTTTGACGGATTCTGAATATAATAGATTCCCAAAGTATAAAGACATAGCTTAGGTGATTAATTTATCCTTAATTCAGTCAATCTTCTTCTATTTTGTATCCGTATCATTAAAAAGATATGTACTCTTCATTGTTGAACAAAGTTATATAATACGAGCACACTTGCTCAAATTAAAGCCAATAACCAACAAATAAATATGTAAAATATTTGAAATGTTTATTTTTTTCATGTGTCATGCTCTGTAAGATTGATTGGTAAGAGTATTGTCTTCATCAAAGCAGTAACTCCAGTGTCTGCTCGTAGGTTTGGAATCTGATGACATGGTAGAACTTTGTTTTTGTACAGGTTTTTTGGTAGAAAAACAAAACACAGTTGTGGCAGTTATACCTAAACCAAAAACTACAAAAGAGAACACTGCTAGAACTATCACTGCTTCAAACGTTACTTCACTTCTTAAAGTTAACCAGTTGGATTCTGTTGTTGATGTTGTAGAAGAGGAGATTGAAAATGAACTTGATTCTACAGATGTTGAAGCACCCAAAGTTGTTGTAGAGGTTGTTGTTGTAGATTCTGTTGTTGTTGTTGTAGGTTCAGTAGTTGTTGTAGGTTCGGTTGTTGTTGTAGGTTCAGTAGTTGTTGTAGGTTCTGTTGTGGTGGTAGGTTCAGTAGTTGTTGTAGGTTCTGTAGTTGTTGTAGGTTCAGTAGTTGTTGTTGGTTCAGTAGTTGTTGTTGATTCAGTAGTTGTTGTTGGTTCAGTAGTTGTTGTTGGTTCAGTGGTTGTTGTTGGTTCAGTAGTTGTTGTTGGTTCTGTAGTTGTTGTTATTGTAGTTGGCAAACTGGTGGAAGAGTCCTCTGTGAAAATCAACAGAATTAACAAATAAGTGTTTTGAGGATTTCCTGGACCCTGTTTTTTATGAACCTTTCATAATACGAATACGTTCATTTATTATTGAATGATTATGTATACGAGATCCTCGTACACGTAAAAGATAAGTTGTTACCTACCGATAGTATTGTAAACCAAAAGGAAGCCCCTTCCTTCACTCTCTCCATCAGAATAGAATTGTACAAGAACAAATGAGGTGTTGATAGTTCGAGTCTGTGGATCGAAGCTAGCACGGGCACATAACTGTCCTTCAGTTTTGCCTTAAACATCATTAGGATTTCCGAATTTTTGGCAATCGAAGTATAAAGTTTGATCTTAATCTACAAGTGATGATAATATGATGGGTTCTAAAGTTATACTTACCGTCACTCAAAGTTATGTAATCTATGCATGCTGAATCAACTGTGGTGTCCGTGTCTAGAAAACGCACAGTTACCATCATTGTAGAGTCTGCTGTTTGTGATGTAATGTTCCATGTGCAAGACGTATTGCTGGGCAAATAGTATATGGTAAATGAATGATACGCTAACAAATGAATCAAAACATAAATCAACGCTTTAAAAATTCTAAATCAGTACGTCAGAATAGGTAAACAAATGTGAATAGCTATATTCTAATTAAAAAAAAGACGAAAACATTCTGGTAAAATATTTTTCCGTCCCAAAAGTATCTATGTGAAACCATTATCTTTTGCTTTCTTTCGAATTACACACGAATATATTTATGGAATTAAAAAAAATAATTTCTAAACCTTTCTGTTTTGAAAATGCAAGAGAGATATTGGTAAACCTTAGGTATTTTTCCGGAAAGAACGGTGATGTTAAGAACTGTTCATTTGAGTTTGATGTCAACGTTTTCACATTGGAATTGCAAGCGTCAGATGCGTAAGCTGTAGAAAAAAAATATTTTAAGGTTGAAGTTCTATAGTCGATAACGTGAAACTAACGTTACGTGTACATGAAATAAAAATAATGTTGCATAGGTTTGATGTTGAGTCCCAGTTTACTTAGAGAACGACTAGAACCCCCCCCCCCCCCCCCCGTCTGTGTAAGCAATATACTTTATGGCTTTATGCTGATTGAAAGTGCATAAATCCACCCTGTGGAACTTTTACCAACTCACCTATCGATCTTGCAGAGATTATTTTAAGAACGAAACCCTTCTCCTGGTTACTATTTGTGTCACTGTCTGTATTAAAGTTTACAAACATTTGATTGGACGACGTAGTGTAAAGGGGCGTGGTACTGGACGAACCAGAGTTAGAGCAAATCGATGTGGTCAGCTCCGGAGCACTAAGGCTTGTTCCTTCAAAATGAATTCGATATTAAATCTTATATTTTACACATGGTGAAATTTTGTATATTTGAATTCTTTTAGGATTTATATTCTATATTATGTATATTATATATAAATTTCAAAGAAAATGTTGAGGACTATGGACAGATTATTTTACATTTGTAATTCAATTGAATTGCTATGGACTAGTAGGTATACTACGATAAGGAAGAAGTATAAATGTACATACCATCATATGCTTTTAGAATGTCTCCACAATGAACCAATAGATCCGCCACATGAAATATAAAGACGAGGCTCGTATCCGTCGATTCAAATACCCAGTCACAGTTTATATCTCTGGAAATATAAAATTGCTCGTCGAATGAAAAAAAATATCTCTTTATCTAACGTTGTTGTTGCCAGAATGACAAATGTTCTACAAGCACGAATGTATCTTTAGTTCGTCAACTACAAATCTAAGTTCTTACAAAAAGCAAAAATCTAAAAATGGCTCTTTGACATTCATTTGCTGCTATGTGGAAAACACAAAATTTGGCTTTTTTAAGTAAGTAGAAAGGAACCGATACTAGATCAAGTCGCATGTCTCTCTCCATTCGCCTTCGTACGTAGTTAACTAGCGAAGAATCTACTTTGGCTTTTCTATAACTTACAGGTAAACATTTATCCAATTTAGCATAAAACGCTCAGGTGAGCATATGGTCCATGGGCCTCTTTAATATTGTATGTTAGTACTCCATATAATAAATTCTTAATCAATCCGACAGTAAAGAACTTAACTGAACTGGGGCATAAATTTTGTTTAAAAGGGAGTTTCGGAAAGAAGGTTTTTGTGAATATCAAAAAGGCGTTTTTTAATTTGTTTGGACTCCAATAGGCCTCCTGGATGAAAATAAAAATCCCGAAATCTTATTGCATATGTACAATTTACATTCATACTTCAAAAGACGATTTAGCTACTACGTTAAATGAACGAGGGATGTGTGGAACCAGATTTTAATATATAAATGAGACATCGTTTTCCGGCCCCCAACTGGTCTCTCGGATGAAAATGGAAATTACGAAACCCTACTGAACTTCTACAGGACACCATTAGTGATGATTTTTCTACTGCGTAAAATGAATGCGAAAGCGGATTTCTGTGTACCACGCTTTTGGATAAAAATGAAAACATTTTTTTTTTTTGCACATCTACATGCACATGACACACCAATCCTATTTCAAAAGATGAATCAGAATTGAATTGGATACTCCTTAAAGAGGAGTTTGATTAGGAGATAGAGTGACAGACAGTTGGGTGGAGCGGAATAACAACAATATACCCCATCACCCCATCTATCTGGTAGAATTACATTATATGCACATACATGTATTAATGCAGGCACAATTCATCTAAAAGGTGAACAGTACAAGTCTTTTAGTCTTTTAATCGCGGGGGGAGGGGGGGGGGGGCAAGTGTCCGAGAAAGTTTTCATGTCTACCATTTAACCACAAGGATAGTAATAACATCATTTCGGGAAAAAAGTAAAATTCACCATGCAGATTTATGAGGACGTTTCATTCCATTAAACATAGATACTCATGTACACAAATACAATCTAAACCTAGAGTAAGTGATCCTCGACAAGTTTTATTTTGATAAATACTGACACAATAAAGTGAAGCTCTTACTTTTCATAGTTTACAGATGAATTAATGGGATAGGTATATACAAGCCTGTCAAAGTCTGGTACAGGAACAGACAAGGCGTTACCGTCACATTGACCCAATACACCTGTAAGGGACGGTCCAAACGTGTTGTAAGCCAACAAAAAAAAAACAAAAAAACAAAACATAAACAAAACACAAACATAATCAAAATAAAAAAAAAACCAAAAAGCAAACAAACAAGAAGTACATAAATAATGATTCCTATGCATGCTAATTAAATAATGATTTATACATGAATGGAATAATTATTATATCTGAATTACGTTATATGACAGAGAGTTAGAAAATACAGTTGTATACAACATAACATTTGTTTATATGTCATTATAGAAATTTAAATACAACGAAAAAAATCTACCTCAATAAGGTCATAGGTTACCCAGAAGCCAGAGGAAGTGGGTTATCATTATAGCTTCTTGTATTTTGTTGTTTTTAGATTCAAATTAATTTGTTATATGGTTAACTTAATTTGAGTTAATTTATATTACTTTTAGTGAATTCCATTTTTATAGCATTGAAATTCAATATAAATATAAAAGTATAAAATACTTTTCAAAAGTTTTATTCCGGTGATTGAATTGACTTTATAGTGAAAGTCCTTTCTTCAATTTTTTTTTCTCGTTTTAACTTAAGATGCCTTACTGAAAGATTTCATTCCAGTCAAACTTCTTCAAAATATTATTATTTTTTACGTAACACGACGAGATGACGGTTAAGATGAAAGAAATATGTATAATACCCATCATAATTCATAATAAGCCATGCAGATGATGTCAAGTTTCAAGTGTTGTATATCTTTCAATGAATTATTCCATGTTCGTTGAATGAACATTCATCAAACACAAACTGGACATGCTTGACTTGGCAACAATACACATACAATATTAAAGTCCATTTCACAAATTCTCTGTTCTGTGCATACTTTCATCATGCAATTTAACCTTACAAACACTGTCAAATATTACCTGCAGAATCGTCAACTATCCATAAGCCCAGAAGCAGAAAAACACCACAGATTATTTCCATTCGACTTTGGCAAGTATCAGTGAACTAGCTTTTGTGGCCGACTGTCTATCCTTTTATTAGACAAGCGAATTTGTTGAGTTCTCCGTGAAGTAAAAAGGGCGCGACAATGAAATAGAAAAACTGAAATATCTTAATTCTGTCTAGTGTAATGGTTTGAAACGAATGCACTTAGTTGTGTATAGGTGTGCACACTTTAAAAAGTATGATTTTACAGCATTCGTCATTACATGAATGAAGAAATGATTTCTACGCTTTTTTAGTGAAATAATTTTAAAAAATTCTAATAATATCAGATTCCTTGTGATTATTTGAAGTAGCTGTCTTGGTTATATACACATTATGTACAGTATTATATGTCATACTTGTTTGTCACAAGGTACTGGAAACTATCTCACTACGTAAAAAGACTTGTCTTGCTGGCATCGAATTGTTCCGATATTGACCTCAGATGGACAAACGATAAAGAAAATATTCAAATCCGGATCTTATCGTAATAACAGCGGACCATAGGTACATCTGCACCAGTTGATTTTTTCAGGCTCCGGCAGCACTTTCATGTGCGTAATCAAAATCTTTGGCATACCAAAGAATTGCCGAAGGCTCTTACGGTTCTTTTTTTTTCGTGTTGAATTCATGTGTTCAATTTGCTCTCCGTAAAGCCATCGTGAAAGCCACATGTTGTCATATTGTGTTGTCTCTGTGTTTACCTCGGGTTATCTTCGGTGCCATCGGACAATTTTCACCTCACGAAGACAATACGAAGAAAACAACAAGAAGGTTCCCGATTGTTTTTGGAAGGCAGCACGACTACGCGAAGCCCTCGCAATATCGATTGAATGACATCTAGATGCGTCAGCAAAGACAATCAAATTCGATCATCTTAAATGTTTCACATGCTATATGTAGTTCGTGGACATATAAATAAAAGGCCAGTCTCAGAGCCTAATCCTTAGCCAATTCTGTACAACTCTACAGAATAGAGGAGTAATAATTCCGTAAGCTTTATAACAAATCAATTGGGAAGATAATGAAGGAAGATCATTCTCAAAAGTCCACTTATACAATATAAACTATGAGCAGATAACAGAGGTGGGATCAGGTGCATTGGAGGAGTGAGCATCCCCTGTCGGTCAAACACGTTGTGTGTTCCTTGTCATGATCGGGTAAACGGAAAAACTAAATATGAAAAAATGGCCTAACAATTTAAAATTGTATGAAAGATGTCAGTCAGTTTAAATTTATTTGCTGCAAAAAGGGTATACGAAACAACCAGAAAAGGTGGCAGCGTCATTGCTTCTGTTGATGAACCTCAAAGATCAAGATGAGCGACTTTTACAGACCCAGTGCCTCCACATACAAGTAAAAATGGTAATTTTTTTTTCACAATATCATTTTTTGGTATTTCGACAGCTTGTTTTGCTTTTATTTTCCAGGGCAAGGTCATACCGAGGCAAAAGATGAATCCGAGGTCCATGTCGGTCAGAAAATTTCTGTCTGACAAAAAAATAAAGAAAAAACACTCTTTAGCAAACTGCAAAAGGAGCTGAAGACAGGAGATGAGAAGCCTTTTATTTGCACAACTAAAAACAATTTTCCAGAGGTCTTTACAATGAGTTTCTGAAAAGAATAGAGAGCAAAGTAGAAAAAAAGGTGAAAGACACAAAAAGTGTCTCCTTCCTTTTCTTAAGCTGTCCATCACTGGAGGATACATGGAATGCGGTGACAATTATCCAAGCCTGTACTGTTCTACGTCTTAAACTAGTTTCAAACACCATCTTCTCTCTCATTCACAAAGTCTGCGATGCCATCAAAGCCAGGTTTGCTGCTGAGATGATCCAGAGTGATACTACAACTGAAGAATGGACCGCAATTATGAGCAATCTGATAAAAAAAAAAAAAATAGCAATTTCCGTACCACTATGGTGCTCTGGATCACAAGGATGTGGCCGTCACCTTGTCCTTGGAATAATTAACAATAGGTTGCTTCTTTTTCATTGTACCGTTCACGGTAGCTCAGTCGGTAGAGCGCTCGCTCTGTGGTCGGGAGGTTGTGAGTTCAAATCTCGGCCGCGACTGGTCTAACTCGATATAAAGTGGAAAGCAACTGTTCCTTTGCCATGCGATCGGCACTTTGAAGTGAAAGTTGCGAGTCTTTCGGATGAGACCTTGAAAGCCGAGGCCCCGTGTCACGGCAGGCGTTCGCACGATAAAGATCCCTCGCTGCTCAATGGCCCTGTGTGCCGAGTAAAGGTGAAGATTTGAAGCCCTTCACCGGTATATGGTGACGTCTCTACATGATTGAAAAATTCTCGAATGAGACGTAAAACAACATACAATCAATCAATTTTTTTCATCGTTATTATGACGCTGGACAATTAAGGCAGGCAACAAGTTTCTCTGGATTGATATTGGCTTGGATGGTTCCAGCAAAAATGCCAGTATCAACAATAGTTAAGAACTTTAAGCAGGCCTGGAGAGTCCGAACAACACATTCAATTTCCCTGAAGAGAAGTGTCTACCTGGTAATGAACTTCTTGTCCAATAATACATAGATGGCGAAGTGTGTAATGCTTTTGGGACCAATAAGCCTCTGATAAACTCGTTTTTCACTAGAAATATGTAGTATTAAAATACACACTTTCCAGAACCAGGTATGTATGGGGGGATGACTTTGATATTCTAGCACCAAGGTCTGAGGACCACGAACCAGATGCCAAATACAAGAAAAAAGTTATCAAGACTGTTTGAACTTTCATAATCACATCAGACTGAAATATCCAACCCACCAAAACAAAGTTCATTACTGATTAATTATGTTAAACAATTTTTACAAGTACAGCAATATTCACTCGACAATATTTAAATTTAAAATCGCTGTGGTCAACAAGACGTAGTTAAAATGCTTTTTTATTTTATTTTATTTTATTTATTTTGTCTTTTATTAAATTCATTTTTAAATTTATTTTATTTATCTTTTTTGACATTTCTCTATGATAAAAATGCAACAAATGTCCATTGGAGCAGATTATTCTATTAGTTTTTTTTCCTCTAAGGAATGGAATGAAACGACATTGTTTCTTTTTGTAAATTTTGTTTCAAACACTCCAAGCAGAAAAAAACATATCTCTTGTTTCATCTTAAGGACATACGCAACATAGTTTGAACTTTTTTGTCTTTTTCCCTGGAGTTGAAGAGTTCCAATACCTCAAGGAATTGTGTGCCACATTTTAATGTCTATATATGCTGTTGTACACTTCTTCTAAAACGAGTTTGGATAAACAAAACATCTAGAATATATGTTTAGTAATTTTTGTGCATTTTTCTTTAAATTATACAAAAAATTTCATCAATTGATATCTTTTCAAAACCCCTGGTAATGCATGCTGATTTTTTGTCTACGAACATCTGATGGCACAATAATCTTAAATTAAGAATATCTTGAAAAATTATCAGTAGGTAAGGTACGTTGCGTATGTCCTTAACTGCTTCAGCTTGTAATACTTACGGCGTTAAAAATACATATTGGTGATTTTTTTTTCATCAGCTTGGCGGAAGCACATTCATAATTATGTTCCCCAAACGAAGTTTGGGAACATATTGTTTTTACTCTGTTTCTTATTATTAAGTCTTCCGTTCACAACGGAAGACTTATAGTGATTGTATTGTTTCTTTTTATTATTATTATTATTATTCCTCCCAAATTTTGTGAGCGCGATTACTCAGAGATGGTTGGATAGATTTTCACAATTTTTCACATGATAGTAGGCTGATATATGAAGTTTATATAAAATTCCGTTTTTTGAAAAATTCACTTCCGGTCCGAAGTTACGGCCGAATTTCCAATTTTTAAATGGACTTTTGTCCGGAATTTTTCTCGGAAACGGTTTGAGGTAAAGATGTGAAATTTACAGGAGTATTAGATCATGACATTCTCTTTGTTTCGAAGCTGTTTTCATGTGTTTCCGGTACTTCCTGTCCGAACCGGAAGTGAACTTGTGTTTGGTCAATTTTCAACTTTTTTGTTTTTTAATATTTTTTCAAGATATTATTATGTATAACAGAGGTTATTCTACAAATACTAAATATATAATTTGTTTTAAAATTGGATTGCGCATTTTCTAGATTTTAGGTACCGTCATTTTCCCCATTTACCTAGTGTGTATACAATGGGCAAAGAAAGATAACTCTGACTTGTAAGTGAGAATAGAACTTTCGAGATAAAGGCGGAAATAGTATCGATGACGTCAGAGACATATACACTCTCCATATCAAAATATTTAGACGTTCCATATTCAATCTTCTAAATGTAAGAGTACGTTGATTACCGCTTCCAGTGCATGTAAAGTTTGAAGTTGCCAGTGGAGTGTAAGTCTGTTTTGACAGTTAATTGATTTACACATGAATATATCTAAAACAAAAATTAATATATATGCTAGCTATAGGTAGCTAATTCAATTAAATATATTATAAGCACTGAATATACATTTATAGTGATGGACAGGCATGCAATTTTATCTATCTCGTATACTAAGTTCAGAATACGATAGTTATAAGCTTTCTATAATGCAGACGATTTATTATTCTCTATGATTTGAATGCGAAATTATCCCGATTTCCGAGTTTTATTTCCGATATTAAAAAATATTACATACACTCAAAAAAGGAATTAAGCGATAGAAAATTGTAATACAGTACTGTTTTAAAGCCTTTATAAATAAATTGATATCTGCCACTGAAAAGAAAGAAAATCAATCTATTGATTAGATTTGGTTATTACATGTATATTTGATAAAAAGTTGAATTATTTATGACACATGATCTATACTCTATATACCCAAGGAGTTATAAAAGATATGAAAGGCGATTCTTGGATTCTTGTGAAATACACAAAGAGTTAAAAAAAAATATGTGAAAACGCGATTCTGTGTGAAATAATGCTTCGCAATATCTTTCTTTTGAAAAAAAAAACATGATAAAAAATTGCACAGGTCTGTTGATATGTGGGATGAGTAT